TGTCTTCAGTGGGTGCATCCTCTTGATTTGTGTCAGCTTCCTGTCCTCGTGTGGCGGAGGTGTCCGAGGGCAATGTAGGAGATGGTGGGGATGCGGGAAATGAGTCAAACTTGGACTCAAAGCTTCCTTCCTCAGAAGTCCAGTCGTCAATGTGTGGTGAGACCTCTTCCATGTAGCGATGTCGTTCGAGTACCGATTCAGCGTCCGGAATCATGAGGTCATCGAAGAATCGAGCTGAGCGTGTGTCCGTGTCAACATCGCTTGCCAAGTCCCGCACGATCCATGCCTTCCGAGCGTTGGAGAGTCCAAGGAACATGCCAACTCTTCCTCTTTGCTCGAACTTCCCAAAGCTGCCTTGGGGAGGGAGATAGTAGCAGAGGCATCCAAAAGTTCTTGCCATTGAAACATCTGCTGCCCTTCCCGTCATCATGAAGTATGGTGAGTGTGCTGACGGGTTGCTGTTGAGGTGATGCGGTTGTGTAACCATGCTGCGTACTCAAGTGCGTAAGGCCAGAAATTAGAGGAAAGGCTGGCTCCGGTGGTCATTGCACGCACTCGGTCCATGAGCGTGCGGTTGACCCGTTCGGCGACCCCATTCTGCTGCGGTGTGTGTGGTAGAGACGTTTGGTGACTTATGCCATGAGAGCTCAGGTAATCCGTGAAAGCATTTGCGGTATACTCCCCCCCGTTGTCCGTGCGTAAGGCAGCCAGCGGCTTCGTGGGCAACTTGGTCTTCATTTCGCGATGCCAAGCCGAGAAAACAGCTGCCATGTCGGATCGGTGAGCCAACGGCGCCACCCACAGGTAGTTGGTGTAGTCGTCCTTGAGCGTCAGCACGTAGCGAAGTGTGGGGTGAGCGTCACCCAAGTCCATAATATCGCTATGCATGAGCTCCAAAGGTCGAGTTGTGCGCTTGTCGCCACCTATGGGAAATGGGGCCTTGCTCATCTTCCCTCAAAGACATGAGTCACACGGGGGTTTGACGGGGTTTGCCTTGTCGGATATGGGGAGTCCTTCAACATCTCCATTGCGAAACGTTGCATCCATGGATGTGTATGATGGGTGACCCAAGCGCTTGTGGGCCATGCGATATGTGACGGATGCATGAGCAGATTGCACATTCAGCCCTCCAAGATCAGTCGCATTCAATGCGTCATTCGGATTATCATGACCAGATTCATGGGCGGATGTAAGTGCAGGCTCATATTGCACCATTAGCACCCCATGGATGACCATTCCAAGTCCAATGAGTACATGTTCATCTCCATCCTCCATTGTTATCTCCGTGTGCCCATCTTCACGTGTGTGAATTCGAGCTCCCTTCTTGTACAGCTGACAATAGGAGAGCAGGTTGGACTTCAAGCCGGGTACGTAGAGCACGTCCGTGTAGCGCACAGTTGTTCCATCGGGTGCCGTTGCTCGAATTGTTCCTGCCATCAAGCTCAACAGGTGGCTTCCGTCAGCAAGCTCCACGTAAACGGGTTCGTTCAGCTCCTCTAGTCCCTCAAACCAATCCTTTTCTGAAGTCATGTGTTGGCTGCATCCGCTGTCCAGCAACCACATCGACCCTTTGATTGATGGTAATGTTGCTTGCGACGATCGAACCGTTGCAATGCATGTAACGGTTCGTTTGTTGTCTCCCCCGGCTGCTCCTTGCTGTTTTGACGCTTGGCTGTCACGTTTCGGGCTTTCACTCCTTCGAGGCGAGGACGAACGGCTACTCCAGGTGCGCTGGTTTGTCCTCCCTCTGTTTTGAGGTTCCCAACCTGGTGGTGACCAACCTGGAGGCGCCTTAGGACACTTGTAGAACGGGTGGCCGGGTTCCTTGCAGTACCAACACACAAGGTTTGAGCGCTCTCTCCTTCCTTTGTTACCCTTGGATTTTTTCCCAATCGCCGCATGCTGCCCTCCCGTTGATTTTGCCGCATTTTGGTTGCCCTTTGTCTCGGTCCTCTCCTTTGCTGGTGAAGTGTCTCCACGTGCTTGACCAGCCATGCGGGGAGGACGTTTGTCACGGTTGGTCTTGCTAATGAGGTCTTGGTAGCGTTGTTCCTGTATCATCATTCGTTGTAGTGTGTAGCTATCCGAGATGTCGTGTAGCATTGCCGAATGCCTTAGCTCCTCCCAATGCGGTGGCAGCCCGGTAATCAGATTTAAGGTGAATGAATCTTCATCCACCATTTTTCCTGCCATTGCCAGCTTGTCCCGAATTGCAGTTGCTCGGTTGATGTATTCCTCCACTCTTTCTTGGCTCCCCATCTTCAAGTTGTCCAATTGTCTTTGGAGAGACGCCTTTGCCACCGAATCCTTCGCCTGGTAAGTCTCCATTAGGTACTCCCATGCTTCGAATGCCAGACTGTATGACTCTTGGAACACGTCCAGTTGTAGCTGAATCGTTGCGCTCACGCTATATAGAAGCACCCAAAAGGCCAGCGTAGCACGTTGTGAGTAATCCGCTTGCAGAGCTTCCAGCCGTTCCATTGCATCTCGCATTTCTCCATTCGCCATTGTAACTGGGTATCGCAGTGTCACAAAAAACTCCCACAGATTTGTCACGCGCGCGTTCATGCGAAACCGAAGAGCCCACTCTCGAAAGTGCCGTCGAACGGGGTTGTGGTGAACGCTTTGTCCACCGATGCTCCCACCATCTTGCGCGACAGCCTGTCTTTGTCTTCTTCGTTATATTCGCGAGGAGACGGGTCGAAAAGTGTTGGCACGGTAGATGGTCGAGGCAGTTGCACAGTGCGTTGTGTGCCTTCACGTTTCACCACCTCCACTTGGTCACGTCGCATAACTCCACTTGATTGCATCCCGTGCCCCATGCGCCCAATGCTTCCTGCAGGTACAGCTTCCGGTTGAGACCATTGCGCACGAGGAGGTATGACGTCGCCATAAAGGTGAGATCTGCCCATTATGGGAACTCCAATGGGATGGGAGTTAGTGGCAAGTCGGCGTAGTGGGGGAGCACCAATAGTGTAGGATTCGAATCCAACACACTCCATGCCCACATAACTACTTCTACCACTTCCTTCACCAATCTGTCCTTTCATGTTTCTTCCCACGCCAGACCCATCACCATGTTCCCTCACATCCCTTCCACTCCCGTACTCATCATCCCTCCCCAATTCTTCCCTTTGCATGGTTGATTGAGGTTCGAGGTGGGAGCTCCCCTCTCCTTGGAAGGATGCATCCCTCCCTTGGGATGACTCTCCTCCTTGGGGTACGCTTCCTTCCCCTTCACCTTCAATTCCTGCATCCACATTTGAAGTGTGGGTTTGGTTAGTACGCGGAGAGTTTGCATGTGACTGTCTACGGATAGAGGGGTTGCTGGAATCTCGAACTTGGGCTGGCATGTTGAATTTTGCTCTTAAAGAAGCTTGGAGTGTCGGTGGTACTCTTGCAATCATGTTTTCCAGGTGCTCATGTTGAGCCAAGATTGCTTCTTCGAATGCCTCGTATCCAGCATCAACTTCCTCGTCGAACCGCGCCATGCCTTCAGCCCAAGTGTTGCCACTTGCTGTGCAGATTTGCTAATCAGATTAACCAATGTAGATGATGGTAGAGTTCTGACGAAATTTCGGCAGCATGCCCCCTAAAGTTGCTCTGATACCATGCTAGAAAGGCATGATGCCGACGTTGCGGAAGATAGTTTGTAGAAAGAGCAAGGCTGGAAGACTTGTACTGAATGGTTGAAAGCAGAACGAGAATAATGGAATTGATTAATTTCATGGAATGACAGAGCAGGGTATATATGTCAGCAGCTCACCCCATCAGGAGGGCCCTGTCCACACCAATAATCCTACACCAATAATTCTACCCGCCAATAATTCTTACCCTCCAATAATTCTAGACTCCAATAATTCTGGCCTTCCAAAAATTGTACAATTATTGGAGGGCTGGGAGTCTTATAAAGGAACACTACAGTAAAATCTAACAGCATTTGTAATATCTTATGTTGGTGTATTTAACACATTCAACCCCCCGCACCCCCCCCCCCCCCCCCCCCCCCCCCCCCCCCCCCCCCCCCCCCCCCCCCCCCCCCCCCCCCCCCCCCCCCCCTCCCCTCCCACATCCAACCAAACCCACCATTCCCGTGAACAAACATGATGCGTGCATTTTCAGGGTTATCTCATAAAAAGGCAATATCTCATTATCATGCATTTATAGATGCACATCAGATATCGCCTGGTAAATAAGAATCGCAGGTATTATCAATTCAACTGTCTGATGTTAAGCTATTTTGAACCATCTGCCACAAAAAACAAACACGAAAACAACATGAGCCAATACAGATGAGGTCAGCTTTTTCTCAACAATGTTCAGAATGGGAGAGGATCGATGATTGTCCACATACCTACCAGCACAGCAGCACACCACCATACCACCATACCATACCACACCAGCACATCACCGGCACACCACCATACGGTCCATACCACACCATCATCACACCACCACATCCCCATAACGACCCAGCCCTCTCTCCATGGCCTCCATGACTGTTAGATCATGCCCATCCTCACCGACAACTGCTACCATGCTCATCCTCATCCTCATCCTCACCTGAACGCCACCAGTCACCATGCTTATCGCACAGGCAACAAAACGCAACCATACCACCATACCACCACCACATCCCCACCCGCCACCACACCACCGCACCGCATCCCCACCCACCACCACACCACCAGTTAAAGCTCGCGTCTCATATTTACAAGCGTTTAACACTAGGTTGATTACGCACGCCCATGATTGGTTTCGGCAGAAATTTACCCCAGCTCGTCACAGATTTCGTCAATCGCAAACCAGTCACGGAGGCCCACAAACCCAACCAAGTGTTAGACAGAGAAAATATGAGACGCGAGCTTTAAGCAAATCCCCATCACTCACCAGCGACACAACCCTCTTCATGGCCTCCATGACCGTTGGATACTCCTCATCCTCATCCTCATCCTCATCAGACACTATGCAAATGCTCCTTAACCACAGGACAGAACACATCATACCACCACATCACATCCCCGTCCACTCACCAGGGAACCAACTCTCTCCATGGCTTCCATGACCGTTGGATCCTCCTCATCCTCATACCCCACCTGGGATGTCAAGTGGAAATGAGAAAAAAAAAAAAACAAAAAACAAAAAAAAAAACTCAACCTGCATGTATTTTAGGATGACTTAATGCGTCTGTTCCTTCCAAGTGACCATTTGGAAACCAGCAGGTAAAGGAAGGGCTGGGGTTAGAGCGGAAGAAAGCAGGAGAAGGAGAGGGAAAGCCAGGATGAAAATGGGAAGAAATGCTGTTTGTAATGCTGATTGAGTCGCCAACCTCACTGCTCAGGAATTTCCGAAATGCACTGCTGGGAAGGGCAACCACTTAAGGAGAATTCAAGGCAAGAAAAGGCAGGCAGAACACACGGCAGTATGGGAATGGAAGGGGAGGTAAGGGTGGGGTATTGGGCGAGCATAGGGTACTAGGGTTGTGAGTCACCTGGAGTATTCTTGCACCGTGTACGGACCACAGAGCTTTTCTGCCCGCCTCCTGGGAACACAAACAGAATTGGCAAACAAAAAAAAAAAAACACAAAAAAAAACAAACAAACAAACAAACAAACAAAAAAACTGAAATTGGGAGTCCATATAAGATGTGTTGATTTATCGAAAACATGAAAACAAAAACGGATACAACAGACACAGCAAACTAGAGCAACATTCCCACCTCAGAGGCAATGAGGAAGAGTGCATCAGCAGCATCGGCCCTGAGCTTGGCATCGGTCACAGTTGGTCATCTCATGGCCACTTAAGATGGCAGTGATACCGACAGCACAGCACCAGTCAAGGTAGCCAGTGCAGTGCACTAGAACCATGCACACGCATCCACCCACCTCAGAGGCAATGAGGAAGAGAGCATCAGCAGCATCGGCCCTGAGCTTGCCGTCGGTCACAGGAGGTCGCTCCATAGATAGTGGTACCGCCAGCTCTGGCGGCATCTGCTCCCTGTCCTCCTTGCTGTATTCCTGTGAAGGGGGACCCACATGGGAGAGGAGGTGAGGGGAGGGGAGAGACACACACATGGGGGAGAGGGGAGGGCAGAGGCCCCCAGCTTGGCGTCAGTCACAGGGGGTTGCTCCATGGATAGTGGTACAGCCAGTTCTGGCAGCATCTGCTCCCTGTCCTCCTTGCTGTATTCCTGGGAGGGAGGGGAAAACACAGGGTGAGTTTCTGTGGGCTGGAAAGGTATTACTCTTGAGAATTCTCAGGATTAACACCGAGAATTCTCAAAAGTAATACCTGGTGAGGAGGGGAGGAAGTGCATGAGGAGAGGGGAAAATACAGGGTGAGTTTCAGTGGGCTGACTTATGAGTCGACTCAAAAGTCACCTGGGGGGAAGGAAAGGAAGCGCGTGAGGAGAGGGGAACATACAGGGTGAGTTTCTGTGGGCTGGAAAGAGCAGTGGCAGCAGGAGGGAGAGGGGAACATACCGGGTGAGTTTCTGTGGGCTGGAAAGAGCAGTGGCAGCAGGAGGGAGAGGGGAACATACAGGGTGAGTTTCTGTGGGCTGGAAAGAGCAGTGGCAGCAGGAGGGAGAGGGGAACATACAGGGTGAGTTTCTGTGGGCTGGAAAGAGCAGTGGCAGCAGGAGGGAGAGGGGAACATACAGGGTGAGTTTCTGTGGGCTGGAAAGAGCAGTGGCAGCAGGAGGGAGAGGGGAACATACAGGGTGAGTTTCTGTGGGCTGGAAAGAGCAGTGGCAGCAGGAGGGAGAGGGGAACATACAGGGTGAGTTTCTGTGGGCTGGAAAGAGCAGTGGCAGCAGGAGGGAGAGGGGAACATACAGGGTGAGTTTCTGTGGGCTGGAAAGAGCAGTGGCAGCAGGAGGGAGAGGGCCGAGGGAAGGAGTTTGCTGTCTGTCACAGGAGGTCGCTCCATGGCCATTGGCGCGGTAAGCTCGGGCGGCATATGCTCGCTGGCCTCCTTGATGTATACCTAAACCCTAAAAAAACATGGCCGGCAGCAGCAGCTCACACTTCCATAGCACCCGCTTCCTCACCACCCTCCCCCCATTTTCTGCACTCACTCTCGTCCCAGCGAGTGGAAGAAGCAGCGACGGCCAGAGCAGGTCAGCTAGGAGCAGCAGTGAGGGCAGGGCCCCTGAACTAGCGTCGAAGCAGCAGTTTCTGACTGTTGCCATGGCCTGGGAATGTGGGTGGGTGGGTGGAGAAGAGAAGGGAAATGGGTGGCGGAGGGCAGGCCAGCAGCATGCAGCAGCAGCGAGGGCAGAGCCCCAGAACTAGCATCGAAGCAGCAGTTTCTCACTGTTGCCATGGCCTAACGGGGAGAGGGGAAGAGGAAACAGGAGAGTGAAAGGGAAGGGTAGGTGGGGAGGGGAGGGTGGCCAGGTCAGCAAGGAGCAGCAAGGAGGGCGGGGCACTAGAACTAGCATCGAAACAGCAATTTCTGACCGTTGCCATGGCCTGATGAGGAGAGGGGGTGGGTGGATAAGAGAAGACAAACGGGCGGGGGAGGGGAGGTCGGCGAGGAGCAGCAAGGAGGGCAGGGCCTCGGTTGCAGCGTCGAAGCAGCAGTTCCTGACCGTTGCCATGGCCTGATGAGGGGGAGGAGAGAGGGGAATTAGTCGAGGGAACAGGACTGGTAGGAGCAGCAGCGAGGGCAGTCCCAAACTAGCGTCGAAGCACCAGTTCCTGACCGTTGCCATGGCCTGGAGAGGGGGGAGGGGAGGAGGAAGGGGAGTTAGTCGAGGAGGACAGGTCTGGTAGGAGCAGCAGCGAGGGCATTTCTGACCGTTGCCATGGCCTGGAGAGAGGTGAGCGGACTTTTGAGGCGCCTCAAAAGCCATGGCCTGGAGAGGGGAGAGGGGAGAGCAAATAGGTGAGTGAAAGGGACGGGTGGGTGGGGGCGGGGCCAGGTGATTTTTGTTGAATTCTGGCTTCTTTAGCAGGCGAAAATTTCTATGAGTGTCGACAGGGATATATTCAGAGGAATGATGAGATTAATGCACTCTCTAACTCAATCACTCACTCCTTGGCTGCGGATTCGGTTTGGAGATGACATTTGCAGCAGGATCTGCCTTAGAAGCTTGCGCATCCCTCATCCCTCTTAGTCCAAAAGAGTCATGAGATGAAAGAAAATTTTCACAAAACTCTCCAGCCCAATCACTCACTCCTTGACTGCGGTTTCGGTTCGGAGACGACGTTTGCGGCAGGATCTGCCTTAGAAGCTTCTTTTCCGGGTCCAGGAGCAGCTTCCTGGCAGCTTCCAGCCGCGTGGCGTTGACTAGAATGGTGGCCACGTGCTCGTACTCGTCCTCCTGCCCCTCCTCCCTGTCGGCACTCATGGCAAATTGCCTTGTGAGGGAGGCAAGGAGAGGCACGGACCCACTGGGCTGGAGGCAAAGGGGAAAGAGGGGGAGAGAGAGGGGGGAAAGTGGGGGAAAAGGTGGGGGAGAGGGGGTGAGGGGGAGGAGGGAGGGGGGACTTCTTGGGTTGCAATTGCATCTTCCTGGATACTTCCAACAGAGCAGCTTTGACAGGGGAATGGTGGCCACATGCTCGTACTCGTCCTCCTGCCACTCCTCCCTGTCGGCACTCGTAGCGAATCGCCTTGTGAGCGAGGCGAGGAGAGGCACGGACCCACTGGGCTGGAGGCAAAGGGGCAAAGAGAGGGTGGGTGTGAGGAGGATTGGGGAAAGGAGAAGAGAAAGAAAGGGGAGGGAGAAAGGAGGAAAAGAAGGGGTGTCTGAGTAGGAAGAGTAGAAGTGGGAAGAGTGGGAGTGAGACGAGTGGGAGAGAGGAACAGGAACCTTTCAATGCTTCGCAATCACTTCGCAGCCCTTCTTCTAGTTTTAGTCAGATTCGGTACCCCTCGGTTTTCCCCTTCTCCTCCTCCTCCCCTTCTCCTCCTCCTCCCCTTCTCCTCCTCCTCCCCTTCTCCTCCTCCTCCCCTTCTCCTCCTCCTCCCCTTCTCCTCCTCCTCCCCTTCTCCTCCTCCTCCCTTCTCCTCCTCCTCCCCTTCTCCTCCTCCTCCCCTTCTCCTCCTCCTCCCCTTCTCCTCCTCCCCCCCTTCTCCTCCTCCTGCTCCCCTATTCTCACCAACCCCCATAATTCTCACCTCAAGAAGCTTCTCGGCTCCTTCGTCCAGCTGAGTCAGATTCGCGAGCAGCATCACCATCAACCCTGCATTCTTCCCCTTCCCTCCTCCTCCTCCCCCCCCTGCTGCTCCCCCGCGCCCCACGGCCATCCCTCCTGCTGTCTCCACGCCCCTCGCTTTAATCACAGCCTTCGCTGCCACGTCGTGCTGAGATAGGTTCACCAGGGCTTGAGCGGATGGGAGGGATATTTCCTGAGGGAAGCAGGAGGAGGGGGAGTGATGGTGTTAAAGAGGGGGGAAGGAAGTGTTAGAGAGACCAAGGGGTTGCTGGTGGTACAGCAAGGCTGAGAATGTAGCAAACGTTGGTGCTGCTGGTGGGAACAAGGCTCACAAGGGCCTGCTGAGCGACAGGCAGCATACGTGGAGATAGAGGTGGGGGTGGGTGAGAAACCGTAGGGAAGAGAGTGAGGTGGAACGTAGGCCGCACCTTGTTGGCTGAGAGCAGTGGCAGCAGAGCAGCGGCTATGACGTCAGCCTCTGGCAGCAGTTTGCTGAGACCCTCGTCTGAGCCGGTTAGGCCAGCTACAATGCCCACTGCCATGCGCTGCACCTGGGATGACAGGATAAGTGAGGGGAAGGAGAAAAGGAAGGAGCATGGGATGAGACCCTAGCGGAGGGCTAGCAGTAACAAGGTGGTGGGTGAGACCCTCGTCTGAGCTGAGCCTGTGAGGCCAGCCACGATGCCCACTGCCATGCGCTGCACCTGGGATGGCAGGTGGGATGGAAGGAGGGATAGTGGGATACGGGGAGACAGAGAGGTGGCATCAGTTTAATAAGACCCTCGTCTGAGCCTGTGATGCCAGCTACAATGCCCACTGCCATGCGCTGCACCTGGGATGGCGAATCAGGAGGGTGATGGAAAGAGGAGATTTCCAACCAGGTTAAGGAGATTGGTGATAGCAACACCGGGTTGAGTCTGAGCCGGTGAGGCTAGCTACGATGCCCGATGATAGCCGGTAGCCACGATGCCCACTGCCATGCGCTGCCCCGGGATGAGTTGGATTGAGGTAATATGTGTTTTAATTGCGTCTCACGACCTGTGTTGCCTGTTGTGTTCGCGACAAGCTAACGTGGTTACAAGCCGGGGGTGGAAGGACGGACATGGAGAGGGGATTGGACGGGTTTAAGGGGGATCGAACGGGTTTCGGGTTTCGGGTCTAGATTTGTGAAGCGGGGAAACGATCGAGAGCTAATCGGGCGAGTGGAATTGACGTAACCTGATCGGGATAATGACTCCGTTACAGGAGGGCAAGCATGGGAAGAAGGGAGAGTTGAACGGCCGTCTACGAATTCGCTTTGCTCGTCCGGCATGAACATGACCGGAATGCGAAAGTAAATACGACGGACTGATAAGGGAACCCCTATTCGCAGCGAGAGCAACGCGACGCTTGATTTAACGGAAAAGTAATGATCAGGTGATACGACAAACTAGATTGTGCTAGAAGATAACTTCATCTGAAAATAGAAGAGTACCTCTGGTCGCGGCGAGAGTAAGAAGCCAACTAGCTCCTGCACTTCAGCCATTCTGGCCGGCTGATCTGACGGCTGCAGGACGACGACCGGCAACGGCGGCGGGGCTTGACGCGACTTGTCTGAAGTTGGTTGAAGCATTAGGACACGGCAGAAGTGCTCGATCGGGGGGAGATCGATCCGGTCACCGCACTGAAACCCCGCGTTTTGCATACGAAAGGTATACAACCGTTTATGACCGCGTTAAAAAACGATCCTGAGGCAATCGATTCTCTACTTTTACCGCGTCCTGGAACTTGGAAGGATGCACGCAAATCCTGGAATTTAGCCCTAAAAAAACTTTACTATAGCTTGGTCGTAGAATGAAAGCATGATCCACATTGTGCGAGGTTGTACATTTTGCAGTTGTCTAGTGAATTAAAAACGAGGCAGCTATTGCTGAGCATTCTGAACTGTTCGCAAAAACACTCCCACTTTTCCCGCCCCCTCCCACGTCCTCGAGGGCCAGAATTATCCAATTTCGAGGCGCGTGACTGGCACACTCATGACTGGTGGAGCTGGGAGGGGTTGATTTGAATTCACGCATTTCTCGTGATTCGTTCGAAAATCCCTTTGCAATGCTGGACAGGCCAGATCACGAGCATCCCAGGGTTCTGGAAGACCACTGCATTTGACGCTTTCGTCTCACGGAATCCACCGTGGACCTCTCAGAAAGCACAAGCCAGATGCTGATGTGCTACGCGTCGATGTCTAACGTGTCCATGTCATTACAACACACGTATTTTCTGGAAACACCTGTGAAACGAAGGTGTTACGTCGGCACAACTGACAATAGGCGCTCCAGTTCGCATCAAGATTCTAGTTCCCGATTTTCCCGCGTGTTGTTCCCGTCCCGAGACTTGTCTTTTCATCTTTTATTCGTCTTTCGCTTGCTACGCCTATTCGATAATCCCCAAGCACGTCAGCTCGTATCAGCTTGAGCTCAATTGAGTTTTGTCGATTAGAGCTTGATTGCTTGTTCGCGCGTTCGCCGCTGAGACAACCACCTGTCGCTGTAGCGTACATGAGAAGCTAGCTGTCTTTGCCCTCACAGACTTGCACATCTCTCAACGTGTTCAAGTGATTTCGTGCGAGAGGAGAAGCATACACGGTGTAACAGGGAACTTGGGGATAGATCAGGGGTTTACACAAAGGTTGTGTGATTAAGGTTAATCTTCAATCGCGTCATATAACAGGAAGAACAGCCGGCACAGCAGGCGCGGGCGCTTTTCTCTCTACAATGCCCCCACACCTCCAGCAGCCCTCGTACTTTGGCACCGATACAAGGATGGAGTCTTCCGAATCCGTCGCAGTCACACTCGATACAGTCACAGTCGACTCAGACCGCTACCGTCCACTTCCAAGCGGCGAGCCGCAAATGCGAAAAGTCACCGAGTCGCGAGGAAACTCGCGGTTCGGATCCATCGTGTACAAGACGCAGGAGGGTCTCGAAGCTCCCTTGCTGAGCGATGAAATGGCGGTGGGAAGAGGCGACTCGGACTCAGACACCTTTTATGGGAAGGATGTTGAACGCGCCGCGGCCAGGGTTGGCGGCGCGGGAGAAGCGGAGCGCGCGAAGGGAATAAGAGGCGAGGAGTACCGGCGGATCGAACATAGGGGAAACAGCGGGTTTATCGACAGCGTATTTAACGGCATTAATGTTCTCGCAGGTGTGTGGCTTGTTGCGAATTTGTATATTTTGGCCGGCTCTTTTGTTTACCAAGGGCCAGAACAAATAAAAAGAAGAAAAGGCCAGAAAAGAAGATAACAACAAATAAGGCCAGAAAAACGCCGAGTCGCGAACGCAGCTTCCTAGTCCTTTTTCCGTCCCTCGTCTTCCCCTACCCTCATCCCTCCTTCCTAACCCCTTCCCCCCTCCCCGCCCTGCCCTCCCCCACAGGCATCGGCATTCTCTCAACACCATACGCCACGGCGCAAGCGGGCTGGCTGGGTCTTCTCGTGCTGCTCTTGTCTCAACATCCCCTCCTTCCGCCTGCATCCCCCCACCGACCCCTTCCCTCCCCCACAGGCATCGGCATCCTCTCAACACCATACGCCACGGCGCAAGCGGGCTGGCTGGGTCTCCTCGTTCTTCTCTTCTTCGCCGCCGCCTGCTGCTACACCGCCATTCTGCTGCGCCGATGCATGGACTTCCAACCATCACCACATGCCTCACCGTCCGATTCCTCCCTCCGCTCCTTTGCGGACGACCCCGCCGCTCCTCCTGCGCGCGCCTCCGCCCGCGCTTCCCCGCGCATCGTGCGCGCGCCGCGCCCCATCCGCTCGTACCCGGACATTGGGGAGGCGGCGTTCGGGCGCGCGGGGCGGTGGCTAACCGCGTTTCTGCTGTATTTTGAGCTATACGCCGTGACTGTAGAGCTGTTGATTCTAGAGGGGGACAATCTCGCGCATCTGTTCCCGTCCGGTGATATTTGTCTGCTTCCGGGGAGCCTGGTTGGGAAGGGGAGCAGTGGAGGGGTGGAGAGTGGTGGAGTGTGGTTCCTGGAAGGAATAGCACGAGGAGTGGTGGGAGGGGGAGGAGGAGAGGGGCAAAGTGAAGGGTTGTTTGGAGCAGCAGCAGCATTGTCATCAGCGGTTGTAAGGGGGATAGAACCAGCATTAGAGGCAATATCGTTAGCTACAGGAGCAGGCAACCTATGCCTAGAACCGAAGCAGTTCTACGTCATTCTATCCGCGTTACTAGTCCTCCCCACCGTGTGGCTAAGAGACCTCAGCCTTCTGGCTTATATCTCAGCAGGAGGTGTACTGGCATCCCTACTTTTAGTCTTCGGCGTGGGATGGCTTAAAGAGGTTGACCATATCGGGGATATTCCAGGCGGGATCAGCAGCACCACGGAATGGTTCAAACCCATGGGGTTACCAGCAGCAGCCGGTTTATTCGGGTTCTGTTTCTCTGGGCACGCGGTCGTGCCGAATATTTACCGATCGATGAAAAAACCCGACCATTTCACACCAGTCATGCTCGTGAGTTTCGTAGTGTGCACTCTGCTTTATGGCGGGATGGCTCTTATGGGGTACGCCATGTTCGGCGCATCAGTCCAATCGCAGATCACGCTTAACTTGCCGCCGGCACTTAGTGCTTCCAAGGCTGTGGTGTGGACTACAGTGGTGAATCCTTTTACTAAGTTCGCGCTTACCCTGCTGCCGATCGCGCTGGCTTTAGAGGAAACACTCCCCACAGCCCACCCGCACTCTCTCCCTCACTCGGACTCGCATTCTCACTCACACTCGCATTCTCACTCTACCCAAGAGGGGGGTGTGTCTTGCGAAGGTGATGCTGACGTCATGGAAGGAGGCAGCAGAGGCACCGGCACAGGAACAGACACAGGCATGGGCACAGGCTCGGGAACAGGTACGGGAACAGGAACGGGAACAGGAACGGAAACAGGAACGGGGACGGAATCCGGAGAGGGGACGGGCATGGGCAAGGGTATGGATATGGAAATGGGTGTGGATTCATGGCAGCACATAGCATCGGCCACAGCCCTCCGGACGGCACTAGTGGCCGGCGCTGTCGCGGTGGCGCTTTCTGTCCCGTTCTTTGGGCTCGTCATGGCCTTCATAGGAAGCTTCCTCTCGCTTTCCATCTCTGTTATGCTCCCGTGCGCCTGTTATGTGAAGCTTATGGGTGGGCCGTGGAGGGAAGGGGGGAGGCTGGGGTGGGGGGAGGTGGTGGGGGTGATGGGGTTGTTCCTGATTGGCCTGCTGGCTGCTGCGTCAGGGACGTTCTATGCTGTGAGGGGGATTACAGACGAGTGGTGATGGGTGGACTGTCCTAGCTTTTCTTATCGTTTTTTACTTTCGGGTGGGGCCGATTGCACCTTTCGTGCGTTGGCCTGCTGGCAGCTGCGTTTGGGACGTTGTATGCTGTGTATTTTGGGCGGGTGATGGATGAGCGTCAAGGGCTTGGCTGGAAACTGGGGTGAGGGAAGGCAGTGCGGATGGGCTGTTCCTGGTTGGCCTGCTAGCTGCTGCATCTGGGACGTTTAACCAGTCGGCTGGTAGGGGGGTCGCGGATGAGTGGTGATAGCACAGTTGGTTGTGTGTCGGCCTCATTTTGCGATAGACCGAAGAGGGAGAAGAGGAGGGAGAAGAGGAGGGAGAAAGTGGAGAAGGAAGGTACCTAGCGCTGTAAGTGTGGCGGCTGCTGCTGCCTTCAGATTTTAGCCAGACAGTGGCTGATGAATTTTCCCTTACTAATGTTGCTTACTGGGGTTGTTGCGTTGGATGGGATGTGAGTCTATTCCATAGTGTACTGTACCGTAATTGTCAAAGTTACATCCGGGTTTCATACATGGCTCTAAGATCTCATACTACCAACACAGCATTGAGGTTGGACTGGAATCACACATTGCATCGCATTGCTTCACGTGGGTATTACAAATCTACGCGCTGCATCAACCCCCCTACTCCTGCCTACTCCCCAGTACCATACCATACCAACACAGCATCGAGGCAATGCTGCTTCAGTAGTTGCAAGTGTCACCGCAGTCACACTAGCTGGTGAAAGCCACATGGAGGAGAGGTTGGAGGTTGGAACCCCAACCGTACCCCCATGAAACATCCTTCCAGCCGGGTTGCCCGGGCAGATAACCTTCCATTCCATCATCTCCTGTCCACTCTCCGTGCAATGCCTTTTGCCAACTAGGAACCTCAGGAGCCTAGCCTAGCCCACGCCTATGCTTGTATCACTTTGGTGAGAAGTATCAACAGTGATACAAGCATAGCCCGCGGCTATGCCTAGGCACGCCAGGCGACGCACTTGGTGGGTTTGAGCGAGTCCCCGTCGCCCTTCTGCAGGGTCTTGGGCAGGATGACGTCATCCACCCCGTGCACCTGCACCACTCGGATCGAGATGACGTCAGCGGCCACCACGGAAGCTTCCTGCAGGCCGTCCTTGGCCTGCACCTCGAGTGGCTGGGCGCTGCGAGGTGACACCTTCACCAGACGAGCCTTGCACCCGCCTGCTGCCGCCTTGAGCTGTGTTGAGGAGAAGAGAAGGCGAGCATAGGGATGGTTGAGAGGGATTAGTTGCGGTAGACGGACTCCAAAACCTTACAGTGATGGATGGGTCACATGGTTTAGGGACTCCATCGGATGATTGATGGTTGCATTATTAGGCAAGGAAATAGAGAACGTGTCACACCATGATGGTACGGAGTGAATGCCGAAGTGACAGCATGCAACCATCGTAGCACATCGTACCTTCCAGACGCTCACTCAAGCCTCGTCCATTTTTTTTTTAAATCAGATCAGCACGCTCCCATTCGTGGGAATATCAATCTCACCTGCTTCCTTTGCGGGAGGGCCATGAGCTCAGCGGCAGTAAACTTCTTCTGCACCACGTGCAGCAGCAGCACCTCGCGAAGCACCTTGTCGTCTTTAATCGCCTTCTTCGTGTCGTTCGAGAGCTCCTCGAACGCCGCGTCTGTGGGCGCGAAGAGCGTCGCCTCGTAGCAGTTGAACAGGTCGGGAAGGTCCTTGTCCAGGTCTGGATTCATTGAGTGAATTAATACAGGAAACGTAGAGGGTACACGGGTTGAAGGTGACGGTGGGTGAGGGACGACGCCTTCTCGGTGGGCGCGAAGAGTGTCGCGTCGTAGCAGTTGAAGAGGTCAGGAAGGTCCTCGTCCAGGTCTGAAAATGCGTGGAGTTGTATTCCGCGTCGGTGCGAGCGATGAGACACTTTCGTACAGGAGAGGTTACGGTACGAGCGAATTAATCGTTGCTACCACCAAGGTGAATTGCCAATTTCAAGTGAGATCAAGTCCAGGGGGGAAACAGCTCAAGTTCAAGGCTATTACGTCGTCCGTACCTGTCGTCTTGAGCGCGGCGATCAATGTTGAGTAATTTCCGGCCGCCGTGAGCTCCTTCACAAGATTGCTCACCACCAGCTTCCCGTCGAAGCGGCAGTAAGGACGGTTGCGCGCAGCCTCGGAAGGTGAGAGAGACATGGCCAACACTGCCGCCAGCAACAGAATTACGAATGAAGTCACTTTAGAAGCCATAACGCGAGGTGAAGATGGGAGATTACTGCAGAAGCGTGACGGGAATAGGATCTCGATTCGTTTTCTATAATTTTGATTAAACGCAGTGTCTGAAAAGTTGGTGAATGAGGGGATTAATGGAGTCACTAGTAGTAGTTAGGGGCCAGATGTGTACGATGGATTGTTCAGGAGGAAGCGATGAGGAGGCAACACTAGAAGAGCGAATTTATGCAAAAGCTGGATGGAAGGATGCAGAACATTAGCGAATTGGAAATTCAAATGCGGCTCGACGAGTGGAGAATGCGGCTCGCATGAAGCGGCTCGCACCGCAGCATCTTCCCCGGATCACAACACTTGGAAGAGGGGTCACCGCGCCGTCAAGTAAATGGAGCGCAGGAAACGGCCGTCAACAAAATCTGGCCAATCAAAATGCTCGAAAGTGGTGTGCCAAAACTTTGGTCGGTGTCTGACTTTCGTGATTCTTTCCTTGTCACGGTGACCGATGATGAACCAAGCGCGTCTGATTGGCTCGGGCGGAGAACCTCGCACGCGAGAATTGGCGTTGCGAGTTTTTGCTGCAATTGTCCCGCACTACACTAGATGCACGGATTAGCTTTGCAGTATGACCAAGAGATACGAGAAAAAAAACAGCACTTTCAAGGTGCATGATGTTAGGTGTGATACCAAAATACTCTGAATGTCAAGCTGGCTTCTTGGTATATAACATGCATGAATCTGGGAAGCGTATCTCTACCTTTCAATGGTACAGTATTCTCGTGGAGGGTTTTTTACCCAGTCACGCAGCCTCGAAGTTGGGGGAGACAGAGGGCATGCCACTGTCCATTACCGTACCTAGAGTCTTCATTTGAAAGGTAGTGTGGGTATGTCAGTGACAGGCAGTTCGACAACACCACCCTGGCCCCCAGCCATCAGCGCCCGAATCATGCTCCGGATTATGGGCGGATTGAGTCCCTACCTAACTCCAAAACATCATTCCTGAAGCTCACATCAGTGCACCAACTCCCTTGCATGCATCTGAGCCATTCCCTTCACATCCTCATCAACCACCACCCCTTCCTCCTCCTCCGCCTCTTTCACCAAGTCTGCAGCAGCTGCACCCTGCCCCCCTGCCACCAGTGCCCGGACCATGCCCCGCACTATGGGTGGGTTGAGCGTCCACCCCAGCACCTGCATCGTCTTCCGAACCTGCAACAGAGGCCCGGAGGGAAGGACAGCATGCGAGCAGAATTAGCTGAGGATGGATGCAGATACGCCAACGCTTGCCAAGTGTATGCTTTGGAAACTTGGGACTCATCGATCTGCAACTAAAAGCACATGAAAGCTCACCTGGGAACAGCTCTTAATCGAGAGCTCACACCTGAAAGGACTTCTCGGAGCACCTGAAATTTTGCCTGGGAGCACCTGAAAGCACCTGATAGCTCACATGTCCGAAAGCACCTGAAATCTCACCTGAGAGCAGCTGTCCAAGTCCCCTGCAAGTGCGTAGGCCTGGAAGATGCGAGTATAAGTCCTGGTATTGGGCTGCAACCCCACCCTTTCTTGCAGGTCGTTTTCTTAAACTCTCACAAACGGCTCACCTGAGAGAAGCTGTCCAAGTCCCCTGCAAGTGCGTAGGCTTGGAAGAGACGAGTGTACGTCCTGGCATTGGGTTGTAGCCCCACCCCACCCTCTTTTCGCAGGTCGATTTTAGAACTCTAAAGAACGAGCAACTCACCTGGGAGCAGCTGTCCAAGTCCCCTGCGAGCGCGTAAGCCTGGAAGAGGCGGGTGTATGTCCTGGCGTTGGGTTGCAGCCCCACCCTCTGCATCTCCTCAAACACCTCCGCTGCCTCCCTCACTGTGAGACAGGAAAGAACAAAGGACGGGAAAAGGTGGAGGGGGGGGGTTGGGGCGGGGAAGGGAGGGTAAGGATGATGCAGGAATGAGGCAGCGTGGACAAGGAAATGCGTTCTGGCGTTGGGCTGTCGCCCCACCCTCAGCATCTCCTCACACACCTCCGCTGCCTCCCTCACTGCATTGAGGGGAAAAGGGGAGGAGAAAAACGCAAGGATGAGGCAAGAATGTTCTGGCTTGGAAGGGGTGAGTGTACGTTCTGGCTTGGAAGGGGTGAGTGTACGTTCTGGCGATGGGTTGTCGCCCCACCCTCTGCATCTCCTCAAACACCTCTGCTGCTTCCCTCACTGCACCAGGGAGAAGGAAGGGTAAAAAGGGGGTAGAGAAAAGGAGGATAAGAAGAGTGGTGGAAGGTAAGGGTGGAGCAAGCAGGAGGAACCGAGGGCAAGGAAAATGTGTTCTGGCATTGGGCTGCAAACCCCACCCTCTGCATCTCCTCAAACACCTCCGCTGCCTACCTCACTGCAACGGACAAAGAAAGAGTGGATGAAAGCAGGGGTGATGCGAGACTAAGATAGGGAAGTGGGAGAAGTATATGTCTCCATGCCTCGCCTGATGCCCGCTCCCTCCAGCTGCAACACCAGCTTCACCATGCCAGCACACAAAGACCAACACATGGTGCAGATTCAACTGACAGACTGATGGGTCAAAGCGAGAGAAAACGGCGACTCACCCAACCCGTGGCTGGCAAACAGAGAAATGAGAGCAGTGTAGGTCTCCACGCCTGGCCGGATACCCGCCCCCTCCAGCTCCAACACCAGCTTCACCGCCTGCCGGCACCTCAGCTTCTCCTCCTCACTCGCCTCCCTCTTCCCAACCCCGCCCCCCTCCTCCCCCCTCCGCTGCCCCTCCTCCTCCTCCTCTTTCTCTTCCCCTCTCCTCTTCTCCCCTCCCTCCTCTCCTCCTTCCGCTCCTCCCTCCTCTCCTCCCTCCGTCCTTCCGCCAGCCAGCAGTGCCAGCTGTCGGTCCAGCTGTCTGTCCATGCTGCCATGGGCCTCCACCAGCCGGGCCACAGAGCGGTCATCAGGGGCCAGCCCCGCAGCCAGCATGCGCTTGAACGCCGCCACCGCCTCGTCTGTGCGCCCATTCAGGCCGAAGGCGGCTGAGAGAGCAGTGTAGGTGTGGCAGTCTGGCTTTATGTCCGTCTGGGCCTGCAGCACAGGATGGGAGGAGGGGGAATAGAAGGTGTCATCAGGGGCTAGCCCCGCAGCCAGCATGCGCATGAACGCTGCTACTGCCTCGTCTGTGCGCCCGTTCAGCCCGAAGGCTGCTGACAGGGCTGTGAACACATGGGAGTCTGGTTTTATGTCTGTCTCGGCCTGTGATTGAGAAGGGCAAGGAGTGGGGGGCGGGTTTTGGGAAGCAGTGGGGGAAGCGGTGGGGGATGAGGTGGGGAAAGGGTGGGGGACGGGGTTAGGGAGAGATGGAAGGGAGAAGGGAGAGAGCAGGTACTAAGCCTGCTAAGCAGCCTGCATGCACTTAGTCTCTCATACCCACGGGTTCACTCGCCAGTCACTCACCAGTCATTCACCAGTCCCACACCAGTCACTCACCATTCACTCACCATTCACTCACCAGTCACTCACCACCCACCCACCTCACCCACTTACCCATCCACTCACCACCCACCCACCTCACCCACTTACCCATCCACTCACCACCCACCCACCTCACCCACTTACCCATCCACTCACCACCCACCCACCTCACCCACTTACCCATCCACTCACCACCCACCCACCTCACCCACTTACCCATCCACTCACCACCCACCCACCTCACCCACTTACCCATCCACTCACCACCCACCCACCTCACCCACTTACCCATCCACTCACCACCCACCCACCTCACCCACTTACCCATCCACTCACCACCCACCCACCTCACCCACTTACCCACCCACTCACCAGCACTTTATCGAAGACCCTCTGAGCGTCGGCGGCTGCCCACACTTTCTCCCCTGTACAACCAGCCCCTACAGATTCACTCACCAGCACTTTGTCAAACACCCTCTGGGCGTCGTCAGGGCGACCGGCCAGCCCGAAGGCGGTAACCAGTGAGCAGAGAGTGACAGGAGAGGGCTTGCAGGCAGCAGCGAGCATGGAGTTTAGCAGCTGCTCCCACAAGGTTACTCACCACTCACTCACCATGCACTTACAGAACATGCATCAGCCAGCCACTCACCAGCACTTTGTCAAAGACCCTCTGAGCGTCATCAGGCCGACCAGCCAGACCGAACGCGGTAACCAGCGAGCAGAGAGTGACAGGGGAGGGCTTGCAGGCAGCAGCGAGCATGGAGTCTAGCAGCTGCTCCGCCTTGTCTGGCTGCCCCGCCTTGCCATAGACGGTCATCATGGTGGTGTATGCCTTGGCATCAGGAGTAATGCCACGCAGCCTCATTTCTTCCCACGCCGCCTCTGCCTTTTCCAACTGTAATAAATAGCAGGGGTGGGCGGGCGGACGGGTAGGTGGGAGGGTTGAGAGTAAATATGAGTCCAGTGCACACAGTAAGCACTTGTCGAGCTGCCCTGCCTTGCCATAGGCAGTCATCATGGTGGTGTATGCCTCTTAGTCGCATTTCCTCCCACGCTGCTCCAGCCTTCTCCACCTGCCACACAGGGGCGGGTTGGTGGGTGGGGTGGACGGCAGTAAACAATACAGCAGTGCACACAGTGCTCTCATGCCCCGCCTTGCCTTTTGAGTCGATACAGTGCACACAGTGCTCTCATGCCCCGCCTTGCCTTTTGAGTCGATACAGTGCACACAGTGCTCTCATGCCCCGCCTTGCCTTTTGAGTCGATACAGTGCACACAGTGCTCTCATGCCCCGCCTTGCCTTTTGAGTCGATACAGTGCACACAGTGCTCTCATGCCCCGCCTTGCCTTTTGAGTCGATACAGTGCACACAGTGCTCTCATGCCCCGCCTTGCCTTTTGAGTCGATACAGTGCACACAGTGCTCTCATGCCCCGCCTTGCCTTTTGAGTCGATACAGTGCACACAGTGCTCTCATGCCCCGCCTTGCCTTTTGAGTCGATACAGTGCACACAGTGCTCTCATGCCCCGCCTTGCCTTTTGAGTCGATACAGTGCACACAGTGCTCTCATGCCCCGCCTTGCCTTTTGAGTCGATACAGTGCACACAGTGCTCTCATGCCCCGCCTTGCCTTTTGAGTCGATACAGTGCACACAGTGCTCTCATGCCCCGCCTTGCCTTTTGAGTCGATACAGTGCACACAGTGCTCTCATGCCCCGCCTTGCCTTTTGAGTCGATACAGTGCACACAGTGCTCTCATGCCCCGCCTTGCCTTTTGAGTCGATACAGTGCACACAGTGCTCTCATGCCCCGCCTTGCCTTTTGAGTCGATACAGTGCACACAGTGCTCTCATGCCCCGCCTTGCCTTTTGAGTCGATACAGTGCACACAGTGCTCTCATGCCCCGCCTTGCCTTTTGAGTCGATACAGTGCACACAGTGCTCTCATGCCCCGCCTTGCCTTTTGAGTCGATACAGTGCACACAGTGCTCTCATGCCCCGCCTTGCCTTTTGAGTCGATACAGTGCACACAGTGCTCTCATGCCCCGCCTTGCCTTCTGAGTCGATACAGTGCACACAGTGCTCTCATGCCTCGCCTTGCCTTTTGAGTCGATACAGTGCACACAGTGCTCTCATGCCCCGCCTTGCCTTTTGAGTCGATACAGTGCACACAGTGCTCTCATGCCCCGCCTTGCCTTTTGAGTCGATACAGTGCACACAGTGCTCTCATGCCCCGCCTTGCCTTTTGAGTCGATACAGTGCACACAGTGCTCTCATGCCCCGCCTTGCCTTTTGAGTCGATACAGTGCACACAGTGCTCTCATGCCCCGCCTTGCCTTTTGAGTCGATACAGTGCACACAGTGCTCTCATGCCCCGCCTTGCCTTTTGAGTCGATACAGTGCACACAGTGCTCTCATGCCCCGCCTTGCCTTTTGAGTCGATACAGTGCACACAGTGCTCTCATGCCCCGCCTTGCCTTTTGAGTCGATACAGTGCACACAGTGCTCTCATGCCCCGCCTTGCCTTTTGAGTCGATACAGTGCACACAGCAGTAGTGCACCTCAATACAGCAGTGCACACAGTGCTCTCATGCCCCGCCTTGCCATAGGCGGTCATCATGGTGGTGTATGCCTTGGCGTCGGGGGTTATGCCTCGCAGCCTCATCTCCTCCCATGCCGCCTCGGCTTTTTCCACCTGCCACACAGAAGGGCGGGTGGTTGGATGGGTTGGTGAAAGAATAGGCAGGATATGAGTCCAGTGCGCACAGTGACTAATCGCTCATGCCCCGCCTTACCATGGTGTATCATGGTGGTGTATGCCTTGGTGTCAGGGATGCCTTGCAGTTGCATTTCCTCCCACACCACCATAGCCATTGATCCTCAAAGAAAGGAGATCAAGTCAGGAGCCGGCCATCCGCTCTATGCCTAAAAGGCTGCTTGATTGTGCACGTAAAAACGAACCCACTCAGCAACAAATTTTGAGACGTCTCAATTTTGAGACTTCTCAAAACTCTATGCCTGAATGACCGCTTGATCATGCACGTGAAAAACGAACCCACTCAGCAACAAATCCGCACCACACCTGCTTGCCCCGCCCAAAAAACGAAAGCCGATCACGCAGTATCCCACCCGCCTCCATGCGTGTGAACGCTCACTGGTAACAGAGAATCGATTATAAATAAACCCATACAAACCTGCTTGGCCCACCCATAGGCATTGATCTTCACAGAGAAGGAGATCAAATCAGGCAGTAACCCATCCGCCTCAATGCCTGTAAAAGCCCACTAGTATAGTAACAGAGAATCGAAGATAATCAAACCCACACAAACCTGCTTCGCCCGCCCATAGGCGTTGATCTTCACAGAGAAAGAGATCAGATCTGGAGCTATCCCGTCCGCCTCCATGCCAGTGAACGCCCACTAGTAACAGAGAATCGGTAGTAAATAAACCCATGCACAACTCCTTGGCTCGCCCATATGCGTTGATCTTCACAGAGAAGGAGATTAAATCCGGCGCTATCCCATGCGCCTCCATGCCAGTGAACGCCCACAAGTAACAGGGAATCGTATTGACAGAGAACTTATACACACCTCCTTGGCCCGCCCATAGGCGTTGATCTTCACAGAGAACGAAATCAAATCTGGAGCTATCCCGTCCGCCTCCATGCCTGTGAACGCTCGCTCCATCTCCCCCAGCCGCCCGTCCTTGCCGAACCTCTCCACCAGCTTCGTGTAGTCCCGAGCGTCAGCCTCGTACCATTCCTCCGATAGAGACCACTGCATGACCTGCGAGTGGGGTATGTAGGATCATGAGATGTGTGACACAGTGGTGTGGGAGGAGGGGGAAAGTGGGTAACGGCTTTTGAGGCGCCCAAAAAAATAAGAGATGTGTGACACAGTGGTGTGGCTGGTGGGGGGAAGTGGGTAAGGGGAAAGGGGAAGCGGGAAGGGGGAAGGGGGAAGGGGGGAGGTGGGTGCGAGTAAGGCAGGGCCAATGGATCGTCAGCCTTGTACCAATCTTCCGATAGGGACCACTGCATGAGCTGCAAGCGAAGCACGTAGGATTATGAGATGCGGACATAGGTGAAGGGGGGAATGGTGAAAGAAAGGGGACGGGAGGGAAGAGGGTGCAGGGTGGAAGGGGGAACGGGTAAGGGGGAAGGGGGAACGGGTAAGGGGGAAGGGGGAACGGGTAAGGGGGAAGGGGGAACGGGTAAGGGGGAAGGGGGAACGGGTAAGGGGGAAGGGGGAACGGGTAAGGGGGAAGGGGAGAGGAGGGTGTGAGTAAGGCAGGCCTAAGGTAGAGGCAGCCTCATGCCATTCCCCTGAGGGGGGCCACTGTATCACCTGCAAGGGACGGGGGCCATGAGTTCTGTGACATACAGGCGCGGGTGGAGGGGGGACGGGGGAAAGGGGGATGGGAGGGAGGTGGGTGTGAGAAACGCAGGCCTTGTACCATTCCTCTGATGATGACACTGCATGATCTGCAGCAAGCCGAAATGACAAGGATTATGGCAATGCAAGGTGGACCAGGGAGAAAGGAAGTTTGTGGCGAAGTTGGGTGATTTTGAGAATTTTCAAAATCAACCTTCTGAAAAAGTTGGGAGGAGGGGGCCGGGGTGGGAGTCGGAGGGGAAAAGTGTGAGAGGCATGTTTTGATTTGACTCAAAACACGACTCATTACACGGGGTGGGAGTCGGAGGGGAAAAGTAAAGTGTGAGAGGCACAGCAGCTCCCTGGCATCCGCAGTGTCAGTCTCTTTGATCGTGTCAATCGAATCATGATAAATTCATCCTCGTTATTGTCAGACCCACCCACCTGGCACAGCAGCTCCCTGGTATCAGCCGTGTCCAAATCTATAATCGTGTCAATCAAATCACAATCATTTTTCCAGGTATCCTCGTTATTGTCAGACCCACCCACCTGGCACAGCAGCTCCCTGGTATCAGCCGTGTCCATCTCTTTGATCGTGTCAATCAAATCCCGGCGGTGCGGCCGCACGCCCTTCACCCAGCTGAGGGGATGGGGGGGGGGGGGGTGGGCACAAACGCAGACATGCACAAGAGGGACGGCAGGGGGGATGGGGGAAGGCAGGGGGGATGGGGGACGGCAGGGGGGATGGGGGACGGCAGGGGGGATGGGGGACGGCAGGGGGGATGGGGAAAGGCAGGGGGGATAGGGGAAGGCAGGGGGGATGGGGGAAGGCAAGGCGATGGGAAAAGGCAGGGGGGATGGGGGGAGGCAAGGCGATGGGAAAAGGCAGGGGGGATGGGGGAAGGCAGGGGGGATGGGGGACGGCGAAGCAACGCAAATGTATCTACTGGCTTAGGAACGAAAACTTCAAGCGTACATGGCACACATTCACCTATATGTAACAAGGAATATGTGATATGTAGTTATACTAATCTCGTACTTTTCGAGCCTCTGACGCAGTTCATCCTCGTCAGCAGGCGGCTTCGTTTTCAGCTCCTTAATAAGCACCAGTGCCTTGCGTGTGACGCGTCCAGAGACTAGAGGACGCGCTTCCGGCCATTTCCGACGACGATGCGCCGTGCCGGCCGCTAGCGCCACTGGCGCCATGCCGGCCGCACGGACGATCACTGGAGACCATTGATTTTCTGCCTGGCAAACATCCAGCCGTCGATTTTGACATCTGCCTGATAGCTGTAGTTTTGAATCAGCAACGAATCCGTCTATAACGAAGCATGAATTGAGAGACGCTAGCGAGCTTCGCGTGAGAATGGCTGCGAGAGCTGGCATCTCGAAACGCGGCTTCTGAATAACGAGCGGAACGAGGCTACACCCGCAAACACGATTCGCAAGCAGCTGAGGGTCAGCGTATCGGCGATTTTCGCAGGTTTCGTGAATGAAAGACAGCGACTGCTACACTCAGTAGCTTTCGAGACGTGTAGAAACAAGTCACGGGGTTCTACGAATCCGTGAAAGGAGAACGGCGGCTAGATGCTTTATTGGCGATAGAATCACGGGTGGCGTCAACAAAGAGAGGAACAAACGAGAGGGGATTCGCAATGGCTCGTCTAAGGTCAGAGTTTATCGCCTTGCAATAGACGAGCTACAGCGAATTCAGGGAGGGAAATGAGCAGACGAGCTGAAAAAAAGGATCGAGTGAAAGGTGAAGTGAAGGTGACTAATCTCGTGAGAAGGTGAAAATGAGGAGCGAGAGAGGTTAGGGGAAGAAAATTCCGAAGCATAGCATCTCACCGCACTGAACCGATTTATCGGGTGTTTTGGGATGACCAGGATTACGAAAATCAGCTACCCGAACTTTCTACGCCTCGCAACCAATCAGTGGCAAATTGGGATTATCCTGGTGTAACATCCTATCTAATTCCACGTGGTAATAGTGAAAGAACATTCAAGGCTGAAATTATTATTTGAATCTCATATTCAGTACAGCAATGTTTTTCAAACTTTGCCAGCATCCTTGAGTGTAAGACACATCACAGCCAGATTTTATGCGCAACCTACACCTGCAGCTAAACTACCCCTCCACAAGCTCATGCTACTCCACTCGAACAGGCCGGTTTCTTTTTGGCGCTTCTGCTGCCTTGCTGCTTCCGCTCCCAGACTCACCATCTTCCCCCTTTCCTACCCCCGCCTCCTCTCCCCCAGCAACACCACCACCCGTGCTCTCACTCCCAGCAGCACCACCGTCAGCATCGTCGACTGATGTCTTGAGAATCTGCTCTGCTTGCACCTGCCGCCTCCCCTCCCTGCCCTCCTGCTTCGCCATCTGCTGCAGCACCGATGCTACCTCCTCCTCCAGCCGCCCCTCCGCCTTTAAACGAGCAACCTGCAGTGTAATCACATATCAGTAATCGCAGAGCAGTAATCAAAGAACAGTAACATTTATCAGTTGGACACATCTTCATGGAGCCTATGCATTTGAATCCATTTCGAGGCAGACTTTAACACACGACGCACATAAAAAACCTAGCCATTTTAACAACTACTTATGATGTCCCCATATTCCGTCCCCAAACAAACACCACCGAGCATACTCTTTTGCTGTACCAGCAGCCTTTGCTTGCTGTGCTACCTACATTGTAGAACCTTGACTTACTGCATTGTATACACACCATCAGCAACCACACACCTTCATCTTGATGCGCAAGAACACCTTATCAGACAGCACCTGAAAATGAAACCTAATACAACCTGAGTTCCATCAGTTCCCAGCATCCCTCGTGCCACCCTCTCACAACCTCAACGGCAGCAGGGTGTGGAATGACATACAACATGTGAAGGTGCTTATTCTTGTTCTTCTTTTATTCTTCTCTATTTCCCAGACCGTGCACCTCCGTCATGACATCTTCACATAGCTTGAATTGACGCAGATTATAACGATTGAATCGACACAGTTTATAATACACAAACCATCCATATGCACCATGTCAAGAGCCTCTCACCATGTCAAGAGCCTCTCACCTCCTTCTAGGCGTCATTCCAGAGCTTGAACCGCAGCAACAGTCCCATGCCAATCCCACTTGTGAGTCGACTCAAACGTAACAACCCCACACCCACTCCCGCTTTTGAGTCGACTCAAAAGCAACATCCCCACTCCCACCCGCACTATTGAGTCAACTCAAAAGCAGCAGCCCCACCCCCACTCCCACTTTTGAGTCGACTCAAAAGCAGCAACCCCACACCCACTCCCACTTTTGAGTGGACTCGTAAATCGTTCCTCTCACCTCCTTCTTGGCGTCATTCCAGAGCTTGAACCGCAGCAACAGCCCCACCCCCACTCCCACTCCACCAGTGGCTAAGGCTGCGCGAAAACAACAAAAAGAGACAGATGAATAACGAACAGAGGTGTTGGGAGAGGGATGGGGGAGGCGGGAGGGAACGGAAAGGGACAAGAGCAGAAGCGAATAATGAACACCCAGACTGTACACTCTATAAGATGAATCTGTTCACTCTATGGGACTCACGCACGTGTGTACACAAGCAATTTATTTTACAAGCGTTTGCAAAATCAGACAAGACTATTGAACACCAATTTTTTTCTGAGATTCAAACACGGATTTAACATCCCCAGTGCACTCCACAACCCATGATATCACGTTTCTACAGTTCAGCTATAGTTTTCACAACTCAAACACTCCAAGTATCCAACAGTTTTTAGCCACTCCCACACCCTGCAAGCCAAGCCCTGCAATTCCTTGGCTCATCGAATTCACTCACTCCCACTCCCACGGACAGCCTACAAGCGTTCCAGGACACACCCACTGCAGTGGCCATACATCATCAACTTGATACAACTCACCTGCTACCACACCCCGCAAGCCCTGCATTTCCTTATTAAGTCTTATCAATCTGGCCCGATTAAACTATATGCCAGCCACCTATCGGGGATTCCAGGACTCACCCACTGCAGCGACCATACATCATCAATTTGATACAACTCACCTGCTCCCACTTCCTGCTTTTGAGAATGCCCCGCATTTCCTAGTCTTATCAAACGCACACACTCCCACCCACAGTTGTGCTAGAAATCCCACTCCCACAGCCTCTCTACAGTTTGCGCAGAGGAGACACGTGGCAGCACTCACCCACTCCCACAACCTCTCTACAATATGCGCAGAGGAGACACGTGGCAGCACTCACACACTCCCACAGCCTCCCTACAGTATGCGCAGAGGAGACACGTGGCAGAGCTCACCCACTCCCACAGCCTCTCTACAATATGCGCAGAGGAGACAGCGTGGCAGCACTCACCTACTCCCACGGCCTGTAGCACCGAGATCCAGTACGTGTCGTCCAAGCCCGCGCGAGCTGTCACGTGTCTCCTCCGCGCTGCCGTTAACGACGGCGACGGTCGCGGCGAAAAATGCGGCGAACGCGCGCCGGAAAACGCTACTTGTCCGGGCTGAGCGGAGGAAACCAGGGGTGCGGCGACGAAATTCCCTGTCGATCCACACTTACGTGACGAAATCACGGCCGTTATTATCCTATTTTTGACCGCGCGTTGGACGGTGACATCGGGGACTACTGATCGTCGATTTCTACACGTTTCAAGCGATCGGCTGTCGAAAAAATCTGTCCGCAACGAGAATGCGGAAGGAGCTGCAGCGACCCCGACGTGGCATTTCATCGTGGCAATGGCAAGCGCCGCCTCGCACAAGTCTGGGCGGACGCTTCGAGATTCGCCAATAAAACCTGACTGATAAGACAGCAGAGCTAGACGCGAAGGTCGCAAAGATGGTCGGGTCGGGACACGGGACGACGAGAAGACCCTATGTGGGTGGTGGTGAAGAGTAAAACAGAGAGCCAGAAATAACATGAGGGCGTGGTTTACATACATGTTCGTATTGGCTGATACCCCACCGAACCGATGTAGATATCAGATTGACCGTTTGCAACGGGTAAAATCTCTGTGCAGCTCTCCGCTCGGGCAAACCCATGAGGTACTGAGGGTTTGGGAATGGTGGAAGTAACTGGCAAGAGGGAAAAATGGTGCAGATTCGGATGCAAAGGAACTTGCTCTCATTGAGAGTTGAACTCAAGACCTCCCGCTTACTAAACGGGTGCTCTAACCAACTGAGCTATGAGAGCCGGTAAATTTGTTCTAATTTATTGTTCAATAGTATATATTTAAGCGGACCAGGTGATTTTCATGGCAACTATAAATTCCTCCCATCCCCCAGCCTTTTTCTCGTCTCTCTCATCGCCATTTCCTCTTAGGATCGTAAACACCTTAGTCGGCAATAGTCTACTCGCTATTGCTTATCGTGTTCACCCCGTGCGCCTCGTTCACCCCGAGTCGCACACGGAACCGAACTGAATGCACCGAACACTCCTCAAGTCCGAATCTGGAACCTTCTCGAACGCGCCTTGGTCTCAGACCACAATTTCCCCCGTCGATCTCATCCTCGATGCTTCTCCTTCTCTCTTCCTCCATTTCTTTGGTTCCTTCTCGATTTCTCTCCCGCTTCTCACGCCGTAGGCTGATTTCCACCGTTTCACCTAGAATCATCCACGCGCTTCCATTTCGCCGTCATTCCGCCGTCGTAGAGACTTTCGCCATAGGTTCCGTGGTTGGGCGAACCAACCCTAACATTTCCAAGGAGACCCCTGAACCTCGCCCCGCCAAGCACCCGTCCGTTGTGTGCGCTGCTGCCAGTTGACCTGCTCGGCTCTGCCAGCCGCCTCTCATGGCGACGATGGAGAAGGTGCAGATCAGCGTCGATGGCGTCGAGGTAAGGCTGGATAATGACGCAGGCAGTGCAATGAGTCAGCGGGCAAGAAAAAAAAACTAAAACCCATTCGGACTGCATGCCATTCGGGAGCCTCAACCTTTAGGGTTGAGGCTGAGAGTGAATCTTGAGTCAGGCATTTGGACGTTCTTCCTATCCCTAGTTCGTGCACGTTTTACGATTTTGTTGTTTGTATTTCTATATTCGTTTTGGACCACTCTGTTGTTCGTTATAATTTTTTTCTCATTATTTTCGTTTTCTTTTTGGCTGTCGTACTCGTTTCTCCGGCAGACGTTCGACGCGTTCGTGGCGGGCGAGGAGGGCAAGCCTGGCGTGGTGGTGCTGCAGGAGTGGTGGGGCGTCGACTTCGAGGTCAAGAACCACGCGGTTAACCTCGCTGCCAAGGGCTTCCGCACGCTCATCCCCGAGTGAGTGGCGAATAAACATGATGGTTGTAAATATAAGTGATTTTCGTTTCAACTTGAGATGCGATTCCTGATCTGACGAAGCCAGATCTGATGTGTTCGACGAGTACTGAGCTGTTTCTTGGTTGCGAATTTTTTCGTTCCTTTGCCGTCGCAGCTTGTATGGGGTCAAGGTGGCTTTGCAGGCCCTGCAGCATTGTTAACCCTAGTCGCTTAATTTCCTTTCTGCTTTCTTCCCTGAATCTCTCCTTCGTTCGATTGCAGCCTGTACAAGGGCAAGGTGGCTCTTGAGGCCGCTGAGGCGCAGCATCTGATGGACGGCTTGGATTGGCCGACTGCCATCAAGGAGATCGGCGCCTCCGCCAAATGGCTTCTGGCACACGGCTCTAAGAAGGTAATAACCTTATTAAGCATCTCGGGTATTTTTTTTCCATTATCATGAAGAAACAAATGACACCATTGTTTTATTGTCTTGTCATACATGTTTACTATTATTATGATTTTCTTATGCATTCATGCGGTACTAATTTGTCGCATTGTTTTGTGTGTTTATGAGTCCAAATCGCCTCCTGGTCCACATTTATATCATGCGACCTCCTTGCCATTGTGTCTTCCGTGCTTGTTCCCCACAGGTCGGCGTGATCGGATTCTGCATAGGTGGCGCGTTGACTCTAATCTACTGTCGATTGCCAGCCGCCTTTTGTCTCTCTTTTCCAACAAGTCTCTGTCGCTGTTCTCCTTCCCCACAGGTCGGCGTGATCGGGTTCTGCATGGGAGGCGCGTTGACGCTACTCGCCGCTATAAACGTCGATTCGGTGTCCGCAGCAGTGTCCTTCTACGGCGTTCCCGAGGCAGTTCTTAAGGAGGATGCCAAGGCGAAGGTCCCCGTGCAGGCGCATTTCGGCGAGCTCGACGGCTTCAAGGGCTTCTCAGACGTCGATGTGAGTTACCTTTAGCTTCCCTTAAACATTTTTTTAGCATTCCGTCATCATTCGTTTACCTTGACATTGCCTGCGTTCAACCTTTTAACCGTCACAGGCACTTGCTCGCGAAAGCGTGCCTAATCCTTCTCTTAATTTTCCGTCTCCTACCTATGCCCCTAACTCTGCTACAGACCGCGCGTGCGCTGGAGAAGCGTCTGGAAGCTGCGGGTGTGCCGCACGAGGTGCACATCTACCCCTGTCAGGGCCACGCCTTCGTGAACGCTTCGCCAGAGGCGAGGAAGCGAAAAGAGGGGATGGGGTTACCAGGTCACGACGAAAAGGCCGTGGAGCTGGCGTGGTCACGAACTGTTGACTGGCTCAACAAGTATCTGTGAAGGGGAGGAGAGGGGGGGGAGGGGTGGAGGAGAGAGGAGGAGAGGGAGAGGAGGGGATGGAACGTTCAGCAGTTTGTAAGAATTTGAGGGGAGCTGGGATTTTCAAATTAGCTGTAAATAGGTGAGATTTCAGATTTATGGTGCACCTTAGGTGCACTGTTAGAAGCTGAGGTGAGCTGAGCTGAGTAGATTTGAGCTGAGTTGGCAGTTGTGTTGAAGACTCCTTCAACACAGGAGGAAGAGAGGAGTCACTTGTGTGGAGGAAGGGGAGAGGTGGATTTAGTATGGACAGGTGCAATTGAAGAGGTAATGGAGAGGATTGGAGTGGAGAGAAAGGAGGAGTATTGTTACAGGAGGAAGGGTCCGCGGGCCCGGCAAAGGACCACACTCGGCCAATCCCATTCAAAGCATCGTGATTATATCAGGGTGCTAGTGGGCGGCGGCCACTCTCTGGCCTGCCCCTCATCCTGGGCTCGTTTCAGTCACGCTTTGTGACTGTAGCGATGTCTCACGCATGCTGAGCTGTCATCGTGAGGAGTGCCGTGCGAAAGTCCCCGACCGACCTGGTAGTAAGTACCCGCCCGAAAGGGCAGAACCCCCTGCATTCCCTCCCTTGACAGCTGCTTCGGGCAGCTGTGGGCTGAGACAGGCAGCTGTGGATTTTTTCCGTGGCTGCCCTGAGCTCTGCTGCTGGCTGTATGCTGGCGCCAGGGGCAGGAGCGGGAGGAAAGTAGGTGCAGCACAGGCATGTGGTCAGTGGGGTTACCACCCACCAACAGAACGGGGCTTACTCTTGCCGTGCCCACTTCCCTTTCCCTGTCTTGTACCGTATGTGATTAATTTTAATGAGAAAAAAGGAGTTACAGATAAGGTTAACTAGTCCGAGAAGGTATCTAAGGTGGTGAGGTGAGGTATCATGCTATATTTCTTGAGCATGGCAAAGCAAATGCAGTAGAAGGGTAGAACAGTCACCCTGAGTTGTATCAGTGAGCCACAACCAAGTTTCAGCCCTTGTGAACACCCAAGGTCAGATCAGAATCAATCCACATCAGGGTGTAATCTGGTTCTGTAATAATTTGAGTAGTTTTATAGTTCTCATAGTTATGGGTAGTGTAAATAGAACAAAAACTCCTAACTATTTGATAACTCAGAAGAACGGGATTGCGACACATATGGTAGTACATCAAGGACATGTCAAGGCAGGAATGTAGTGATTTTAGGGGAAAAAACTACTCACAACCAGAATTGGCCTACAAAAATCACCAGCTGGCAAGTGTTATCAGGGTCCCTGAATATCAGCAACTAGATAGGACCTGGTGTAACAATCATCCCAGGAAATATGTCCCTGATCAACACTGCCACATCTTCAGCATCCGTTGCAATTTTTTGGAGCCACTTAAGGCCCTTGAGCCATTTGACACCCTCGGCAGTGATTTTCGCATCCCACAACCCCAACCGCTCCAGTCGTTTCATATTTCTCTGGTGCTTCATGCCAGAATCAGTCACCCCTGGAGGGAGAGCGAAGGTCTTCAGTGAGGAGAGGGCAGTCAAGTGCTGCAGCCCATCCTCCCTCACCCCACTGCCATACAGTATGAGACGTTCCAGTGAAGTCAGTTTGCCTACATGCACCATGCTGGCAGAGGTGATTGAGGCACACTGACCAAGCAACAGCGTCGTAAGTGCAGGCATCCTCTGCAGCTTCGCTACTCCTGTATCGGTTATCTTGGTCTTCTCTATATCAAGTGTACGAAGACTCGCCAGGCTGGCAACGCCGTCAAGAGCTGCATCATATATGGCTCCACTGCTTAAGTTCAAACATGTGAGGCCAGTGAGAGAGAAGAGGCATGTCACCCCCGCTGCAGTGAAGCCGGAGGAGTCATGCAGGCTGAGCCACGTGAGAGAGCGCAAGGAGGCCACTTGTGTGAGAGCAGCGTCGGAGAGGTAGACACCGCCGAGGTCCATGCTCGTCTCGCCTGGGAAAAATTTGCTCCACATTTCCATCAGAGCCTGCAGCCACGTGCAGCAGAAAGGTCAAACATGGGGAGGGAATGGCATATGTGGCGCCAGAGGGACCAGGTTGTATGAGGTTCGGACAAGGTTCGGACAAATGTCGGACAACAAGGTTCGGACAAAGTTCGGACAACAAGGTTCGGACAACGAGGTTCGGACAACAAGTAGGACACCACACATGCAAGATTCAGGTCGTATATGATTGGCATGCATTTTGGCTCCTGAATAAACAGTCAAACAAAGCGCTGCTGGTTTGCCGGGTTGGTAATAAATAAGAACCGACCATCCTGAAAACGACACTCACCTCCCATATCTTGTTTCCTCCAGCGCATGTTTCTTCCAGCGCTTCCACTCGCGTCCTCAGTCCCTGTGTAGTGAGGTTATTTCTGAGGCGCCTAAAAAAAACCATATTTTTTTAGGCGCCTCAGAAAGTGCACTCACCTCCCATATCTTGTTTCCTCCAGCACATGTTGTCTCCAGCGCTTCCACTCGCGTCCTCAGTCCCTGCACCTCATCCTCGCAATCCTCATCATTCTCCTCCTCCGAGGAGGAATCCTGCTCGTCACCCTCCCTTTCCGCTGCATCTCCCTTCCCTTCGGGCGCACCGCCAACGGCAATAAGAGGGCACACACCCAAAGGAGCATCCACCATCTCCTCCTCCTTCCCCGCCTCGTCCCTCTTCCGCCTCTTTTCCTCGCGCCTCTCCGCCCCCGCGTGCTCCCCCGCGGTGCCCTCCTTGCGCTCGTCGCGGTTCTTCTCCGCGCGGCCGTCCTTCAGCGCCGCGAGCGCCAGCTCGACGTCGTTGATGCGCGCCTCCGAAGGCGCCGCCGTCGCCTTCACGTACGCGACCTCCGCCGCCTGGCGCTCCGCCGCAGCCCTCATCCGCGCAAGTTCCGCCTTCAGCGCGCCCATCTCCCCGCGCATCTCACTCGCCTCGCCCGTCGCCGCTTCCAACTGCGCCTTCACGCCCTCCAATTCAAGCGCAGCAAAACTATTTCCCCGTGCTCCCTTCAGCGGCTGCGCGCCAACGCCCTCCGCTGCCTCCCCCGACGCACTCCCGACCCAAGCAACATTTTGGAAAAGGCCTTTTCCCGCCTCCGCCCCCTCACTCTTCTCCGCCAAAACACCCGTCGCTGCCGTCCCCTTGAGATGGGCCATGGCGCTTCGCATTTCGGCCATGTCACGCTTCAAAGTAGCCATGGCGTCGCCCTGCTCCTTCAACTTCGCCTCCAACGCTGCCACGCGCTCTCCCACGCCGCCCGCCATCTCTTCCAGTTGCACCTTCAGCACCATGCCGTTCACCAGCCTCAGCTCCATGTCCTGCGGTGTCGCCGCCATTCTATTTTTCTCAAGGCTGTCCAGCCTTAGGCTGGAAATCCGTTTGGTTGTAAACTGCAAAGCACGCAAGTATATGCAGAGCAACTTCTAAGTTGGAGAAAGGTGATAAGGGTGAGAGAGTTCACTACGCAAAGGAAACGTGAAGCTTTCATTTGCTCATGGCAGATGTGTGGCGTGTTGAAATTCTCCTGGGCCTTCGCTTCGGGCGTGTGTTGATTTCTTTGCTTTGCATTTGAGCCAGCAAAGTTTAAAATGAACGGTTGGATTTAGGGCGGATGTTGTTGGGGGCCCGATGTGCGACTCTCGCTGTGCCCAAGCATATGCGATTCGACAGGTGGCCAGCGTGAACCGCGGGAAGTGAGTGAGCAACCCCACCCCACCAAGCCAAAATGTAGTGGAACTGAACCAAACCATCCAGCTCGAAATCAACAGTAAAAATCCGTTTTCGCCTTGACTGGCCCTGAAATAAGCATGCAAGCATATTTATTCTGTGCATCTTTTGACAGAAAGTATGATGAATATTTACTAAGAGGAAGGGGCAGCTAAATTTCTTGTTGAAGTGCACAATTGGACAAAAGGAGCCATGCTTGGAAGGTGCTACTACATCACAAGCACAATTCCGGTCATGTTAGCGAACGATCACATAGAATGGATAATTCAAATTGTCCCAGATTTTGAGCCAAATCCACATGGCCTCTATTATGAAAACCATCTTGCAAACATGCATTTATGCTTCCCCCCACTATGTTTCAACGTCGTTTCATATTCCTGTAATTGCCGCAAGAACCCAATGTTGGGCTGCACTATTGGTCGACACTGCCGAACGTGGAATAGAGCTGTCTTCAGGTCCCACCCCTTAGTCTTCATCATACAAGCAATCACTATCGTTGCGCTCCGAGACATGCCTGAGCGTAACAACAGGTACAAATGGGAACAAGGGATCAAGAAAAGGGTGAATGTTGGGCTGCACTATTGGTCGGCACTGCCGCACGTGGGACAAAGCGGTTCTCAAATCCCACCCCTTGGTCTTCATCATATATGCAACCGTTGCGCTTTGTGACATGCCTGAGCGTAACAACAGGTACAAATGGGAACAAGGGATCGAGAAAAGGGTGAATGTTGGGCTGCATAATTGGTAGGCACTGCCGCACGTGGGATAGAGCTGTTTTCAGGTCCCACCCCTTGCTCTTCATATATGCAATCACTATCATTGCACTCCGCGACATGCCTGGGCGTAACCATAGGTGTACAAATGGGAGCAAGGAAAAGAAAAGAAAAAAAACTAGGTTCGAGAGATAAAGGGAGGGCAAAGAAACACTGATAAAAAGGTAGGAAGAAAATACCACCTTCAAGAACATCCCTAGCAGCAAGGTGAACAACCCTTCAATCACCCACTAGACGATTCCTGACCCTTGTAAGATTGTTCAGCTTAAATACCAGACAACGCACCAGCACCCCTACCGATTGAACCGCCCCCTCAATTATGCAAAGCAGCCGTGAGGTGAGCATATGTGTCCACAGACAAGGCATTAGCCATATGGACGAACTTGCATGGGTGTGCATGGGTGTGCATGAGTGTGCATGGGTGTGCACGAGTGTGTACGAGTGTGTACGAGAAGGAGAAAAAGGATACCTATTCTGACTCCAGTACACATCAGGAAGGCAACCCCTCACCTGCTAGACAATGCACCAGGACCCCGCCCGCCCTCCTGCCCTCCTCAATGGCTTCAAAGCACCCCTCAAAGTGAGAGGTCAAGTCCACGTGCATGGCATCAGCCACGTGCACGAGCGTGTATGAGAAGGTGACATGAATGTAGCATCCAACCCTCACCTGCTAGACAGTGCACCAGCACGCCTCCTGCCTTTCTTCCCTCCTCAATAGCTTCAAAGCACCCCTCGAAATGAGAAGTTAAGTCCACGTGCATGGCATCTGCCACGTGCACCAGCGTGTATGAGAAGGTGTCAGGGAACGGAGGCGTGCCCGTGTCGTTCGCTACAGTCACAACGCTCCTGATGCCCAGCTCCAGCAGCGCTTCTCTGCGTGTAGTAGGGCCATAAAACAAGACAGAAACATGAGGTTGTATGAGTGAAAAGAACAGGATTCCTGTGTTGTTCGCTACAGTCACAATGCTCTTGATGCCCAGCTCCAGCAGCGCTTCTCTGCGTGCATGTGATTGGGCGAGCCGGAATGAGAAAAAGCATGTGGGAATGGGTGAGAAAGGAAGGTTTCCCCTGCCGTTCGCTACAGTCACAATGCTCTTTATCCCCAGCCCCAGCAGCGCTTCTCTGCGTGTAGTAGGGCCAGAAAACAAGAGAACAACATGCGTGTGTATGGGTGAGAAAAACAGGAACAGAACCGCGACATTCGCTACAGTCACAACGCTCTTTATCCCCAGCTCCAGCAGCGCTTCTCTGCGTGTAGTTGGGTCAGGTAAGACGGAGAAATAAGATAGGCGTGGGTGAGAAAACCAGGAGGCGAGTGTCGTTCAACTACAACACGATTTTTGTTTTTTCCCCAGTTCTAGCAGCGCTTCCCTGCATGTGATTGGGTCAGAAAACAAGAGAAAAAACATGCGGGTGTATGGGAGAGAAAAAACAGGAGCCGAGTCATTTGCCACAGTCACAACGTTCTTTGTCTCCAGCTCCAGCAGCACTTCTCTGTGTGTGATTGGGTCAGTTAAGACGAGAAAAACAAGAGAAAAACATGTGGGTGTAAGGGAGAGAAAAAACAGGAGCCGAGTCATTGGCTAAAGTCACAATAATATTTTTCCCCGGCTCCAGCAGCTGGGCGTGTGATTGGGTCAGGTAAGATGAGAAAAAACATGTGGGTATGGGTGAAAAAACTGAACCCCGGTCATTCGCTACAGTCAGAATCCTGTTTATCCCTTGGTGGTGCTCAAGTATGCGCCATTTTAGTGCAATACCAGGTGTGCACAGTTACCATCTATCTAAAATGGTTACCTGTTTAAGTTGAAAAAAAAAAACACAACGTAACATGGTTACCTGTTTGAGGCGGAATTCAGGCTTCCCAGGTACAGCCCTTCATCGATTCTATCCGGCTTTCGATACATAAACACGGAGGAAGGTGATGACACGAAGAAGAAATTACAATGCCTCATGGTTACTCACTTGATACACCTAAAAAACACATTGTTACATGGTTACCTGTTGGAGGCGGAGTTGAGGCTTCCCAGGTACAGCCCTTCGTCGATTCTATCCGGCTTTCTGTACATAAACACGGAGGAAGGTGACGCTGTGAACACGACGGCTCGCGGTTGCAGGGGGATCTGGAGCTCCGGCGTCCCCTCCTCTGCTTCTGCCGTCAAGCCTCCCCCAGATAGCACCTGCTTTTGAGTTGGCTCGGTACTGGTTGCGCCTCCCCCAGATAGCACCTCCTTTTGAGTTGGCTCGGTAATGGTTGTGCCTCCCCCCAATAGCACCTCCTTTCGAGTTGAGTCATTAGTGGTTGGCCCTTCCCCCGATTGCACCTCCTTTTGAGTTGCCTCAGTATTGGTTGCGCCTCCCCCGGGTAGCACCTCGTTTTGAGCTGCCTCAATACTGGTTGCGCCTCCCCCGGGTAACACCTCGTTTTGAGCCGAGGCGACGGCAGTTGCGCCCCCCCGGATAGCACTTCCTCGAGAGTCGACTCTACAGTGGTTGAACCTTCTCCCGATTGCATGTCGGTTAAAAGGTAACTGAGAATAATTAGTATTCCTCAGCAGGAGGATGCCAGAGCTGCTACAGCCAGTTATAGAATCTTCTCAGAACTGATTTTGCGCAGCAGACGCATGAATGGTGTTATTGGAGACGATATCTGTCAATCAGTTGTGGATGATGCCAATAAGACGATAGTGAGAGAACGTTTACCGGTGAGCGTAGCGATTTCTCCTACAGACAGAGGTTAAATCAGTGATGTTACACCAATGAGCCGTCATATGTTAGAAGTGGAACTCCGCTCCTGGAAGTCCTATCTGTCAGCCTAGTGGGTCGACAATAATCACGTAGTAAACCTGATTTCACTCAAATGAGTCGGTTTGAAAGTACTATTTTAGACGGCAGTCGCACGCAATCGTCAAACGTGTCTAGCACGAGCTCGTCGCACACGCGTCGCAAGACTTGTACGACTGCGGTCTGAAAGTCCGCAATTATAAGAATGGAACTTTGGGCTATACTTCGTTTCGTTATTCGAGTTTTACTTAGGGGGTGGTTGATTGCCACCGCGGTGTTGAAACAGACGTTGGGCGATACAGGGTGCATCACCGCGCCTAAGCTCCTCTGGTCACCCTTTAGAGTTAGTCTTACATAAGCGGAACTCGAAACTGTGGCGATGTTATACGAACTCTGTGCAGAAATGAAACGTAGTAAGTCCTGCGAGATGCTACCTAGCCTCGATCACAAATGACACACAGCAGAGGTTGTTTCAAAGAGAATCGGGTCTGAATGTGACGCACATCGGGCATGCAACGAGCAAAAAAACCCCTAGGCTCAGAAATCCAATCACGGCCTGGGGAACGGAACTTCAGGAATTCCCACTCCATTTATTATTTTCGCCACCCTAGATTTTGCCAGAGCTTTGGAAAGCCTTGAGCAGAATTTGTTCACACTAAATATCACGTTCGTTCAAGAAGCCAGCTCGTACCTTCCAGACAATATGCTTGACGTTTAGTCTGGTCATACGAGGTGGCCACCCACTGACTTGCGGAGATTCAATAGCATCATACGATCGTTTGTCCTGTCGTAGCGAGCCCTTCACAATAGGCAATCGCATTTGCTGAACCTGGTGGAACCTTCATAACTGCACGATTTGTGTGAAAAACATTCAGTACATGGCTCAGGATGCGACGAATTCGGACGATGCCGCGGGGATCGAGGTAGCAGACGATGCGTCTGTGCCGGTGGTGGTGGAGAAAACGGGACAGGGGGTGAAGTTCGAAGAGCATCAGCTCCCCATTGACATTGCGTATAACAAATTCGCAGGTACCGATTTTCCTCGTATGACTAGAAAACAATGTCTGACATCGTCTGCCATTAAGGCGACTTCTGAGTCTGAATCAAGAGCAGCAGCTCTCCATCGACATCGCGTACAACAAATTCGCTGGTACCGCGTTTCTCGTATGACTGGACATCAATGGCTGTCGCCGAGTCACCGACGGACATTGATTTTACCTCTCAGTGCATATTCTCCCATCCCAAAATCGCAGGTACCGGGTTTCTCGTATGACTAGATAAACGACTGTGACTCCGACTGACATTGACTGACATTAGCATGATTTTTCTCAGTATGGATTACTTTTATGCATAATTTCTCATTGTATATGCACTCAAATTATAATCTGTCAGTGTATATCCCTTGACTGAATAACCTCTCTCCCCTGTCCCACACCAGACTGGCTGGTGGATAGGAAGCGGGTACCGGCCAATTGGAGGCAACGAGTTGCTGCCATTCAGCAGCGAATCACGAAACTGGTTACCACATTACCACGCCACCATGATCCCTGGCTGCAGTCGCTCTCCGTGGATGGTGGGTACATGGGTGCATGCATGAATGTATGGATCATGCATGGGGCATCCATGGGTGCCTGAATGCATGTGTGCATGGGATATCGATTGGTCCATGGGTGCATGCATGGTGCATGCATGGGCCTGCTCGAATCGAGAATCACATGATAATAGAGGAAGAAGCACTCTTGCAGCTGTCTGTTAAGTTGTAAGGCAACACAGAATGATCATCCCTTGCATTTGTTTGTAATCATAAAAAAAAAAACTCTTAAAGTTGCTCTTTCTTCCCATATTTCGGTTTGCAGACGTGGGGTACGTGGAGGCGAAGCGAGTGAGGGACATTCTTGCTGCTGCTCGCCCCAGCGAGAGAACAATTTTTGGCGGCCTTGCTGGGCCTGCGGTGAGTGCTCCGAAACACAAGTGTTAGGTGTGCTGAGGCTGTGTTCAGGACGTGTTAAGGGTGTGCTGAGGCTGTGTTCAGGACGTGTTAAGGGTGTGCTGAGGCTGTGTTCAGGACGTGTTAAGGGTGTGCTGAGGATCGCTCCTTAACAATTCAGGGAGTGAACGCGAGACGTGTGAGTGACGGAAGGATGTGTCAGGGAAGTGTCGAGAATCTGGCCGTATGGTGCTGCAGTGATCTGAATCAATCAGGGTAAGTGGGTGGGATGCTGTGATGTACTTTCATGCATGCACGCTTCAGGCGATTAAAGAACTGAGTTTCCATCTCTCATCCTTGTGGCCCCACTACCTCTCATTATCTCATACCTTGCTTGCATGCACCAGGGCGAATGGGATCTAGTGGTTTGCACATGCGAGCATGCGTCTGAGGCGATTAACGAATTGAATCCACATCTCTCATCCTTGTGGCCGGCCGCACTACCTCTCCTCCCTTGCTTGGATGCACCAGGGCGAATGGGACGCAGTGGTTCGCACATACGAGCGTGACTCTGTCTTTCTGGGGGAAGCAGCTCCGATGCTGGAGCTCAGTCCTCGCTATCTTTTATCCCTGTGGCATGTCCTCTCTGTCCCTCAACCTCTGCTTGCTTGCACCAGGGCGAGTGGGATGCGGTGGTTCGCACATACGAGCGTGACTCTGTCTTTCTGGGGGAAGCAGCTCCGATGCTGGAGCTCAGTCCTCGCTATGTTTTATCCCTGTGGCATGTCCTCTCTGTCCCTCAACCTTTTCTTGCTTGCACCAGGGCGAGTGGGATGCGGTGGTTCGCACATACGAGCGTGACTCTGTCTTTCTGGGGGAAGCAGCTCCGATGCTGGAGCTCAGTCCTCGCTATCTTTTATCCCTGTGGCATGTCCTCTCTGTCCCTCAACCTCTGCTTGCTTGCACCAGGGCGAGTGGGATGCGGTGGTTCGCACATACGAGCGTGACTCTGTCTTTCTGGGGGAAGCAGCTCCGATGCTGGAGCTCAGTCCTCGCTATCTTTTATCCCTGTGGCATGTCCTCTCTGTCCCTCAACCTCTGCTTGCTTGCACCAGGGCGAGTGGGATGCGGTGATTCGCACATACGAGCGTGACTCTGTCTTTCTGGGGGAAGCAGCTCCGATGCTGGAGCTCAGTCCTCGCTATCTTTTATCCCTGTGGCATGTCCTCTCTGTCCCTCAACCTCTGCTTGCTTGCACCAGCGCGAGTGGGATGCGGTGGTTCGCACATACGAGCGTGACTCTGTCTTTCTGGGGGAAGCGGCTCAGATTCTCGTGCACAACACCAACTACGACATGTGAGAAAGGGGCCACTCTGAGGGAGGAGAAGAACAGGGGGTAATTTTAGAGGAGAGGAGAACAGGGGGTAATTTCGATGGGAGAAGAGAACAGGTGATGTCTCAGGGAAGCAGCTTAGATTCTCGTGCACATCACTAACTAGGACATGTGAGAATGGGGCTCACTGCGAGGGAAGAGGGAGAGCATGTGTTTTATAAGATGGTCAAATTCCTGTTCACAATGTCAAGTTGTCAACAAGTGCATCTTGAGAAATTTTGCACTGTTCTTTAACTGATGAACACCCTTGATGGAATTTGAGGGGTTTTTCTGGGATGGCCTTTCTGGCAGAAGTATAAGGCGCGGGCTTAGCAGTATTGCTCAACTGCTGTAATCTGGCTGTCGCTGCTGCTGCTATTGTTGCTGCTGCTGCTGCTGCTGCTTCCAAGGCCTTCTGAGTCGAGTCAACACCATTCTCACTCCCGTTCCACCTTTCTCCTTCCCCACTCCCAGCCCCTACTGGCAGAAGCACAGGGCGAGGGCGCAGCAGCAGCTGGAGGAGAGCAACAGGAAGGAGCTAGACTGCCGCAGACTGGCTGCTGCTGCTGCCAAGGGGTTTCAGCAGGCGTGCTCTGACCTGGGAATCAAGGTAAGGTGTTTTACATGTCCTGTCACTCTTTACCTGCTGCTGCTGTTCTTGCCGCTGCTGCTGCTTTGAGATATGCTGAAATTTCCCATCTCGCATGTTTTGAGACATTTGAAACACGTTTGGGACTCCTGCACTCGGTGGTGGGCGTTGTATGTGGGGAGCCTGTGGGGCAGGCGTGCTCTGAGCCTGTGGGGCAGGCGTGCTCTGACCTCGGACTATTACCTTCCGAGCTGCCGTGGGCCACTGTGCTTCACCCGTCACTGTCTCGTCAACACACCACCTCCCCCACCCCTCCCCATCTCTGCTCTCCCATGTGTGGCCATGGTAATCCCACTCTCTGCCAGGGTCTAGATGTGCGGAACGAGCTCAAAGGACTAGTCGCCCAGCTTCCTGGAGTCTTCCAGGGCGTGGTAACAATCTTATCAGGGGAGTCCGTAGGTCAAGCAGTGTATTACTACCAATCTGCCGTGGCCTTTGCCCATGGGGGTGAGGATGCAGATTCCTCTCTGCTCCCCACGCTCTTGGAGCTTCGGGCGAACCCTGAGCAGCAGGACCGGGCCGAACCTCCTGCAGAGAATGAGTGGGGTGGTGATGTTGGTGGGGAGGGTGGTGATGGTGGTGGTGGTGGTGATGCTGCAGGGGGGATTGTGTGGGATGTGGATGTGGGTACAGGGGGAGAGGGAGGAGGGGGAGGGGAAGCGGGAGGGGAAGGTGAGAGTGGTGGTATAGTCTGGGACCTTGATATTTCTGCTGCTGAGGGTGCTGATGGTGCTGATGGTGCTGTTGATGCTGCTGCTGCTGCTAACAGTACTGCTGATGGTGCTACTGTTTCTGCTGATGGTACCTCTGCTACTGCGGATGGTGAAGCAGCAGTGGAGATAGATTGGAATGCACTGAGCGGGGAGGGCGCATCTGGGGGAGGCATTGACTGGGGCATCGAGATCTCTACTGAGACAGGTGCTGCTGGTGGCGAGGAGGGAGGAGGAGGGATAGACTGGGACATTGACACGGGAGCTGCAGGGACCAATGAGGAGGCGCCATCTGGCAGCGCCGGTGATGGTGATAGTGCTGGTGGTGGTGGGGGAGGAGGAGGGAGGAGTGGGAGGGAGGGGGAGAGCGAGATGCAGAAGGTGCAGCGGTGGCTGCTGGCGGATTCAGCGTATCGGAGCAAGCTACTTGACGACTTATTCGAGGTGAGATGGGTGGGGTTGGTTGTGCGGAAGCCTTTAAAATAGCATGCCTGGTGTTACAACACTTAGATCGTCCAGTTGTCCAGTCCAAGAGAGGGGGAGAGCGAGAGGCACAAGGTGCAGCGGTGGTTGCTGGTGGATTCAGCATATCGGAGCAAGCTACTTGACGACCTGTTTGAGGTGAGAGGAATGGGTATAAGGGGTTTTCAGGCTGAATGACTTGCGTTGGAGCGCGTTTGGTCATGCAGTCGCTCACTTGAGGGAGAGCGAGAGGTGCAGCGGTGGCTGCTGACGGATTGAGTGTATCGCAGCAAGCTTCTTGACGACGTGTAGCGAGGTTGCTGCTCTTCCACTATGAGCGAAGACCCTTGTGGCTGCTGACGGATTGAGTGTAACGCAGCAAGCTTCTTGACGACCTGTTCGAGGTGAGTAGACATCCTGTTGGGGGTGAGATGAGTGGATGCGTGGAGGCTTTAAAAGAGTATGACTCGTGTTCAGACATTTTGGTCGTCCGGTTGTCCAGTCAGTGGGGCAGCGAGATGAAGAAGCACCAGGTGCAGCTGTGGCTGCTGGCTGATTCCCTTTCTCTCTTCCCTTTTCCCTCTCACTGCCTTGCCCATTCCTCTCGGTTCCCTTTTCTCCTGCTCCCCCCAGCTGCACATATTCCTCATCTTGCAGGTCGCTGAGATGAATCGGCACCAGGGCTGACTGCATATGCTTCCCCCTCTCCTCCCTTTGCCCTCTCTCTCGTACATGTCTTCTCTCCCACTCCCCCCAGCTGCAAAATTCCTCGTCACGCAGGTGGCTGAGATGAACCGACATAAGGGCTGACTGCATATGCCCTTCCCTCTCGTCACATTGCCTTCCCTTTCCTTTCTCTTCTCTTCCCTCCCGCTACCCCCAGCTGCACATATTCCTCGTCACACGGATAGCTGAGATGAACAGGCACCAGGGTTCTGTGCTACAAGCACAATTGATGGTGAGTGATGCAGGAACGGCTGCTGGAGAGTGGAGGGGGGATGGTATGGGAGGGCCTTGAGTCTGCTGTGACTGCTGCGAGTGTGACTGCTGGTGAGTGGAGAGGGGGGCATGAGGGTGGTTTGCGGATGTGGTGAGAAGAAAGGTGGGAGAGGTCCTGTGTCTGAGGTGGGTTCTCTAAGCACAACGACTGATGATGGAAGGAGGAGTCGTGGGGGAGCTTGAATCTGTGGTGAGATCTGCAAGCACAACAGTTGGAGATTAGAGGAGGAGTCATGAGGAAATGTTTCCCCCGTGTCCACCCACTTCTGCTTTCCTCCTTTCCCCCTCTGTCCGCCTCCGTCCCCCTCCGTCCCCCTCCACCCCCCTCCCTCCCCGCCCGCCAATACCTTGTCTCCCCGCCCTCCTCCTCTACCTCCCTCCCCGCCCTCCCCCTCTACCTCTACCTCCTCGCCATAGCTCCCGCAATCGTCCAGAACCATGGCACAGCTTACTTCACCCCGCTTCACTCCCACGTGTGCACCGCTGGTGCTATGGTTCCCCTCCCGTCATCCCCCATTCCTCCTGCCACCCCACACTCTGTTCCCACCCTCTCCCATCCTCCCTTGCATCCCCCAGGCCATGGAACCCCATCATCCAGAACTATGGCACTGCTTCACTCACCTCCCTCCAATCCCACATGTGCATGGCCATGGTTTCAGTCCCCCTCACTCCTCCCATCCACCGTTCTCCCTCCCATCCCCAACCCCAGGCCACAGCCCCGCCCATCATCCAGAACCACGGCACTGCGTCACTAACCGCGCTCGACTCTCATGTCTGCACGGCCGTTGTGTTGCCTCCCTCCCCCTCCTCCCCTGTGTCTTCCCCAGGCCACAGCCCCCCCCATCATCCAGAACCACGGCACTTCATCACTAACCGCGCTCGACTCTCACATCTGCACGGCCATCGGTCGGCTCACCAGCCGTCGCACACGGGACCTGCTCCTCATCCTCTCCTCCCAGCGGTGAGTTCTTACACCCTTATTCCCTCCTTCAAAGGTCCCCCCTTCCCCTCCTCCCCCGACCTTGACTCTCGTGTCTGCATGGCCATTGGTGGACTCGCTAGTCGACAGCACGCGGGACCTGCTCCTTATCCTCTCCTCCCCCTGGTGAGTGTCACGCCTTTTCTTCTTCTTCTTCTCTCAGGGCTTCCCCCGCCCCCCTTTCCCCCTTCCCTTCCTTCCTTTCTCCCTCAAACCCTCACTCCTCCCTCACCCCCAACCCCCTCGCCTTCCTCCCATTTCAGCTAAAAAACGACGTGTTTCACCGCATCTTAAAACGACGTCTTTCACCGCATCTTAAAACGACGTCTTTCACCGCATCTTAAAACGACGTCTTTCACCGCATCTTAAAACGACGTCTTTCACTGCATCTTTCACTGCAACTTTCACTGCATCTTTCACCGCATCTTTCACCGCATTTTATAATAAAACATTTCTACTTAAACACTCGGTCCTATTGTCCTTCTCAGAACATCCCTTTTCCTTGTGCTCGATGAATAGCCCTTCCCTTTTTTCGGTTATTTTTTTGCTTGAGAATTCGTGAAAACATTCTCATTATGAGAGTCCCTACCTCCTCCACCCTCCTGCTTTGCCCTGCCAGCTTCTTGGATCGTCTGGAGCAATCATTGCTGCAGAAGAAGTCAAACGAGGCGAGGCTGCTGGATAGCATAGGCGAGCTGGAGAGGCGGCGGAGAGAAATTCGGACGGCGCTGGCTGATGCTTGGCCTAAACTGGTGAGTTGCATGGTGTGTAGCATGGCGTGGTATAGCATGGCATGGTGTGGCATGGTGTGGCATGGTATGGCAGTGGATGCGGTGGTGCAGGGGACTCAAGCATACAAGCACTCAGGTTCTATCCGCTCTCAAGTGATCATCCATTCACACTCAACCCCTCCCCTTCTCTCCCTCTACCTCCCAGCAGGTGGGCTCCCAAATGCATATGTACATCCACCCACTCACGACTTTTGAGGCGCTTAAAAAAACCATCTCCTTCTCTTCCTCTACCTCCTAGCAGCTGGGTTCCCAGGTACGAATATACAACCACTCACTCAGGCCCTTTTATCTCCCTTCACCCCTCCCAGGAAGCGGTGGTGCAAAGAACACGAGCCTACAAGACAGCAGCAGAGGCGGCGCTCTCTGCAATGTATTCCAACCGCCCGGTTCACATTATTGGGGAGATCAACAACGTGCTGCAGGCTACGGCCCCTGCTGGTGGTGGGTAGATTGAGAGCGAACCATTGGTGCATTACTTGAGTCTTTGTGCACATAACTATCGACACGACTCATAGCAGAGACTTTGCTCTCTGCAATGTATTCCAACCGCCCAGTGCACATCATTGGGGAGATCAACAACGTGCTGCAGGCTATTGCCCCTGCTGGGGGTGGTTAAAGACAGGGGGGACCTTAGGTGTTTGACTTGAAAGCCCTGTCTTCAATATACGGTACTCAGACAAATTCGAGCAGAGGCAGACAGCGCTCTCTGGAAATGTAATCCAACCGGCCCGTTCACTTCACTGGTTAGGTCAACAACGTTCCGAATGCCAGTTCCCCTGCTGGTACTGTCAAGTCAGCTGTCAGACTCTGTACATGCAAGGCAGACAAGTTGCTTTGTGATGAGAAGTGGCAATGGGAAGGCAGAGGCACGGCATTGCTGGTGGTGTGGAGAACTGCCTATGCATGGTAGCTTTGGGAAGGCTCACATCACAAGCGTACCATACCACACAAAAGTTACAAAGACCATACAATATAATGTGTGCTTACAAGTGTACTGCTGCGTAGTGACATCTATGCAGCGGAGAGTGGTCAAACACCACCGAGCAATTCGAGTAAATCCCAGCGAACTTCGCGAAGGTGCTGAGAGTGTGCGTACCCCCTACAAGCACTGTCGCCCGGCTCAGTAGGAAGAAATCAGCTACAGTTGACAACTTTGAACCCGGTTCTTTAGAAGTTGATAAGTGTGCAGTTTGGCCCATCGAAACGAAAACGTTTCCAAATGGCCGTAGCAGCTCCACAAAATGCGGGCGTAGATACTCATTATCCGTGGATAAGAAAATATTGAGAGGGGAGAGTTGAGGAATGCGAAACATAGATGTTGGTCTTGGGGACCGACCAGGGACTGGCACCAAACCTGCAAGCAACAAGTGGAAGAAGAAATGTTGATGAAGGTTGAGTTGAGAATAAGTTGTAAGACAAAGAACTGGCGAAAGTGAAGGACAAAATACATGTGAGAGGTGCGGTCGACAGGAAGTGTCCACCACGTGGAAGGCTTTTGAGACGTCTCAGAAGGACAGGATACATGTGAGAGGTCTGGACGACAGGAAGCGTCCAGCACGTTGAAGGTGAAAGAAGTGAGTTGTCAGCGATTCTGACAGGTGCTTATGAGAATTCTCAAGGTGCTTATGAGAATTCTCAGGGTGCCCAAGAGAATTCTCAAGGTGCCTATGAGAATTCTCAAATACACCCTGTGTGGATGATAGGAAGCATACAGCATGCAGAAAGAAGTGAGACCCCATGTGGGCGCTAGTGAGACCCCATGTGGGCGCTAGTGAGACCCCATGTGGGCGCTAGTGAGACCCCATGTGGGCGCTAGTGAGACCCCAGCGATTCTGATCCTCAAGTCTACCTCATGTTGGCGCCAGAAAATGCGACTTCTAATCATGAGTGTTCAGTTTGAGGTGTATACGACACATACACTCATGCCACACTGGCTCTTACAGAACACATCATCATCATCATCATCATCATCATCATCATCATCATCATCATCATCATCATCATCATCATCATCATCATCATCATCATCATCATCATCATCATCATCATCATCATCATCATCATCATCATCATCATCATCATCATCATCATCATCATCATCATCATCATAATCCCTCTCTTCATCACCACAAGCGCTCTTATACGTACCATGTGCCATGGCTAGCGAGTCTTCAAGACTCCAGCTCTCCTCTGCTTTCGAGTCGACTCTAAAGCATGGCCATTCTCTTCATCACCACAAGCTCGTATACGTACCATGTGCCATGGCCAGCGAGTCGTCAAGACTCCAGCTCTCCTCTGCTCCTGTTCTGTTTCTCCTCATAACCTGCAAGGCGGGAGGAGCATCAGAAGAGCAACTGTTCAGACATCCTCTCCTTTCTCTCGCATGCGAACTCTTCTTTTCTCTTCTCCTGCAATCCCTTCTCTCTCAGCTCCTCGCCTCCTCTCCTCTCCTCTCCTCTCCTCTCCTCCCTCTCATCTCCTCTCCTCTCCTCTCCTCTCCTCTCCTCTCATCTCTTCTAATCTCCTCTCACCTGCTTCACCTGCTCCTCAGTCTTTGCCACCCACTCTCATTTCCCTGCCACTACAGCATTCCACTCCTCTCATCTCCTCTCTGCCCCTTTGCCCTCCTCTCCCGTCCTCTCCCCTCCTCTTCTCCCCTCTCACCTGCTTCGCCACGCGTGTGCCAAGTGACAGTGAAGCCTCAGTCTTTGCCACCCACTCCTCACTAGCTGCCAATAAAGCCCACCGTCTGTCCACCTGCTTCGCCGCCCGCTCATCTGCCACCCCCAAGTTTGCCACCCGCATCTGTGCCGCCCATTTGCGGAAGCGGAACAGCTGGAGCAGGGAGGAGAGGCAGAGCCAATGGGACGCCTGCAGGAAGAGGGATGCCACGTCATGTGCCACGTGGCTGCGCTGTAGCAGGCAGGCAGCATCAGAATCTCCACAATGGGATAACCCGAAGCTCCTGTAAACAGTCAGACGAAGGGAGTTTTGGGGGAAGGGGAGATGGGGAAGGGGGATTGGGGAATGTGGTGAGGAAAGGTGGTGCATGCGGAATTTGCCACGTGGCTGCGCTGCAGCAGGCAGGCAGCATCGGAATTTCCACAACGGGGCAGCCCAAATCTACTGCAAACAGTTAGAAGAAGGGAGTTTTGGGGAAGGGGGATTGGGGAATGTGGTGGGGGAAGGTGGTGCATCGAAATGTGCCACGTGGCTGCGCTGCAGCAGGCAGGAAGCATCGGAATCTCTGCAATGGGGCAGCCCGAAGCTCCTGCACACGGTCAGGAGAAGGTGGTGGGAGGAAGGTAGCCAGGGGAAGGGGGTGGGGGAAATGCGGTGGGGGAAGGTAGCCAGGGGAAGGGGGTGGGGGAAATGTGGTGGGGGAAGGTAGCCAGGAGAAGGGGGTGGGGAAAATGTGGTGGGGGAAGGTTGTGGTGGGGCAATGCAAATCTCCTCCAAGAAGTTTGAGGAAGGTGCTCGGGGGAGGGGAGCTGGGGGAAGGGAGTCTGGGGAAGGTGGTTGGGGGAAGATGGTGGGGAGACGGTAGGAAGGAGAAGGGGAACGAGCTGGGCGGGGGAATGCGGAGTTGAGGGGGGAAGGAGGGTGGAGGGAAAGGAGGGTGTCGGGGGAAGAATCGTGTGACAGACTCACCAGTCCCCTGTTCGGATGTGCAGCGACACATCGAACTGCAGGCGAAGCCCTGTTCCTTTCGTCAACGGGTTACCACCAGAACCTCCTTCGCGCCCCTCCCCGCCTTCCCCTGCTCGTAACGTTCCTCCGCTCAACCTTCGCGCAACCTGAACTGCCCCACTTCCCGCATCCCCCAAATCCCCCGCTTCCCCGCCTTCCCCCTCGTCCCCCGCAGCCTCCCCCGCTCGAACTCTGCTGCGCAAATTTCCGCTTCCCCGCACCCCGTTTTCCTGGCGCCGCAGCCTCCCTTCTCCCAAAACTGCCAACCCATTTCCTCGACCACCTTCTGCTTCGTTAAAAACTTTTCCATTAAAAGCCGAAGCAGTCTTCACGTGCGGAAAGATTCTTACATCTTTTTCAATCTCGTAACCTAGCGCTTTTGTCGGCCCGCCTCCTAATAAAATCTCCATCGTTCTAGACCAAACGCACCAGTCCGAAGCGCACCCTAACGCGCCCATCACGCACCGCGTTAACTCCTTATCCTCCTTCCAATACTTATCAAACCCGCTCGACATCGTGATTATAACGAGCGGGCGCGGATCTGCGAGCGATCTCCGCATCTGCTCGCCGTTCGATACCATCCGATCCAACGGCTCCGCGTAATTCGGCAGATTATTATTCGGGAACCTAATCTCGTCGAATCCGCACGCGAACCCCGCGCAGAGGCTGTTCATCGCGTCGCCGTTCTGCCCGCCGTGCCAGCGCAAAAGGCGGCGGCCCGAGAGGAGCGCGTAGACGAAGGAGGAGGAGAGCGCGCGTAACATGTTCCCTAGCCCGGCTCGCGGCACCCAGATCAACCAGCAATCCGCGGAATCGGTGCGACCGATGCAACCCGCGGAATTCTTGGTGGAATCGGTGCGATTTGTGAGATGCTGTTCCCCATCCGAGCGGCTCTCTTGTTGCTGTTCCCCATCCGAGCGGCTCTCTTGTTGCTGTTCCCCATCCGAGCGATTCTCTCCTACTTGATCCGAGCCTTTCTCTCGTTCCCCATCCGAGCGGCTCTCTTGTTGCTGATCCCGCAACCATCGGCGGTGCACGCGGAGCAGCTCGTCGGAAAGAACGGGCCGGCCGCGCGAAACCCGCGAGGTGTAGGCTTGAGGCGGAAGGAGCGCGCGGCAGGAGGGGGTATCCTGCGGAAGGTGGTTGGGGAAGGGGGAAAGGAATATGGGGAAGGGGGAAGGGAAGAGAAATAGTGAGGGAAGCGGAGCCGAGGGCGTGAGGGGGAAGGGTGGCATGGGGCCATTGATGATCCCTGAGTCGACTCAAAAAACGATCACACTTGTTGGCAGGCAGCGTGACCTTAATGAGCGAGCCTGGCAAGCTAATACCGAAGCTGGCTCTGACTCTTCGGCGCTAAGGCAGGTCTTGAATCTTTGGTGCGAAGGCTGCTAGCGCGAATTCCACACCTTAAGGCTGATGTTATGGTGCTTGACGTTCGCGCTTCGCCACGTGGACTTGACTAGGCTGTCGGGCCACGTCACCCGGTAGTTCTGATTGGCCCGCCCGCCCACCAGGAACTCCCAATTGGCGCGTTCCTCGACGAAGCGCATCGACACGCCTTTGACGTAGACGCGCGAAATCCAGTCGCGGTTTATAGCCGCCAGATGACGACGGCGATGCGGGGAAATGGGGGGGAAGCTTCTCGAGTGGAACGCGGCGAATTCTGCCGCATGAGTGTGAACGAAAATAGTTACTATCAGAAACAGTGTACAAAAATGGTAGGAGCGTCTTGAAGGCCTTGTTACAACGTGACGTCGAAGCGGTATGGACGGTAGCAAGACTTGACATCTAGGTGACCAACGTGAGTTAGTAGGTGCTGCTGTGCGAGCTGCATTGCGGGAGCAAATAACACTATTTCTCTCTGCGACGGAGCTGCTTGTAGCGGAGATACGCATAGTGACGGTGTTGATGATGGCTTCCACTGGAAGGAAAATGAAAAAGTCCCAAAATGGTCTTCGACGTGGCATATGTTAGCTCATAACCTCTCCGCCTGCACCTCCGCCTCCGATAAACCTTAGGGACTCATTCGGATAATGACGTACGGATCCAAAACACCATTTGAGGTTCTTGCTGTGAGAGACCGAGGTGAGTCGCGAGTATGAAGGTCGTTTGTTCCGGTCTGCTGTGCCTTCCTCTTCCTCTGGGGCGCTTCAGCTGGGCGCGGTGATGGTTTCTTGGCTGTGTGCAGGTAGGGAGAGGAAGCGAGCATTTCATGAGAGGGTGTTTTGAGGTTGGTGGGGTGCTTTTATAAAAGTGCACGATTTAACGGTTGAGTAAGTTAATAGACGCTCAAAATCGTTGTTGAACGGTTGGCCAGGGTTTTGAGCGAAAGTGAATTTGTGTGGCACCGACCGAATAGGAGCAGTGCGCGGCTGGTTGCATTGGATTTGAATTGATCGAAGCGCGGTGGGGACTGTGCCAGTGCGCTCTGTTGCTGTTCTGTCAGCCTCTTCCTCCTGTGATTGAAGGGATTGCGCGGGAAAAGAATTCGAGGGCGGGTCCAGCGTGTTCGTCCCTCGTTAGTTCTGTGCGGTTATTCGTGTTGCGTCACGATCAAAAACGGTGAAGCAATATAACTGCTACCGTCTGGTCTGGGATTGCCTTGCGCCACGACGGATGAATTGTAATGAACACGCTGGACTCGCCCTGAAGCGTCGCCAGGAGTCAGCGTGGTACAGGCTGACGAGATTTGCGAGGGCTGTGAGTTCAATCGCAAGGTTTCGCCACTCTCAGATCATTATTGGCCACACGCATCTTCTGCCGTGTTTCTCAAGATTTTCTCAATAGGAAACATAAATGCACTACAGAAGTGTACTATAAATCATATACGTTCTGAGGCGACAGCACTATCTGCTTTCCGACCTTGAACTTACCAATGACCAAACCGATGAACAAATGACTTGCTCCCTAGAACCAGCTAGGCTGCCTCTTGAATGGTATGCAGGCCACGTCAGCTTGGTCGCCATAGTTACTTATTCGCCAGACTTAGCTGATCAAGCTGCGTGCAATCCGAGGCGCTAGCCAGCATGGGTGCCGCCTTATCGTCGATGCTGGCCGCTCCCGAGTCGCTTCTGACCTTCGCAGTCGTCGCAGCTATCGCGTGGGTTGTCGTCAAGATTCTCTCGCAACCTAAAGTCCCGCGAATCGTCGTCGACACTTCGTACAGTGAGCGATCGTCGCTTTCTCGAGCCTTGCACTAGTTAAAACCTTTTACATCCCTTAATGCGCTTTACATTGTCCTCGTTTGTAGACATAAGGGAGTTGTTTTCCATCAGAGTCGTACTTCTCCGTTTAGTTTTGAGACGTCTCAAAACGAGTTGTTTTCCATCAGAGTCGTACCTCTCCGTTTAGTTTTGAGACGTCTCAAAACGAGTTGTTTTCCATCAGAGTCGTACTTCTCCGTTTAGTTTTGAGACGTCACAAAACTAGTTGTTTTTCATCAGAGTCGTACTTCTCCGTGTTCGATCTTCCTCGAACGGGACTCCGTTTGTTGCTACCTCGACTTCCTGCCTTCTTTCTTCTCCACTCCGTTTCCTCACCCACCTCTTCGTCCCAGCCGGTGCGAGCACCAACATTAGAGACACCATTCCCTGCATTTCTTGACAATATTGGGAAAGGACTAACGTGATTTGGCTTGGAACCCTCGCATGTGTTTGTCCTGGCAATCGTGCCTGTGCAGTTACGGAGAAGCAGGAGGAGAGCAAAACCAATCGATATATTTATGTAAGCCGTTGCTTTGCCAGCTTCGTTTGCTCAACTGCACATTTCACTTCTCACTTTCTCCACCCTTACAAAAAGAACACAGTCTCACGTCGCCTTTACACTCACAGGGAAAAGCATTATTAGTGGTTGCCGAATTATACTGTATCGTCTTTCCTTCAACTCTGCTGTCCTTTCTCTCCCCACCCCCCCACTCAGTTTCCCCGGGGGGAGGGGTCAGCAGGCGACAGAGTGCAGTGCTACGACCCTGCCACCCTGCAGTACCTGGGCTTCTCGCCTGCTCTGAAAGCATTTGACGTAAGTGGGGGGCAGATGGAAATCTAAAAAGGGCTGGGTAAGTGATAGAGTGCTGTGCTATGACCCTGCCACTCTGCAATACCTGGGCTTCTCGCCTGCTCTGAAAGCATCTGATGTCAGTGGTGGGGGGGAAGGGAAATTCAGAAGGTCTGAATGCGTATGATGTGAGTGGGGAGAAGGGAGGTCTGGATGGGCAAGCAAACGGGAACAGGGCAGCGAGGGGAGTGGTGGGATGAGTGATAGAGTGCAGTGCTACGACCCTGCCACTCTGCAGTACCTGGGGTTCTTGCCTGCTCTGAAGGCATCTGACGTGAGTGCAGGGAAGGAAGGGATGCAAGGAGGACTTGGAGGTGGTACGATCCTGCCGGATGGACGAACCCTCGCAGGTCCAATGGATGGGTGTGCGGCGGGTGACAGACAGGGGGCAGCCGCCCTATGACTCGCCCATGTTCCCTCCCAACCACTTTAGATCCAGACAAGCCTACTACACGCACGCAGCTCACTGAGCTATGTCTGGATCACAGACCGGGGGCAGCGGCCCTATGACTTGGCCATGTTCCCTCCCATCCACTTTCCATCTCCCCCATTGTCCCATGCTGGACACATGGATGAAGAGGTTAGAGGAGGAGAAGAGTAGGGAGGCACTCCACTCATGCTTCATTGATCTTTGTTCAACCCATCCTCTCATTGTCCCATCCTCGTCAGGTGAAGGAGCATGAGGTGAGGGTACACCAGGCACAGCAGCAGTGGGTGCACAGCAGCTTCGAGCAGAGGAGGCAGTTTTCCCACGCATGCCCGACCTCAATGCGACTCTCAAAAACCTTCTATCCTCTCCAGGTGAAGGAGCATGTGGCAAGGGCACGCCAGGCGCAGAAGCAATGCGAAGGGAGCAGCTTCGAGCAGAGGAGGCATTTTTCCCACTCATGCTCCACCTCAAAGCCAACTCTCAAAACTCCTTGTATCCTCTGCAGGTGAAGGAGCATGTGGCAAGGGCACGGCAGGCACAGCATCAGTGGGCGCACAGCAGTTTCAAGCCACATAGGCAGTTTTCCCTCTCATGCTCTACCTCGAATCCAACTGTCAAAACCCTTCCCATCATCTGCAGGTGAAGGAGCATGTGGCGAGGGCTCGGCAGGCGCAGCAGCAGTGGGCGCACAGCAGCTTTGAGCAGAGGAGGCAGTTCCTGAGGGTGCTGATGCGATACGTGGTGGAGAATCAGGACCTCATCTGCAGGTGAGGGTTACTGCATGCCTTCGTTGGTGCGTGTAACAGGGTTACCAGCATTTCCAGCAGCAGCAGCAGCAGCAGCAGCAGCAGCAGCAGCAGCAGTATCAGCATTGTAGGCTCATAACAGCCTGTTCCTGAGGGTGCTGATGCGATACGTGGTGGAGAACCAGAGCCTCATCTGCAGGTGTTGGGTTGACGTGCTGTTGCTGCTCTGTGTAACAAGGTTACCAGCTGTAGCAGAAGCAGTAATAGCAACAGCAGCCGCCGCCATCTGCATAAGAGCAGCTTTGAGCAGAGGAGGGAGGCAGTTCCTGAGAGTGATGATGCGATACGTGGTGGAGAGCCAACCAGGACCTCATCTGCAGGTGAGCGAGTCTGATCAGTCCTTACCCAGGTAACCAGGTTACCACCCTCTGTTCCTGAGAGTGCTGATGCGATACGTGGTGGAGAACCAGGACCTCATCTGCAGGTGAGTGGTTGATGCGCTGTTGATGGTCTATGTAACAAGGTTACCAGCTGTAGCAGCAGCAGCTGCTGCTGCTGCTGCCACCCTCAGTTCCTGAGGGTGCTGATGCGATGCGTGGCGGAGAACCAGGACCTCATCTGCAGGTGAGTGAGAGTAACCGTGCGCCCTTTTTATCCCATGTAACGTGGTTACCAGCAATAGCGCAGCAGTGGCTCTCGGTGGCAGGTATTCATTGTGGTAACCAACCAGGACCACAACCGCAGATACTGTGGGTTACTCAAGCTGATACTGTGGGTTACTCAAGCTGATACTGTGGGTTACTCAAGCTGATACTGTGGGTTACTCAAGCTACGTCTGTCGTTTCGTCTGGTGATGTGATCACATGCTGTTTCTTGAGGTATGGTGATTGCTTGTTGTCAATCTCACGTACTCCTACTGCCGTTGCCCACCTACCATTGCCCACCTACCATTGCCCACCTACCATTGCCCACCTCCCATTGCCCTTTTCCAGAATATCAGCCCGAGAGTCAGGCAAGGTGCTGGTGGATGCTGTCTCTCTGCTGCTGAATCGGTCCTCTCTCATTGCCTTCCTCTCATCTCCCACTGCTTGTCTCTCCTCCCTGCCCACCTCATTCTCTCCAGAGTATCGGCGCGAGAGTCAGGCAAGGTGCTGGTGGATGCTGGTGGTGCTACTGCCGAGTCTGTTCTCCCTGTTAGAAGAGAGAGAATTGATACATTGAATAATGAGCCAAGAGGCTCTTTAGTACAAACAATGAGCAAGAGAGAGATGAGAGGGAAGCTTACCCTATTGGCCAATAAGTTGGCCAATGGGTGAGCTTGCTTGTGACCCAAGCAACCACAAATGTGTGCTGGTTGGGATTGGTTGAGCTAAGGACCAATCCCAACCAACCACAAAATGTGGTTGGAGGGTACACTAAGCAACCCCCCAATTTATAAATGTGCTACACTTCTAGCCTATGTATGTTGTATGAAATATGAAATTACAACACAACCCCCCAACATACATAAGGCTAGAAGGCTAGAATCAAGAGGCGGGAGGCGACTTAGGAGGAGTGAGGCCAAGAAGACGAAGTAGGAAAGAGTGAGCGGCATGAGGAAGAGCTTTTGTGAAGATGTCGGCAAGGTTGGCCGCCGAGTCAACCTTGTCGAGGCGAAGGTGCCCCGCCTGAACAAGATCGCGAATGAAGAAATGACGGAGCTCAATGTGCTTGGAGCGCCCGTGAAACACAGCATCTTTGGTGAGGTGAATGGTACTAGCATTGTCACACCAAATTGTGGGACAGCGCTGGGGGGCACCAAGTTCCTCAAGAAGGAAGGTGAGCCAGCGGGCCTCTTGCGCAGCCATGGTGGCGGCATACAATTCCGCCTCGCAGGAGGAGAGGGCTGCAGCCGAGGAGCGGGTGGAGCGCCAGCTGATAAGGCCGCTGCCAAGAGAGAAGCCATAGCCCTGGGAGGAGCGACGATCTGGCCGGGAATCAGCCCAGGAGGAGTCACTGTAGCCACTGAGAAGAGGTGGGGAGGGGCCGCCAAGGGTAAGGACATAGTCCTTGGTGCCACGAAGGTACCGGAGGACACGCTTGGCGGCCTGCCAGTGCTCTTCCGTATGCTTGCCTGCGCCAACAAAACGAGCGAGGACGCTGATGGGGTAGGCAAGGTCAGGGCGAGTGGAGACCATGGCGTACATGAGGGAGCCGATGAGCTCGGGATAAGGATGGGAGGAGGCTGAGGGGGAGGTGGGTGGAGAGAGGTGGTGCCCGACAGAAAGAGGTGTATGTTGGGCGCCGCCGCGGGCCATGTCAAACCGCTCCAAGACCTGCTGCAAGTAATGACCCTGGGAGAGTGAGATGGTGCGGGCGGAGCGGTCACGGGTGATGGTCATGCCCAGATAATGCTGCAGCTCTCCCAAGTCTTTGCACTTGAGACGGGTGCCCAACTCAGCCTTAACATGCTCCAACTCTCCAAGGTCGGCAGTGAGCAGAATCATGTCATCGACATACACAAGGATGTAAAATGGGGAGGGGGAGGTGCGGAGGAAGAGGCTGGCGTCAGAGCGGGAGGTGCGGAACCCAAGTTCAGCAAGGGTGGCGGCAAGTTTAGCATGCCACTCCCTCGGGGCCTGTCGGAGCCCATACACCGGTCGACGCAGCTGCCAGACAGAGTCTGCTGGGAAGGGGAGGTGAAAGCCGGCTGGACGCTCCATGTAGATAAGCTCGCGGAGGACGCCTTGTAGGAAGGCGTTAGAAACGTCCATCGAGTGGATCTCCATATTGAGGCGAGCGGCGAGGTCGAGCACGGCGCGAACAGTAGCAGGCTTGGCAGTAGGGGAGAAGGTATCGAAGAAGTCAAAACCATACCGCTGCGTGAACCCCTTGGCGCAGTAACGAGCCTTATAAACGGGCGGCTCCCCTGGCAGCTGCTTGACGCGAAACACCCACTTTCCTTTCACCACGTTCGTAGGGGCGGGAGGGCGAGGCACATCGACAAAAGAGGAGTTGCCGATAAAGGCCTCCAGCTCCTTGATGATGGCGGCGAGCCATAGCGGAGCGTCAGGGCACGCCATTGCCTCCTCGTACGTGGTAGGAACGAAAATGGAGGGAGCAGAGGAGAGGGCGAAGACAGGTGTGCCAGAGATGTCGAACGTGATGGGTAGAAGCGAGGGGTCATAAAGGTGGAGGTCAAGGAACTCTTCATGGGAGTCCTCAGAGAGGGAGGTGTGGAAGGCGCGGATGACTGCTGGTGCCGCTGCTGGTGCTGCTGGTGGAGGCGTTGCCGGTGCCGCTGCTGGTACTGCTGCTGGTGCCGCTGCTGGTGCCGTTGCTGGTGCCGCTGCTGGTACTGTTGCTGGTACTGTTGCTGGTGCTGCTGCTGGTGCCGCTGCTGGTGCCGCTGCTGGTCCCGCTGCTGCTGCGGCTGCTGGCGCTGCTGCTGCTGCCGCTGCTGGTCCCGCTGCTGGTGCCGCTGCTGGAGAGGAGGTGGCTGAGGGGGCTGTTGCATGAGGGGCTTGATGCAAGACAGCCTGGAAGAAGTGACGGAGGAGGGGGGAGAGAGGGGGGAGGGTAGAGGTAGAGAGGGTAACGGGAGGCGGTGCACCAAGGATACCGTCACGTGACCTGGTGTGGGGATACCGGGTGAGTATGGTGCGGGAAGGGGGAGGACGGGTTGGTGGCGAGGGAGAGGAAGGGGGGGGGGGGAGGGGTACTAGGAGAGGAGTGAGCGGGGGAGACAGGAGAAGACAGAGGTTCCGGGTCAAAGATGTCACCAGAAGAGGGAGGGGCACCATGGGACTGGGACGGCGGAGAAGGGGGGGGATTGGGAGGATGGGGGGAGGAGGGAGTAGTGGGGGAGGAGTGGTGTCAGACCAGACAAGGGGACGGGTGAGAGGGGGGAGTGGGTCAGTAGATGTGGGAGAGGAGTAGTAGGGAGTGGACTCGTCAAAGACCACATCCCGGCTGCGGATTAGACGACCGGATGGTGGGTGGAGGAAAAGGTAGTCAGGGGAGGAGGGATTATGACCAAGGAAGATGCAGGGAAGGGTACGAGGGGCAAGCTTTCCCATGGAACGGGAGCGGTCAGAGGGGTGAATGAGGACATGTGCCTTAGAGCCCCAGACACGAAGTGATGAGGCATCAGGCTTGTCCTTCGTCCACAGCTCAGTGGGGGTGATGGAGGGGAGAAGGGGGTGAGGGTAAAGGTTAGTAAGGAGGGCGGCATGAAGGAGGGCGTAGCCCCAAAGAGAAGGGGGGCAGGAGGCGTGGACAAGCAGACACCGGGCTGTTTTGGTGATCTCTCGAACACGACTCTCAGCCACGCCGTTCTGCTGTGGGGAGTGAGGGAGGGTGTAAGTCTGAAGGATGCCACGAGACTGACAATAGGAGGAGACTTGGTTGTTAAGGAACTCACCACCTCCATCAGAGTGAAGGCGGCAAACAGGGCGCCCAAAATGGGTGTTTGCCCGCTCGAGCCAGGCGATGATCGCAGCCGGGGCATCCGCCTTCGTCCGAAGGAGAGAGACGGACGAGTACCGACTGTGATCATCAACAAGCACGAGAAGGTAGCGATGGCCCTGGCGAGTGGGAGAGGGATTAGGGCCCCATAGGTCCATGTGAACAAGATCAAGTGGCTGCGCAGCAGCGGAGGGGGAGCTCCGGTGCGGCTGCTGCTTGAGCTTGCTCTGAACGCAGACGGTGCAGGGGGGGGCAGGGGATTTGGGGAGGGGAGGGAGGGAGGAAGGGAGACCGTGGAGGAGACCGGAGGAGACAGAGGAGCGCAGAGTAGCGAAGTTGGGGTGGCCTAGCCTGTGATGGAGGAGGATGGTGGGGTGGGAGAGGGAGCGACAGGAACAGTCAGAGTCAGGAGGGCGGGGGGGGAGGGGTGGGTTAGTGGGAGGGAGGGGAGGGGGGGGGGGGAAGGAGGGGGGGGGAGGCAACTTGGAAGGTGAGGGGGCGGGGAACCCGAAGGGTGTACAGACGGGAGCGAGGACAATAGGGAATACGGGCGAGAAAACGACCTGTGGAGGTTTGGTATAGGTCACAATGGTTAGCACCACCTGGGATGAGAGTGGTGATCATGGCTTGTTGGAGGGACCTTTGGGAGAGGAGGTTAGTACGAAGGGAGGGAATGTGGAGACCGGTGACAGTACCTGAGGGAAAGAGAGGACAGGGAAGGGTGGAGGTGTTGTGACAAGGGATGGAAAAACTGCTATCAGCGCCGAGGAGGGAGGTTGGTGTGGGGAGAGGGCGCAGTGTACCAGCGTCGCGAAGGACAGTGTCAGTGGCTCCACTGTCCAGAACGAAGTCAATGGTGGAGGAAGGTGAGGCAGAGTACTGGAACGAAGTTTCATTAGCAGAAGAAGGGTACATGGGAGATGCAACAGATTCAGGTTGACCTAATAGACCAACAAAACCAGAGGAAGGGAAAGCGGTCACACTGCCACCTGCAGACGGCGCCGGGGACGCACCCGAGAGATGGGCTGCAGAGGCAGCACTCCCAGCAGTCCAGGTAGGAAAGGGCTGCTGCTGGGAAACCGGAGGAGGAGGGAGGAGGGGCAGTTGCGGCTGGAGGTCGAGCTGCTGCTGGAGATGCTGGAGCTGCTGCTGGAGCTGAGAGAGGAGAAGCTGCTGCCCATACTGCTGTGACCCCTGCTGCTGATTCCCAAGCTGCTGCTGCTGTTGCTGCTGCTGGTGCTGCTGCTGGGGAGGGGCGAGGGCCTGGTGGGCGTGGGTGGAGGAGGGAGGTTCATAAAGGGGAGAGGAACGGACCTCAAGGGGAGTGGGGCGAGGGTTGAGGGCGGACCAGCGAGGAGGGGTGCCGGTGTTGCCACGGGCAAACCACTCATCACTGAGTGCCTTGAAGCACGTCTCAGTGGCATGGGTGGTTTGGCCGCAGCGCTGTCCCTGAGTGGGACCGTAGCGAGGCAGGTACTGACAGGGAGGAAAGGCAGCTGCCGTACCACGACCCGCACCACTGCTGCCAGCACCACCGCGACCTGCTGATCCCCCTCGTCCACCCCCACGCCCACCACCACGCCCACCCCCACGCCCACCGCCACGTCCACCCCGGCTGCTGCGCGACTGGGCTGCTGCGGCTGTGGAGGAAGAGTGGCGAAGGATCTCAGCTTCGGTGGTGATAATCCACTGAGCGACTTCGGCAGGGGTGTGGTGCTTGGAGATAAGCTGCATGTAAGCAAGCTTGTGAGCGTCGAAGGCAGGTGTGAGGCCCTCGAGGAGGTGGCAGCAGATGACGGTGTCCGGGTACACCACATCGAGTGTTGCAAGGCGCCGAGCAAGGTCTAAGACACGGCGAGTGAAAGCAGCTGCGCCAGAAGTGGAATCCATGGAGAGAGTTCCAAACTCCTTGATAAGGGCGTAAAGAGTGGCAACGTCCTGCCGATCGAAAAGGTCGACTAGCAGTCGCCACAGGTGGGAGGAGGAGGTAGGTGAGAGCTCGCGTTTGAGGGAGGAGGGGATGGTGGCGAGAAGAATGGCAAGCGCACGCCGATCAGCAACCCGCCAGGCATTAATTTTCGTGGTGTAGTCTGCAAGTTCTGCAGTGTAGGTGTCCAGGTCCTCCTGGTACTTGTTGTAGCGGGCAGCGGCCTCGTCATAGATGCGCCTGTCGTCCTCGTAACGCAATTGCAGGCGCAGGTGCTCTTGGAGATTGGTGCGGTAGGTGCGAATGGCGGTTTCCGAGCTCTGCGGGTCGTTGACATTCGGCGCGAAGGTGGGAGGATCACCGGGGGGAGAGGGCTCGGCGCCAGGGTGGGCGGGGGCAGGTCCAGTAGGAGCGGTGGGGGCCACGGGCTGAAGTCCACCGCCTTCCTGAAAGACAACCGAGCGAAGGTTGTAGCCGCTGACCACAACAGAGGAGAGGAGCACCTCAACGGAATGAGCATAAGAGTGCCAATTAGCAGCAGAGTTGTCAGGCAGCAACTCGAGTGCGTCAACAGTGGCAAGGTCGACGGAAGAATCGGACGACGATGCCATAGAGATGAGGGTGGGTAGAGGCTAGGGCAGGAGGAGGATGGTGCGAGGGTACCGTTGCCAATGCTGCTGCTGGCCCTGCTGCCCGTGCCGCTGCTGGTTCTGCAGCTGGTGCCGCTGCGGATGCTGCTGCGGGTAGGATGGGAGGAGGAAGGGAGGAGCGGAGGGTGGGGAAGGTGGAGGAGGAGGAGGGCGATGCTATGGGGGATGCAAGGGGGAAGGGTGCTGCTGGTGGTGCCGCTGCAGGTGCTGCTGCTGGTGCTGCTGCAGGTAGGATGGGAGGAGGAGGATGGTGGAGGAGGAGGGCGATGCTATGGGGGAGGCAAGGGGGAAGGGTGCTGCTGGTGGTGCCGCTGCTGGTGCTGCTGCTGGTGCTGCTGCAGGTAGGATGGGAGGAGGAAGGGAGGAGCGGAGGGTGGGTTGGGTGGAGGAGGAGGAGGGCGATGCTATGGGGGAGGAAAGGGGGGAGGGTGCTGCTGGTGGTGCCGTTGAGGTGCCGCTGATGATGCTGCTGCGGGTACAATGGGAGGAGGAAGGGAGAGAGGGGGGGGGGGGGGAGGGGACGAAGAGGGCAGCCGTGCGGCAGATCTGCGCGACTGGGAAGCCCGTGGCGAATGCACGCGGGACAGCCCGCGGCAAACGAGCGGGACGTGCAGAGATGGGCGCGAAATGGTCAGATTTCAGCGCGGGAGATGCAGATCTGGTCGCGCGGAGGGCAGATCTGGTCGCGCGGAGGGCAGATCTGGTCGCGCGGAGGGCAGATCTGGTCGCGCGGAGGGCAGATCTGGTCGCGCGGAGTGCAGATCTGGTTGCGCGAAGGGCAGATCTGAGCGCGCGGAGGGCGGATCTGGGCGGGCGGAGTGCAGATCTGGGCGCGCGGAGTGCAGATCTGGGTGCGAAATGTTCAGATCTGGGCGCGGGAGGAGGAGATCTGGTGGCGCGGAATCCAGATCTGGGCGCGGAATGATCAGATCTAGGCGCGGGAGGAGTAGATCTGGTCGCAGGGAGTGCAGATCTGGGCGCTGGAGTTGCAGATCTGAGCGCGGGGAGTGCAGATCTGGGCGCTGGAGTTGCAGATCTGAGCGCGGGGAGTGCAGATCTGGGCGCTGGAGTTGCAGATCTGAGCGCGGGAGTTGCAGATCTGAGCGCGGGGAGTGCAGATCTGGGCGCTGGAGTTGCAGATCTGAGCGCGGGGAGTGCAGATCTGGGCGCTGGAGTTGCAGATCTGGACGTGCCTTGGAGGGCAGCGCCTTAGGGGGCGCACGGGGAGGGAGGACAGCGCCTAAAGGGCGCGTGAAGGGAGGGCAGCTCCGTGGGTGGGGCTAGATCTGAGGAACGGGGAGGAGAGGGTGGCCTAAGGACCGAGGGAGGTAGGCGTGAGCCATTAGCTTATGATACCATGTTAGAAGAGAGAGAATTGATACATTGAATAATGAGCCAAGAGGCTCTTTAGTACAAACAATGAGCAAGAGAGAGATGAGAGGGAAGCTTACCCTATTGGCCAATAAGTTGGCCAATGGGTGAGCTTGCTTGTGACCCAAGCAACCACAAATGTGTGTTGGTTGGGATTGGTTGAGCTAAGGACCAATCCCAACCAACCACAAAATGTGGTTGGAGGGTACACTAAGCAACCCCCCAATTTATAAATGTGCTACACTTCTAGCCTATGTATGTTGTATGAAATATGAAATTACAACACTCCCTGCCATTCTCTCATGTCCCACTGCTTGGTCTCTCACCATGCCCACACCCCCAGAGTATCGGCGCGTGAGTCAGGCAAGGTGCTGGTGGATGCGGGGTTTGGTGAGATCCTGACGACGTGTGAGAAGATAGCGTGGCTGCTGAGTGAAGGGGAGAGGTGGCTCAAACCCGAATACAGGTCAGTCAACACGAGTCAATGCAGTTGATGCAGTCAGTGTGCATCCATCCATCCAGTGAATCTAGTGAATCCAGTGAATCCAGTCAATACAGTCTGTTATGTCACTTCCTCCTTTCGTTTCTCGCATGTCTCAGGTCCGTGTGTCAAACCATGATGCACTAGTTTTGAGACGTCTCAACACAAGGTGGCTGGGGTGGAGTTTGATTGTCTTGCTGTGTGTCTCTTATCCGCTTTTCCTGCTCGCACAACCTCCCCACCCACCCACACCCACCCTCCAACACCCCACTCCCCCCCCTGTCTCAGGTCCGTGGGTCGAACCATGATGCACAAGGTGGGTGGGGTGGAGTTTGAACCGGCAGGAGTGATTGGAGCCATAGTGCCGTGGAAACTACCCCTTCCACTCGTTCCTCTCTCCTTACCCTTCTCTCACCCCAATCCCCCTGAACCCCACTCCATCCTCTGTTCAGGTCTGTGGGTCGAACCATGATGCACAAGGTGGCTCGGGTGGAGTTTGAGCCAGCAGGGGTGATCGGGGCCATAGTGCCGTGGAACTACCCCTTCCACAACGTGCTCAACCCCGTGCTGTCCGCAGTCTTTGCGGGCAACGCTGCTGTGATCAAGGTGGGGAGAGGGGGAGAGAGGATGGGGGGAGAGACAGAGAGAGGGACAGAGAGAGGGGCAGGGCCTCAACCTCAAGGTGCAGGGTTGGTGGGTGGGAGCTATAGTGCTGTGGAGTGGAACTACCCCTTTCACAACGTGCTCAACCCCGTGCTGTCTGCAGTCTTTGCTGGCAATGCTGCTGTTATCAAGGTGAGATGGAGTGAGAGACAGGCAGGGACAGGGACAGAGAAGTAGGGAAACAGAGGGACAGAGAGACAGAGGGACAAAGAGGGGAGCCATAGTGCCGAGGAACTACCCCTTCTACAACGTGCTCAACCCCGTGGTGTCTGCCGTGTTTGCGGGCAACGCCGCTGTGATCAAGGTGAGAGAAAGAGAGAGAGAGACCATTCGAGAGAGAGCCCGAGGGGCGCAGAGTGACAGAGTAACAGAGGGACAGGGGTGATTCTCGGGGCCATAGTGCCGTGGAACTACCCCTTCCACAATGTGCTCAACCCCGTGCTGTCTGCCGTGTTTGCCGGCAATGCTGCTGTGATTAAGGTCAGTTGTGGGGAGAGGGACAGAGAGACAGAGGGACCAAGGGAGGGAGAGAAGGTGGCTACAAGCTACAGGGGTGATCGGAGCCATAGTGCCGTGGAACTACCCCTTTCACAACGTGCTCAACCCCGTGCTGTCTGCAGTCTTTGCTGGCAATGCTGCTGTTATCAAGGTGAGATGGGGGGAGAGCGGGGGAGAGTGGAGGGAGAGAGAGAAAAGGGCAGAGAGGGAGAGTGAGGGCCCCAAGTTACAGGGGTGATTGGAGCCATAGTGCCGTGGAACTACCCCTTCCACAATGTGCTCAACCCCGTGCTGTCTGCCGTGTTCGCTGGGAATGCTGCTGTGATTAAGGTGCGATGAGGGGAGAGAGGGAGAGACAAGACTGACAGGGACAAGTAGAGAGACGGAGGGACAGGAGAGGAGGACAGAGAGAGGCGGGGGAGGGGGGTGAGAACACAGAACCCACCTTTATTCCTCTTTTGAGTCGACTTAAAGCCACGAGGCTGCTTTTGAGTCGACTCAAAAGTTGAGTCGATTAAAAAATAAGAGGGACAGGAGAGGGGGACAGAGAGAGTTGGGGGAGGGGGGGGGGGGTGAGAACACAAAACCCGCCTTTATTCCTTGGCGCATCTCCCTTCTCCTTCCCTCTTCTCGTTCGTAGGTATCAGAGCATGCGAGCTGGGGCGCACACTACTATCTGGATATCATCCGCACAGCGCTCAAGGCTGTTGTGCCTTCCACCCCTCCTTCCCCACCTCCTCTTTCCCCCCTCGCAGGTATCAGAGCATGCCAGCTGGGGCGCACACTACTATCTGGATATTATTCGCTCGGCGCTTAAGGCTGTTGGGGGTCCGCCTGATCTGGTTCATGTGATCACTGGGTGAGTGAGTGCGTGCGCACACGTGCGCTCATATGTGAGTGTGTGGTGTGACACGGTGTCAGTGACAGAAGTGGCTTTTGATTCGACTCAGCTACAGCCCAAGAAACAAACTCTCAAGGCTGTTGGGGTGGGGGCCCGCCTGAGCTCGTGCATGTGATCACTGGGTGAGCTGTCTTGTCCCATGTGTGTTGGCGGGTGGTGGGTGGGTGGCTGGTTGGGTATGTGGTTGGTTGGTGCCGCTCTGTGCCATTTGAGGCGCCTCAAAACAAAACTCGCCGACCTGCTTTTACTCTGCACTTTCATTGCTGGCAGGTTTGGCTCCATGGGGTCAGCTCTGGTGCAGTCAGTGGTGGGTCAGCTCGCCCACACACACCTGCTCCGCCAGGCCTCTTGCTCTATGCCTTTTCAGGTGCCTCAAAACTCGCCCACCTGCTTTTCTCTGCGTTTTTATTACTGGCAGGTATGGCTCCACGGGGTCAGCTCTGGTGCAGTCAGGGGTGGGTCAGCTCGCCCACACACACCTGCTCCGCCAAGCCTGCCCTGTCCCTTTTCAGGCGCCTCAACACTCGCCCACTGTCGTTTTCTCTGTTTTTTTGTGTGTGCTTTTTTGTTTTTTTGTTTTTTTGTTTGTGGCAGGTTTGGCCCCACGGGGTCAGCTCTGGTGCAGTCCGGGGTGGATCGGCTCATCTTTGTGGGGTCCACTGCTGTGGGCAGGAAGGTGAGAGGCAAGAGAACCAAGGGGAGGGGAATGGAATGTTGGTGAGAGCAATCAGCCGTGCATTGTGTTGTGTGTGGCTGCTGGGGAAATACACTCTGCTGCGAGCCTGACTGACGCCAACCGACCCTCAGGTTCCTCCTCCCTGCCTTGACTGCATGTTCCCCCACAGCTCATTCCGCCTCCCCTCTGCTTCTCGCCCGTCCCCGTGCTCTGACTGGCTTGGCAGGTGCTAGAGGCGTCTGCAGTGAACCTCACGTCCACGTACACATATGCACACATGCACACATGCATTCAGGTTCCGCCCTGCCTGGACGGCGCACCTCCTCACAAACCATTCCGCATCCCCTCCACTTCTCTCCCGTCCGCCAGGTGCTAGAGGCGTCTGCAGTGAATCTCACGCCCACGGTGCTGGAGCTGGGAGGCAAGGACGCGTTCATCGTGTGTGACGACGCGGACCTGAAGCAGGTACGGCAGGGCAGTTGATGTGCGCAATGTGCACATTGTCCACAACCTGACCTCACGCCCACGGTGCTGGAGCTGGGAGGCAAGGACGCGTTCATCGTGTGTGATGACGCAGACCTGAAGCAGGTACGGAGTGGTTGATGTGGGTAGGACAGTTGAGGTGAGGTAGGGCAGATGAGGTGAGGTGCCCTCTCCTCTAGTTACCATGTGACTCTCTCAATGCTGGAGCTGGGAGGGAAGGACGCGTTCATAGTGTGTGATGATGGAGACTTGAAGCAGGTAAGGAGCAGTTGAAGCAGGTAAGGAGCAGTTGATGTGGGGTAGGGCAGTTGATGTGGGGTAGGGCAGTTGATGTGGGGTAGGGCAGTTGATGCGAGGTTATGTGGTGTGGGGTGCACTCTCCCCCAGTTACAACCTGTCCCTCCCAGTCTCAGACCAGAGCGCGGTGGACTTTCGAGACGCCTCAAAGGTCCCGGTCTCGGTGGTGTCGGAAATACACGCGAGAGTGGACTTTTGAGCTGGGAGGGCAAGTACACGCTCTGAGGGCTGTGTTCCAGTAACGGGCAAGACTGCATTGGGGCGGAGCGGTTCTCTTTACTGCATGCCTAATCGGAAATTCCTTCTCATTTCCGCACACCCTCCGCTCGCAGGTTGTCCCCATCGCTCTGAGGGCTGTGTTCCAGTGCAGTGGGCAGAACTGCATTGGGGCGGAGCGGCTCCCTTGATTGCATGCGTAATGAATAATCACTGCCCATTCCCCATTTTGACTCCCAAAACCCCCTTCAACTCTGTCATCTCAGGTTGTCCCCATAGCCCTGAGGGCTGTGTTCCAGTGCAGCGGGCAGAACTGCATTGGGGCGGAGCGGTTCTTTGTGCAGGCTGGCATCTACGACCAGTTTGTGGGGGAGGTGGTATCTGTGGCGCAGCAGATGCGACTGGTAGGTGGAATTCTAGTATCAGCCGTTTTGTCGTTTTGTGGGGGAGGTGGTACCTATGGAGAAGCAGACGGGACTGTTGGTGCGAGGGATCTTTCTATGGTGTATGGTAACTAGCTGAGAGTGCCATAGTTGTTTGTTTGTTTGTTATGTTTTTTTTTTTTTGTGGGGAAGGTGGTACCTGTGATGCGATGCGGCGAATGAGACTTTTGGTGTGAGGGAACTACGGTGGCTGGTAATTTGCTGGTAGCATCCTGGATGCACCAGTTTGTGGGGGAGGTGGTATCTTTGGAGACACAGATGAGATGAGAGTGGTAGGCGGTGCCTTGGCAGCAGCCGTTTGTTGTGGGGGAGGTGAATCTGTTGTGCAGCATAGGAGATGAAACAGGTTGGTGGTTCTTGACTTTCTGAATGGTTGACTTTCTTGACTTTCTGAATGGTTGACTTTCTTGACTTTCTGAATGGTTGACTTTCTTGACTTTCTGAATGGTTGAATTTCTTGACTTTCTGAATGGTTGACTTTCTTGACTTTCTGAATGGTTGACTTTCTTGACTTTCTGAATGGGCGTCTGAGAGGGTACAAGGCAAGGCACATGGTTTGTTTATATCAAAGATAGAATGAATGGCATTAGGGCTAGAGCAGGAAGGTCGAGACGAGATGACTTTTGAAACGTCTCAAAATATGAGTCAGAGCAGGAAGGTCGAGACGATGTGAATGGGGGAGGAGAGAGAGAGGTGGCAAATTTCGAGGCGCCCATGCCTCAACAACCCTCTGCTCTGCTCTCCCCACTCCCTTCTCTCGAGGTGACTTTTGAGTCGACTCAAAAGTCACCTCGTTACAATGGCACACGACACATTTTGAGTCGATGCAAATTTCGAGGCGCCCGTGCCTCAACAGCCCTCTGCTCTGCTCTCCCCACTCCCTTCTCTCCCCACTCCCTTCTCTCCCCACTCCCTTCTCTCCCCACTCCCTTCTCTCCCTCCCTCTTTTTCTCTCGTATCTTCCGTGCTCCAGGGCTATCCTTTGGCGGATGAACTGGGGGAAGACGAGCAAGATGGGATGAATGGGGGAAGGAACGAAGCAGCTGTTCCTGCTTCCCAGCATGAAGGGATAGGAAGTGGACAAGTGGGAAAAGGTGGAACGCAAATGGAAACAGTTCAGGAAAAGGGAGAGAGAGGAGGAAGTAGTGGTGGGGGAGGAGGAGGGGATGTGCAAGGGGGGGAGAGGCGGGGAGAGTTCAGATCCACGTCAGCAGGGGGTGTTGCTGACATGGGCGCGATCTGCATGCCGCATCACGTGCAGAGGCTTCAGCGATTGGTGGATGAGGCAGTGGGGCAGGGAGCACAGGTGGTGGTGGGGGGGAAGATACCGCTGGGAAGCTGTGAGGACCTCAGTTGCAGCCCTAGAGGGAGTGAGGTGGGAAGAGAAGGTTTGGGAGAAGCAGCAACAGCAGCAGCAGCAGCAGTAGCAGCAGCAGTAGCAGCAGCAGGAACAGCAGCAGGAACAGCAACAGCGGGAACGCCAGCACCAGCAGCAGCAGCAGCTTCGGAAGGAGCCCTCCCCTTCGGCTCTTCCTCCTCCTGCCGCCTGTCCCTAGGAGGCCAATTCTACCCACCCACCGTACTCGTTAATGTGCAACCCACTATGCGCATACTGCACGAGGAAGTGTTCGGCCCTTTAATGTGCATCGTGAAATTTGAAAATGACCAAGAGGTGGTGGCGGCGGCGAATGACTGTCCGTTTGGGCTCGGGTGCTCGGTGTTCTCGAGGGATAGGAGGCGCGCTGCTGCTATCGGGGCAGCGGTGCAGTGTGGGATGGTCGCAATAAACGACTTCGGCTGCACCTACATGTGCCAGGTGATGCATCTAGGGTAAAGCACTCTGTTATTCATGTGCTGTGCCAGGTAACGCATCTGGGACCTTACGTTTGTGAAGTGTGGGTGTGGGATGGTCGCCAAAAATGACTTTGGCTCTGCTCCTACACATTCGAGGTGAGGCATCAGTTGTTTAATCCCCATGTGTACGTACATGCTCTCCGTATAGGCATTCAGTCTAAAGCCACATCCCACTCCCAATTTCCTTCTCCTGCCTCTCATTATTAATTTCTATCTCATGCACCCGTCACTGTTCTCCCCCTCTCCTGTCCATTTCCCCAATGAACCCCCGTGAATCAGTCACTGCCATTTGGCGGAGTGAAGGAGAGCGGTTTCGGCCGGTTCGCAGGGGTGGAGGGGCTGAGAGGGTGCTGTAACGAGAAGGCTATTGTGGAGGACAGGTTCTACTCGCTAATCAAGACCAACATCCCTCCACCTCTCCAGGTACGTGCTGCACTTGCACTCTAGCCCTTTTGAGTCTCTATGAGTCGAATGCTCCAGGCTACCCTATTGTGGAGGACAGGTTCTACTCTCTCATCAAGACCAACATTCCTCCGCCTCTCCAGGTACATTCAATGCACGTTATATAGCTTTTGAGCCAGTGTTAGCTGGGTGCCCCAGGCTACCCTATTGTGGAGGACAGGTTCTACTCGCTAATCAAGACCAACATCCCTCCGCCTCTCCAGGTACGTGCTGCACTTTCTCTCCAGCCTTTTGAGTCTGCATGAGTCGAATGCTCGAGGCCACCCTAATGTGGAGGACAGGTTCTACTCTCTCATCAAGACCAACATTCCTCCGCCTCTCCAGGTATATGCTATGCTCTATGTGAGAGAATTCCGTAGTTGTGAAGAAGTGAACTCAAGAGTTGTTTCATTAGAATGAGAAATGAGCATACATAGTGATTGGAGGGTAAGCTTGGAAGAGGAGCTTGGAAGGGAAGGGAGTTGGGTGGTGGTGGTTGGGAAGCCCTATCCCAAGTGGGGTGGAAGGGGACCCCAACTTGCAATTGGGACCAACCCTGTGGCCCATTGGGTTGGGTTGGCAACATTCCCCAAATGTTGGCACCCCAAAGACCACTGGGTTGCATTTGGGGGCTCCACCACAATTGGGTTGGATTGACACCCCAACATGCAAGGCTACACCCAAAGTTGGGTGTAGTCCCAACCCAACTGTACACCACACTTAGTTTACAGTCACAAAAGGCTTAGCATGCTATAATATAATTCTAACACTATGCTTGTTATACAACTTTTGAGGTGGGTGCTTTAGGCTACCCTATTGTGGAGGACAGGTTCTACTCTCTCATCAAGTCCAACATTCCTCCGCCTCTCCAGGTATGTGCTGCCCTTGCTCTAGCATCTCTGCCTTGCTGCCTCTCCGTTCTCTGCTTCCAAGGATTATTTTAGAAATCTCAGAAATTCTCGTAAGCACAGTATCCCCTAGCCCCCAATGCAGTGCCTGCCATTCCAGCAAGCTCTGGTGCGCATGCTCTTCGCCCACCTGCTAGCCCAGCTCTCTGGTCTCTTCCATCCTTTTTGCCGTGCCTTCCGTTTCCCCAAACACCCCTCAACTCTCCCTCCCCCTCCCCCCCTCCCCCTCTCCCCGCTTTCCTCGTCCCCCCTCTCCTTCCCCCTCCCACACACACAGTACCCCCTGGCACCCAACGCAGTGCCATTCCAGCAAGCCCTAAGCATTTTCTTCGCCCACACCCTGCTGCCGCACCTCTCTTCCTAATCCGCCCTTGTGCCCTGTCCCCCTCAATGCTCAAATCTCCCACTCCCCGCCCCCCCCCCACACACAGTACCCCCTGGCCCCCAACGCAGTGCCATTCCAGCAGGCGCTGGTGCGCATGTTCTTCGCCCACACCCTGCTGGCGCAGCTCTCTGGACTCTTCCACCTGCTGCTGGAGCTCATGCGCTCACCCAAGAGGACAAACACACAGCAACGCCAAAGCTCGGCCACCCGTGCTGCTGGTGCTGGTGCTGCGACTTCTGCGGCACGGCGCAATTCAGGTGTAGCTGCGACAGGTGGTGAGAGGCCGCATATTGAGTAGAAAATACTGTTTCGTAGGACAAGGTACATGTGTTACACTTCCTAGTGTTGGACAAGCTGCAGTCAGCATCTTGCGGCTGTTTCTTAGGACACGGTACATCTTGGGAGTGTTTCAGGCCAGAGGTTGTAACAAATTCTGTCTCAGGGCTCTTGGAGTGCGGTATTCTCAGCTTATGTTTTACACGTGCCCGTAGCTAAAAAAGGTGCCACATCAGCTGCTGTTCACACCAAGCCATGCTGCCAAACACGAGAACTGGGCGTCATAGCCAGGCCATCTGAGATTGGGTGCAATCCTGGAGGAATATAGCCAACTCTGGTTCTGGAGGTTGGCAGGCTGCCAAGCTTGTTGACTGACTTATTTTTAATACAGTAAGTATGTTCTAAAGTACACCACATGCCACCTTACTTCTTCTGCAGAGAGGCAAGCAGCTGGCCAGCACCGAAAGCAGCAGCTCCGCCAAACGCACACAACAACGAAACCACAACCTGAGCGACAATCAACCCAGTGCTGTCATCAGGAACGAAGTACACGAAAGCAGGGCCAGCGAGCAGCAGGAGGAAGGCGAGAGCTTGAAGGGTGCCAGGTGTGGATCGGTCAGTGGCAGCAGAAAGGATACCGAACTCCTCAGCCTTGGAGAGAAGGCCGAGCTCTTCGATGGCTGTCAATGAGAGGCCGAAGGACTCTGCGAGTGAGAGAAGTCCTGCTTGCTCGGCCTTGGAGAGCAACCGGAGATCCTCCACGCGTGAAAGGAGGCGGATTTCTGGGTCCGAGCCTACGACCTTGCCGCGAACGCCGCCGGTCTTGTCCTCGCCGAAGAGCTCAACGACCTTGACCTGCAGGCATGAGGGAAGGGTTAACATGGGAGGTAGAAATGAGAGGTGCTCCACAGCTCTGGGTGAAGATTGCTGTGGTACGTTTGTTACTATCTTGACATTGCCTTTTCAGCACGCAACGCCGCAGGTGGAACCGTTAGTTCCCGACTGTGGTAAATGTAATTCTTTTACTCGACGTATCAATTGCGACTCGATCTGAAAGTAGCGCGGAACGTCTAACAGTGGAAGATGTTATTTCTATGTGTTTAATCAGGCACGTTAGCCGGCTGCATCTCCTGAACTGATATCAACGTCGCGACCTCTAATTGGGAAAAGGCTAATGAGCACATGGTGAAGAGACGACTGACGAGGAGCATGTGGTGCATCATTAAAGCAGGGTAAGACGGCGGGGTAACAAGAGGGAAAAACCAGGACTATGATAAAACAGGGTCAATGAAGACGTATGGACTGTGTAGCATGCACATAAGATGCAGAATATGCAGTAGGGGATAAGACATGGATGAGTTTGGTTTTTCTTCGACAATCCAGTGCAGAAGGCAATCAACTGAGAAGAGAAAGGACCAAATGAAGGAGTCGTACATTTCTCAAGATCTTGGTCCCAGCGCGAACTGTAAGGTTCCTCCTAGCCGGAGCTGCCTCGAGCTTTGGAAGGCCAACAGCGACAGGGGCCGCGAGGAAAGAGCTGCGGAGGACGGCAGAGGCCATTGTGAGCTTGTTCCGAATAATCTCTGAGAACGTTAAGTGATTACCAGAGCGTTAGTCAGAACAAGTCTCAATGACGACTGTCAAGGATCAAGGATTAATTCTGAGACTGTTGAAATGAGTGATCAAGGAATGGCTATGTTCCTCCGATGTGCCTTTGATTGGGTGGGACTGCTCTGCAAACCTCTCTCATCGCAAAGCTCAGGAGGCTTGGGGCTGTTTTGAGGTCTGGCATGCCTAACCACGGGTAACACATATGGCTTGGGCAGGTTCGGTTAGAGCTTAACCTTCATTTTTCATGCTTCACCCAGACATAGAGGCTGGTAACGGCTGACAAGGCCAACGAATCGGCTCGATATTAGCTTTGGAAATTCTCCAGGAACCAGCTGGGGAGGTTTTGGTGGGAGGTATTCCGCGAGGGAGGGAGGGGGAGAGCCTCACGGTCAGGAAATGTCGACGTGGCAAAACCGAACTGGGCATTGCGTGGTTGCCGCTAGTTCTGGATTGCTGGTCATCTGCTGGAGTGGCACAGAAAGTCGCAGCGCGCCTGGGATCAGGTCCCCCGCTGCAATTGGTGTTCCCTGGATGCCGATGTGAACCACCTTTCATCGCGTGACAAGTGTGGGAGGTGCTTGTACTCTTTCGGAGGTACTCCCTTACCAGTTTCAGGTGCCAAGAAAAAGGCGAAAATAGATACCACGATAATTTAGATGTCATGGTGGTGGTGTCTTACAACACCACAAGTCCAAGACTGCTACATCCTTGCATTTTGCTAGTACGTGCAAGGCCATTTCATCAACACCAAGGAGAAAAAGCAGGTAAATAAACGCAAATCTACTCTCCAAAGAATATTCATCAACAACGCGCTTTTATTAACGACTACCAACTACCGTACAACAAAATCTAGTAGCCCAAAGTATCCCGCAGAGACATTAGAGCACTGACTGACGAGGGGGCGAACTTGCGTGCAAACAAAAAGCACGGAGCTCGCTCTCCTGCAACTCTGCATGGACCAGGAAATGCGACATCTAGAAGGCCGACATTCTCCGAAACCGCGAAATGACGCCTCTGCATCCTCTCTATCAAAGCCGCCGTCACACTGCTCCCAGAATACATTAATGGATGCTCAGCCTTGTAATGTGGCCAATCCACATGCATGACAGAGTGAGGCTCTATCCCTCTCCGATCATATCCCCAAACCACTGTCTGAATGTAGCCTTCATCAGGATATTCCCCTCTGCCCCTGCCAAATGTCACATAGTACTTCATATCTTCCACCACTAAAGCTGCATGCGGCCGGGTCAGCACGAACCACTGAGACCCTTTCCTGGTCTGCCATGGATGGATAATTTGACGTGGCATGAATATCCAGAAATATCGTGGAAACCTCCACCAGCGAAGCGCTGGAAGGACTGCCAGGAAGCTTCTATCCCCTGTAAAGAGGTACTCGTAAATGAAATCAAAACTCCGGATGGAAACGCAGGCCTCTGACAGCAGCACGAACCGCTGATTGACTGGATTCTCGAGCCCTGCTGCAAGAAGTCGCCTGGTAGCTTGAATCATTGATGGCATCCCCCTTACAATCCTCAATCCTGGAATCTGGGTCCCCCAGAATACACTGCCTTTCCCAACATGTGCATTCACGTCCCAGCCCTCTGTCGCCGCATGGACATAGATCGAGGCACGGTCCATGTTCCCACGGAAAAACTCCTCCCAGAGAGGTTGGAAGGGAAGAGGCCCTCGAGTGAGGAACAAGAATGCGATTTTAGGCAGCGTCCCGTTAGGCAGGAGCATTGATGGTGTAAATGTAGGCGAATGCTGCTTTGTCTCAACCACGGCTACCACCGTCCTATTATTGGCATTTCCGCCTCTCTCCAAAGCTTGAATCGACAGCTGGCTGAGGTGTGAATGGTCCTCGTAATCCTCCTCCTCTCCGCCCTCCAGCCCCTCTATCCGATGGTGGTAAAGCCGTAGAGATGCTGGTAACTCGGTGATAGGAACCAATTGATTGACTGGCGGTACAAATTGGCGCTCGGTCTCCATGGCTCGCTGAATCAGCATGCTGTCAGCTTCATCGAAGAAGGTGTACGAGAACCAGTAAGCGGTGAACAATTGCCACAGCCCCACAGCCGCGAAACAGTAGAAAATCGCTCCGAATACGAACAGACACCTGGTGCATGGCGATGTCGTTGCGACAAGAATACGGAGTTTAGAGATGTAAGGTCCTGAAACAGGAGATTGATGTGGAGATGGCATTTGATCCGAAGACCCGGCTCGTTCTCTGCTGTACCGGCTTCCTCGCCTGACTCTACCCGGACCTTGACGACTGCTAAGCTTTTCGTGACCGTGCGATCTACTTGGCTGCGATTGGTCTGGGTGCTGCTGCTGCTGCTGCAGATGCTGCTGGTGTGGATGATGATGACGTCTATCTACGAACGAATCACGCTCGTTCCCCGTCGTTATTCTGTCTTGATTGAATGTAGACTGCGAAGGCTCTAACTCGTACGGTTGGCGTCGGTGTGAAAAGTCGCTGTTTGCTGCAGGGACCAGAACGGCCGCTTCAATTGACTGCCCTGCCTGGGCTTCTTGATCAAGGAAGGTAGTTCCTAGTCGTCGCTTCTCTGCCATCCGGGAAGTAGTGTCAGAAACGCCAATTCAGCTAGAATCACGACGCAGAAAACTCTCCCAAGGACCCCTGATCCTTTGGTTAGATTAAACTTCATGGATTTGGCCGACAACTAGGCACTTGAAGAACTGTTTTGAAGACTTCGAAAAATGATTTAGCCTGTTCAGAACGGAAGAAACGAACCAGGCTGGGTCTCATGGGGGTTCTACTGCCAGGGAGGGTTCTGCTGTGGAATGAAACCTACCTGGGCGAATTTGAGCGGGAAAGTACCTTTCAACCACAACGAAAATAAAGCATTTGTTACAAATGAATTGGCGAAGATATCCATTCGTCCTCACGACACCGTAACCAGCAATGACCGTTTGGGGAGGGAGGCTCTCCCCTTCGCGGAAATATGCACCCCTTTACCGAAAACTGGATAGCGAAACAAACCAGCAATATTTCGTCTTCGTGAACCATGGGCCTCTGGTTGGCAGGATTCCACGAACAAGGTTCAACTTCAGACCCTCACCCTAAAGCCCAAATTGTCCATGCCCGTCCTAAATTACTCTCTGGATAAGTTCAGGCGATTCAGGCTTGTAGTAGGCCTTATTCTTTCTCCTTTCCTGCCACCTGTTTACAAGAAATTAGTCTTTTTTTCGGTGACATATGGAGTCGGAACCAGCCAAACGTTTCAAATCAGGTGACCAACAGCCGCCAGCGTCCTCTGATGATTTTGAGTGTCGCCGATATTTGACGCCTGAAGGTTGCCCTTTCGGCGACAGATGCCGTTATCGCCATGGTTCTGAGGGTATGGATGTCTCATGTTTTTTCGCATGACATTGGTCGTCTTAACCTATTAGGTACTAAATCGTGCCTTCCCGCTTTGGATGGTGATAATACAACATTACAGATTCAAGAGATTTGTTCCCCGACTCGAAGGCGAAGCCTTGCACGAAATTCTTCAGGTGCTTATCTGTTGAACTGAATAAATTTTACACAATCACGCGCTTTGTGTCCTCACTATATGAGCTTATCGTACATTGTTTCCCTGCTTCATTTTACAGCACTTCAGGCTGTCCATACGGCGAAGAATGCCATTTCCAACATTACGTCCCTGGCGGTATATCAGCGCTCGGGATTTCACCAAGACCCATGCCTCCTGGAATACCCGGATCCGGAGGTCCTTGGCCGCCTGCCGGAAGCCCCATGGGAAGAGGACCAGGTTCAGGCAGGCTCGGAGGAGGACACGACGGAGACGCTTCCAAGATCTGCAGACGTTTTACGGCACCGGGAGGATGCCGTTTTGGTGACCGTTGCCATTTCTCGCATGTGGAGCCTGATGCGATGGCCAGATCCCGTCCCCCTGGCCCCGGTATGGGTGGTCCAGGAGGGAGAGATTTTATGCCTGGCGATGGATACGGATCGGAATCCAGATTCGGTGGTGGCCAATGGGACGGGCCTGGTGGATATAAAGGAGGGGGTGGTTTACCCATGGAGCCTGTATCGCCTGGGAGAGGCGGAGGAGTTCCCATGGGCCCTGCATCTGATTTCGGATCTACTACAAGTGCTAAGATTCCCGTTGACGCTTCGCTCGTCGGTGCTATAATAGGGAAAGCTGGTTCTGTAATTAAACAGATCCAGAGGCAGTCAGGAGCGAGGGTAGCTGTCAGGGATCATGAATCGGACACCAATCTTAGGAATGTCGAAATGGAAGGATCGCTTGAGCAGATTGAGTACGCGACAAGAATGGTTCGACAGCATTTGGCGGAGAGAGCTAACCAAGGCCCGGGAGGAGGCGGGGGTGGATTCGGGTCGGGTCCGCCGCGTGGGGGTGGTGGTGGAGGGAGGGGACCTTCCAGCCTTGGTCCGCACAATTACAAGACAAGGATGTGCGAGAAGCTTGAAGCTGGGACCTGCACGTTCGGATCTCGCTGCCACTTCGCTCATAACCCTGATGAGCTTCGATCTGCTCCCCCAGGAGATTAAAAAAGGTGAGATCTTATCTGGTAAGTTGTCCAATAAACTGTTTTTTTTTATTTCACAAGTATCAGTCAGATGTCATGTGTCTTTGTTTTGGGAATACACAATTCTGGTAACATGACGCAAGAAGGTGATCTTTGCATTCTCACATGCATTTGAAGAAATCATGTTTCACGAAGGGTCTACTAACATTACTGGGTGATGCGTTTAACACATCAAATTTGTGACTTGCAGTGATGGATCAAGGGCGTACAATATCCAATCCAGAACAATTTAACAGACGAATAGTGTGCTGGATGAATCAGCAGTTGCAATCCATGAATGACGTCACTCAAAAAAGCTTCTGCAAGAATTCAGAATAAATGGTACAATTCAAGCTGGAGGAGAACCAGGACATCTTACTGTAGTACCGTGAAAGGACAGGGAATGTACTCTAGCAGGCTTAGCAACCAACAAGCCAGCTGAACGAAAGTTAGCGGGTGGCAACAGTCGGATTTTAAATTTCTGGCTATAATTTCAAACTTGGCTGTTGAATTGAATGGTTCGGCTACCGTATTTTTGGCCCAAGCTGGTGGTGAAAGTAAACCCCTGATCGTGGACTTGCCAGGCTGACATGTGGGAAAGCAAAATTTGTGGCCTGTTGTAAGCTTCTGGGGTCCAGGCACTGTTTTTCTCTAATCATGTGCATGAGAGAAAGCGTTTTGCCTTTTCTCATGGATGAAAATGATGGTGTTTTTTTTTTTGTTTTTTTGTCAAACCTATATCTGATTCTTACAGTATTTGTCAGTCAGCATGCATGGTTTCTGTGTTGTTTGGTGGGAAGACGACATGATATGCATTGCATAGCTCTGGCTATTTCTTGCCTAGATGGAAGTACTTTCAAGCCTAATAAATGGATGGACGGTTTGGGGAATGCACTTGCTTGCTTTGCTCTTGATGCCACTGCCTCAGAAACATGCAGAATTGCGTCAGTCAGCCACACCAGGAGCAGGAGGTACTGGGGTATGTGCAGCCACCACCAGCAGCTGTTATACAAGCCACACCATGTGACCATGCACAACAGGTTACATGCATCAGTCACCACCAGACAAGCTACCACACATGCAGCTACATCCAACAACCATCACACCAGCACAGGCACACATGCCACTACCTACTTCTCGTCACCTTGGTGTTTCCCACTCCTGCCAGTGACATACACTACAAACAGGCTTACTTGCAAATTTCAACATTGCCTGGTGTCCTCCATGTTCTTTCCATCCAATCCAACGTGATCTGTTTAGAGTCCAGCTGTGAGGCATGGTACCTAATAGAAATTAACTACAACAAAATCGAAATTAATTGAACATGGTTATTAGAACAAGGTCACTAAATCAAACTGCAGTATGGATGTCTGTCTAAGCTTGTAGCAGAAACTTCTGCCTCAGCACACCAGAAGGCTGCACGAAGCCGCACTCCTCACAGCCCCACTCCTCACAGCCACAATAGATTACTCCACATCCACATGCATTTGGGCAGTCATACAGCCTGGGCCCTCCCAAGATTAATGTATCCATTACCTTCACCCAAATTTTATATTCCACAAGAAACCGCTTCTCAAGCTGCGTCGTCCACGCAACTCCCGAACTAGTGGTGCCATTGTGGCCACTAGAGGGCACATCCTTCAAGCCGGCAGCCATTCACTTCTGTCCTTCCAACCGTCTGCGCGAGTTGCGGAGTTGGCAGGACCTCCAGTTCTTCCAACTTTTGAGTTGGAACTCTCGCTAACCTGCTTTCAACTTCCGGCTTTCAACCACAGCTTCACCCAGCTTCACCCAGCTTCACCCAGCCCCCCTCCTGCTTATCCTTGCGTTCTCCTGCTTCACCCAGTTTCATCTCCAGCTTCACCCAGTTTCATCTCCAGCTTCACCCAGATTGTCCCCCACAGCACTAGATCAGCTGCAGGGTTGGCTTGAGCTAACCAACATGGTGGGTGGTTTCACCACACCTGACACTAACCTCCTGCTTCGCGGTGGGTCTGCGCTATCTCTCACAAGCAACCCACCACACCTGCAGCCACTCTATTGTAGCCTTTGATAGCCAATACGGTGGGTGGTTTCACCCCCCCGAGAATAACCTACAACACAGTGCATCCCCACTCGGCCCTTGCTTCAGCTCCACCTGAATCCTCTTCCACCCGTCGCTGCTCATCTGAGGCTCCTCTCTCGGCCTGTGCGAATGCAACAAGTCGCACCAACTGCAACCAGCCACAGCCACTTCTATTCGGCTACAAGATGGCACATCCACACCCACTCGCCTCTTTCTTTGGCTCCACTTGAATTCTCTTCCACCCACTGTCCATCTGAGGCTCCTCCCTCGGCCCATGTCGTGACGCTACCCCGTCCTGTGAGTTGTCGTTCCCCGCCCCGCTTCCTCCTCCTCCCCCTCCCCCTTCCCCGCCTGTTGCAGTGCCAGGTGGCGGCGCGCCATTTGTCGGCTTCCCTCCCGGGCCAATAGGGGGTTTGCTGCTGGAGTTTGGTCCGGGAACAGGCACGATCATGTCGTCAACCCTGGAGAAGAGGAGTAGAGAAGGGACCGAGGGAGGATGGGAATGGGGAGTGTTGGGGCAGGGATTGACAAGGCTTGCTGCTGGAGTCCGGTTCAGGAACAGGCACGATTATGTCGTCAACCCTGGAATAGAGAAAAGTGAGGGAGGGAAGAGAGGGGGGTGGGTATGTTGGTGGGGGAATAGATGGGGCTTGCTGCTGGAGTTTGGTCCGGGAACAGGCACGATCGTATCGTCAACCCTTGAACAGGGAATTGGGAAGTAAAAAGAGGATGGGTGGGTGCGAATGGGGTGTGTTGGTGGGGGAATAGACGAGGCTTGTTGCGGGCGTCTAGTCCAGGAACATGCACACTCATGTCATCAACCCTGGGATAGGGAAGTCAGAAATGGAGGGAGGGTAGGTGGGTGGGAACGGGAAGTGTTGGTGGTGGGAGAATAGACGAAGCTTGCTGCTGGAGTTTGGTCCGGGAACAGGCACGATCATATCAACAACCCTGGAAGAGGGAGAAAGGGAGGGAGGGCGGGTGGGGGGAGTGTTGTTTAGCACCTAGAGAAGTGGTTTGCTGCTGGAGTTTGGTCCGGGAACAGGCACGATCATGTCGTCAACCCTGGAAGAGAAACGTGGGAAGGGGGTATGGCGTGGTGAGGAGGAATGGAGGGGAGGGAGAGGGATGTTGGGGGAGGTGGGCGGGTATTGGTGAGATGGACGAGGCTTGCTGCTGGATTCTGGTGCGGCCGGGAACAGGGAAGGGAGGGAGGGTGGGTGTGTGAGAATGGGGAGTGTTGGTGGGAGAAGAGAAGAGCTTTGCTGGTGGTTTCTGGTCTGGGAACATACACTATCATGCAACTACTCCTGGAATAGAAATGCAAGAGGTGGGTCGTTGTGGTTTGGGGGGGGGGTTTGTGGATATGAGAGAAATAACTCTTAAGCACCCTTGAAACTGAAAACCACCCTCCCTCCCCCCTTCCCGCTGCCTTCTAACTCACTTGTTGCGGCTCCTCCCGTCCCCGATTCTCTCCAAATAAGCAACAATCTCGTCAAAGTCTGGCCGCTTCTCTGGGTCTCTGTCCCAGCAGCGCGTGACGAGCTTCGTGATCTGACTCGGGCAGTCCTTTGTGGGCGGACGGAGGTTCTGTTTGGGATGGTGGGTGGTGGGGGTTGAGGGGGGGAAGGGGATAGGTGGTTAAGAAAGTGGCTCAGAAAGTACGAGCAGAAAGTCCGGTCGCTTGTCAGGGTCCCTGTCCCAGCAGCGTGTGTCGAGCTTCGTGATCTGGCTCAGGCAGTCCTTTGTGGGAGGGCGGAGGTTCTGATGGGGAGGGGGGTGGGTGTGGGGGGGACGGGAGGGAGGGGGGCGAGTTGCACGAAGGAGAGCCCTTCAAAGGGCCACTGAGCCGTGCAGATCTCCCACATGCCACAGCCCACCTGCATATACAGGTGTGCATGCCACACTCACCAAGTGTTGCTGCAGATCTCCCACACGAGCCAGTTGACGTACAACAAGCACACCCCTCACTCATTCACACACCCCACACTCATTCACACACCCCACACTCATTCACACACCCTCACACTCATCCACACACCCTCACACTCATCCACACACCCTCACACTCATCCACACACCCTCACACTCATCCACACACCCTCACACTCATCCACACACCCTCACACTCATCCACACACCCTCACACTCATCCACACACCCTCACACTCATTCACACACCCTCACACTCATCCACACACCCTCACACTCATCCACACACCCTCACACTCATCCACACACCCTCACACTCATTCACACACCCTCACACTCATCCACACACCCTCACACTCATCCACACACCCTCACACTCATTCACACACCCTCACACTCATCCACACACCCTCACACTCATCCACACACCCTCACACTCATCCACACACCCTCACACTCATCCACACACCCTCACACTCATTCACACACCCTCACACTCATCCACACACCCTCACACTCATCCACACACCCTCACACTCATCCACACACCCTCACACTCATCCACACACCCTCACACTCATTCACACACCCCACACTCATTCACACACCCTCACACTCATTCACACACCCTCACACTCATCCACACACCCTCACACTCATCCACACACCCTCACACTCATTCACACACCCTCACACTCATCCACACACCCTCACACTCATCCACACACCCTCACACTCATCCACACACCCTCACACTCATCCACACACCCTCACACTCATTCACACACCCTCACACTCATCCACACACCCCCACACTCATTCACACACCCTCACACTCATTCACACACCCTCACACTCATCCACACACCCTCACACTCATCCACACACCCTCACACTCATCCACACACCCTCACACTCATTCACACACCCTCACACTCATCCACACACCCTCACACTCATCCTTGTCTACTCACATCTGCGACGATGGCATGCGCAAGAGACAAGGAGAGCCCCTCAAAGGGCCACTGGGTGACTTTTGAGTCGACTCAAAAGTCACATCTGCGACGATGGCATGCGCAAGAGACAAGGATGAGTAGACAAGGAGAGACAAGGAGAGCCCCTCAAAGGGCCACTGGGCCGTGCAGATCTCCCACAGCAGCGAGTTGCGATACTACAGGCACGCCCACGGTCCCACAGAGATTCACACTCGCACACATTCACGCAAGCCAACTCACGTCAGCCACAATGGCGCGCGCCAGTTGCACGAAGGAGAGCCCCTCGAAGGGCCACTGCGCCGTGCCTCATCAGCAGTGGTGGGGGCCACAAGCAGATTACTTGCAAGCTACAGCAGCTGTATCAAGCAGGGCCATATCAACTCACATCGGCCGTATGTATCCAACTTACATCAGCCACAATGGCATGCGCCAGTTGCACGAAGGAGAGGCCCTCAAAGGGCCACTGGGCCGTGCAGATCTCCCAGAGCACGATGCCGTAGCTGTAGACATCGACTTTGCGCGTGTACGGCTTGTGGTCGATCATCTGAAACACAAGGGGGACGGGCACAAGGGGTTGGCAAACAGGAAGAGGGGTTCAGAAGGTGAATCTCCCAGCAGCACGATGTCATAGCTGTAGACGTCCACCTTGCACGTGTATGGCTTGTGGTCAATCATGTGAAGTGGGGAGAGGAAGGAAGAACGGGGCAATGTAGGTGACTCCAATAGATCATCGGGTCGGGTGTGGTGAGGGGCGCGAGGGATGCACAGGGTGTTGCAGATTGGAGGATTTGAGGTGCCTAAAAAAGTGCTCTCACTGCATGGGGTCCCTCGAACCATACATAGATACAACTGCCGGACCAGCCACTTACCTTTGAGACGAGCCTCAAAAGTAGTCAAAAGGCGCCTCAGAAGTCTATTTGAGGTGCCTAGAAATTGCTCTCACTGCATGGGGTCCCTCGAACCATACATAGATACAACCGCCAGGCCAACCACCTACCTCTGGCGCCATCCATCTAATTGTGCCCGTCTCAGCGGTCATGTCGCCCGGCTCCTGTGCCTCTGTCCTCGCCAGCCCCAAGGTGAGGTGAGGTGAGGTGAGGTGAGGTGAGGTGAGACCCCTCAAACCATACACAGACACAACCGCCAAGCCCCCCAACCACCCACCCTCTCCCACCCACCCACTGCCTCACCTCTGGCGCCATCCATCTGATTGTTCCCGTTTCAGCAGTCATGTTGCCCGGCTCCTGTGCCTCTGTCCTCGCCAGCCCCAAGGTGAGGTGAGGTGAGGTGAGGTGAGGTGAGGTGAGACCCCTCAAACCATACACAGACACAACCGCCAAGCCCCCCAACCACCCACCCTCTCCCACCCACCCACTGCCTCACCTCTGGCGCCATCCATCTGATTGTTCCCGTTTCAGCAGTCATGTTGCCCGGCTCCTGTGCCTCTGTCCTCGCCAGCCCAACGGTGAGGTGAGACCCCTCCTTTCCTCTCCCTCTCAGTTCTCAGCCCTTCCAACCCACCCACCCACTGCCTCACCTCTGGCGCCATCCATCTAATCGTGCCTGTCTCAGCAGTCATGTTGCCTGGCTCCTGTGCCTCTGTCCTCGCCAGTCCAAAGTCCGCCACTTTGACCAGCCCAGACGAGTCCAGCAGCAGATTCGCGGACTTGAGGTCCCTGTGTGGGAAGGAGAAGAAAGGCGGGGAGAAGGGGGGAGGAGGGGGGAAGAGGGGGAGGAGGGCAGGGTGGATGGATACATGTCGAATGTGGACTGAGGGTGTCCTCAGGTGCGTCACAACCCAAAGTCCGCCACCTTCACGAGCCCAGACGAGTTCAGCAGCAGATTCGCGGACTTGAGGTCCCTGTGGGTGGGGATGGGGGGAAGGTGAAGGAGGTGGGGGGTGGGGTGGAAAGGGGGGTGGGAGGGTGGTCAATTCCCAAAGTCAGCCACCTTCACGAGACCAGCCCAGTTCAGCAGTCATGTTGCCCGGCTCCTGTGCCTCTGTCCTCGCCAGCCCGAAATCCGCCACTTTGATGAACCCAGACGAGTTCAGCGTACCTCGAGCCACATCCAGAGCCTGATGTGGTGTAGTGGTTCAAAAACAGTTGGTTCCCCTTTGAGGCGCCTCAAAAACAGTTGATTCCCTTTTGAGGCGCCTCAAAAACAGTTGGTTCCCTTTGGATGATGTTGTTGGAGTGCAGGTACTGCATGCCCCTAGCCACGTCCAGAGCCATGGCCGCTAAAGGTGCACCCGTGGATCATGGTAGAGCCCCCTTCCCCCTGCAACGCACCTGTGAATGATGTTGTTGGAGTGCAGGTACTGCATGCCTCGCGCCACGTCCAGAGCCATGGCTGCTATCTGCTTGAGCGAGAGGCGGCGCTTGCCCAAGCGCGAGAGGAAGCCCTTGACTGTGCCTCCGTCTAGGAACTCTGTGACTATGGCCCACTTGGGCGGGTTGATGTACGCTCCTAGGAACTGGGGGCGAAAAGGGGGGGTGAAGTTGGGGGCTTGGGTTGTGTGTGAGGAGAAAGCACAGGGAAGGAAGCCCTTGACTGTGCCTCCGTCGAGGAACTCTGCGACTATGGCCCACTTGGGAGGGTTGATGTACGCTCCTAGGAACTGGAGAGACGAGGGGGTTGGTGTGGGGGAGGCAGGAAGGAGGGAGGAGGGGATGTGAAGGGTACGGACGGAACAGGAAGCCCTTGACTGTGGCGCCGTCTAGAAACTCTGTGACTATGGCCCACTTGGGCGGGTTGATGTACGCTCCTAGCAACTGGCGTTGACAGGGATGGGGGGAATGGAGGGAGAGAGGAAGGGAAGGATGGGGATAGAGGGAGGACGATGTGAAGGAGGGAGGGGTGAGGGGATGGGGAGGGAGAGGCAGGAGGGAGACGGCGGGTGAGGTGATGAGGGATCGAGGCGTGAAGTCAGAACAAAAAGGCTGACTGTGCCACCCAACCTTTACCTGGCCTTAGCAACGCCCGCCTGCTGTCACTTTGCATTTTGTACCTTTAAGAATCTAATTACTTCAAATATTCCGTGTCCACTTTTTGGTCACTTAATCTGCTATGACCAAGTGTTTTGAGTCCTGAACAACGGATACACTCCAAGAGCTAACTCGTCGCGCCTGTGAGCGAAGCGGAGGCGAAACGAGAGCTGGTAACAAAAAAGTGCTCGGCCCGAATGGTCTCGCGGCGCGAGGGCCCAATCGTCAATGACAGGCTCGAGCCTGGACTCGTGGTCCCTTGTCGACGTACCTGACAGGTTCGGAGCTGACAAGCCCGTACCTGGAGCCCTGGACGACATTTGGGTGGTTGAGTTTATGCCACACGGACACCTCTTGCCGGAATCTCCACTTCGCACCCAGTGGTCTGATATTGATCGACACGTACCTTGATAACTCAACCTTCAAAACCTCCATACCCACACGTTTGGGAAACCAGGAACATCGGTTCGGGTCGTACCTGGACGACGTTGGGGTGGTTGAGTTTATGCCACACGGACACCTCTTGCCGGAACCCCCGCTTTGCGCGAATCAACTCATCCTCGCTAGAAGCTTCAGGGAAGAGCAGAAACTTTATCGCGACGCGCGAGCCTCTGTACGTGCCCGAATGCACCACGCCGAACGATCCTGTAGCTATCAACTCGCCCAACTCGACCTGACGCGATGAGGGGAAGGGGGGTGGTAGAGCGGGAGGTAAGGGGGAATTGAGATGAATGATCTTAACACCCATAGCATTTCTGCCGGTGATGTGGATGCTGTTTACCTAGGAACTTGATCACAGCGCGCGTGATCTGATGCGTGGACGAATGCACGACGCCGAACGATCCTGTGGGATTAACTCACCCAATTCGACCTAAGCGGGTGAGTGGATGGTATTCGGGAAGAGAGGTGAGAATTGGGGAGGGAAGCCGCAGCATATCGGGAGACCAGGATTTTAATCGTCACTCGCTTGCCTTGGTACGAGCCTGAATGCACCAGGATTAAGTCGAGATTAGGTCCGCTTCGCGATCACGCGACTCCTGCGAGTCCCGCGACCACGCGGCTCGCTCCTGCGACTCGCAAACTTCTAAAGAAGCCTTCATGAAGAGGCCGATCGCATACCTCTGAGAAGTCTATCGCGCACGCTGTTGACCCGGGCGCGTCTCCTCCACTCGGCGATCCCTCGTTGCCGCGACCGTCGCTACCGGCGCCGGATGATTGCTGGCTGCCGTGACTGCCATGGCTACCTTCGCCCAATTCGGCCCAAGGGCCGATCGCGTACCTCTGAGAAGTCTATCGCCCACGCTGTTGACCCAGGCGCGTCTCCTCCACTCGGCGATCCCTCGGCGCCGGAGGATTGCTGGCTGCCGTTACTGCCATGGCTGCCTTTGCTGTTCTCCTCCTCGCCGTTTCTGTTCCGATCTCGCCGCGAATTGCGGGTTCCTCTTGCGGAGCCGTACACGCCGCCGGTCATTGGCGCTCTCGCTGCAGAAATGAAACGTCGATGGGGTAATGCAAGAAATTAATGTTACACATTTGGAGACTTTAAGGCAATTTCAGTGCCTTTAAACCGGGGGGGGGGAGGAGGGGGAGTGACAGGTGGGGGAAGGACGACAAACGGAGCGGAAACTATAACAACGCCTGGATACGAAAAGCGACAAGCAAGACGACGGGGAACCGAAAAAAGCGACCTTAAAGACGTGAAAAAGCGGTCGGTAACCAAACAAAAGTACACCAAACGTGACTGGAAACTCGGTGAGAAACAATACCTGAAGTGTGACTGAAGTTTGACTGAAGATTCAGGAAAATCTGATTATTACTTTTTCCACTCAGACGTCCCCGTCACACAACCACAGGGACTTTGTGGTAACCCTAAAATTATCGAAGAATGATCCTGAGCTGCAGGCCGAAAACGCTAAGGGTGATGCTGTTAACTCAACGATGAAAGTCCTAGAGCTCGCATTATAATCGTCTCGAATATAATGTGCCAAGGTGGGTCGTAAATGCCCAGGTCTTTACGACTCGTAGTCTGCTACCTTGTCTTTTGACGAAGTGCTCTGCACTGCGACCTAATTACGACGTGAAAGTGATTTGACGTCGACAGAATGGCGACGAAAGATGTCGACTCCGTAAGGACGCCATGATAGTTCAAATGGATCGTAATCGAAGCAGAGACCATACAGGTGAGCACGCTTAGAAGATGGTTTGACCAGGAGAAACGGGACGAGCAAACCGAGACGGTAAGAGGAGCTGGGTCAGGAGCCCTTGTGAAGGAGGAAACCGACGTCTCGCAATTACTCTACATATCTGGATTCGAAGTATTATGCAATGTGAGCTGCGAGGATGGAGGATAGAGGATGACGACAACTTGTTGATCAAGGGCGAGCATAATCAATGCAGGTGCTGCTTTTTTACGCAGCGCGGAAAAGAGAGGATGAGGTGCCTGAAGAAGAGATGCCAAACAGATATGCCAGGGGAGCGGAAGCTTGAATTGAATGGCGGTGCTGTGTCTGCCATGGAAAAAACTCTCCTCTCCTCGTGCTTTTGTGAGGTGAGGTTGGTGGGAGATGGTGCTTCGCTGGCAGCAGGACAGTGGAGGTAAGTCATGAGCGCGTGCGGTGGAAAATGGCTACACACACATGTTCCACAGAACTTTCGAACTGTGCACGCGGGTCTGATTCTGAGTGAACATGGCGGATTTTGTTGAGCTGGAAAAAATAAATAGAAGGAAGAGCCACAGGTTTTGTATAGAGCTTCGTTGATGAAGTCGTGGTGATTTGGTGTGGTGGTTGGTGAACAGATCATAGTCCGCCTTGAAGTTGTTTCGTTCTCTCGTTCACAAAGGGCAACACAACTGGGAAAACAAATATGCTAGTTTTTGGTTTGGAAATCGGGCCAAGATTCAAAGGTTGAGAGGCGGAGAATACTGCACATGGGCAAGCCCGTCTCGGATTGGGTGAAAGGGGAGACGATGTGGGCGATCCAGAAGGCTTCTGCTGAGGTGTGTGACATCGAGTGGTTAGTTCAATGGTTTTAGAGTTGCGGTGCCTAGAACTCGAGGACACCCGTATTCACGTCGTCCTCTATGGTGCTCACAAACAAAACATACCTAGGCGGATGGAAAACCGAGATTCAAATTTGGCTCCATCAACACGCCCTCCCCAAGTTGAGTCGAGTCTCGTTGTTTGTCAAACCTGACGATGCAGGCTCGGGAATAACCTTTTTACATTAGGGGCACGCCTGGACCACAAGATCTCACCACGCCTGTGGCTGTTCAACAACAAATCTTACCGAACCATGACGCTTCTCCCCCAAACCAAACCGCACGCTCCAACCGTTGGAAAGTAAAATACAGTAAAACGTACTGTAAAAAGTACACCTGAAGCTTTTGTGAAGCCCAACGATTTTGGCTCGTTTGTTCCTCTCGCAAGAGCGCCCTTCAAATGCTTCAGCAACGAAGACATTCGATGAACCAAGGGTTTTGTGCCTGTCGTTTCTAGATGCGTTCTGTGACCTTTTACCACGACAGGCACAATACCCTTTCCACACACCTAGGCCGTGTGCTTGCAAATCAAGTGCATGTTTGCCTGTGTGCCTGTAACGCGTAGGCCGTTGCCTGCAAATCAAGCATGTGTACATCAGTGACCCAGAATTCTGATCCAAGGCCAAAGAAAGACGGCAATGGAGAACCTTTTCAGGGCAGGGGGCGATGTGTGGGCAAGAAAGTACCGCGGCTGGAAAGTGCAAACGAACGGCGTGCTGTTGCGCAAGGATGGTTCGAGCGGTGGAATCTACGTGGCCGATTGAACTCGTTCAAGTTGATCAGTGTTTCAAAGTTCTCAACTCGAGCCCTGGCTGTAGTTCGATGCTTACATTGATGCCCTGAACCCCACGCAGATTGTTCTTTGGCGGGGTTAGAAGAGCTCTGAAAGTTGCGGAAGCAATAAGCGTACACCTAACTCGCGCCAATTCAACACCTGGGCCCCGGGTCGCGTTCCTTGTCATTTTCCCCTCGGGTTGAAATTTGTGGGAACAAAAAAGTTCCCCTCAATTTCGACACTTTGACGGAAGGTATATCGGTTGAAATTTGTTCTGAACTCTATAACAGCGGCTGTTCTCGGTTTCGTTTTTTGGAATGTTGCTCCTTGGACCGCACCCGCCCTAGGACCGCGGGTGGCGACAAGCGTGTTGAAATTGGGGGAGTTTGAAGTTGGCGCGGGTTAGGTGTATTACAGTGCGGTGGCGATTTGATTGATCACCCGTTCTGCGTGTCTTTTTTATAGCAGGGATGGAAAGTATCACCTGAAATTACACATGAGTGTTGCAAGCGGCTTTGTCCGCAGTTTCGGTAAGCCCCAGGTCAAGAACACATACTTGTGCACCACAAACAATAAAAACACTATGCTACCTAGAAACATGTCTCAAATAATTATCATGATGCTATTTGAACTACAGTTTAGAGCCAGAGGGGGTCAATATACAAGAAGCATAAAAGGAACACACCAAGACGGAAGAAAAAACGATAGAATGAGAGAAAAAAGATCCAAGATACTGAGATGAAAGAAACGGGTAAATAAAAAGACATGGCTCACGGTAAAGTGCAGAGCCAGACAGGCGACAGATGGAGCAAGGGTGCCAGGTTTGATGGTAAGAAGCAAGGCCGGTTCGGCAAAGGTAATGGGGCAGGTTCAGAAGATCAAGCATTGTAAATAAGGACTGGGATGGAGGCTTGGCTTGGTGGAGAGGAGAGGCTCATTGTGCAGGTTGGCAGGTACTGCTGCTCCTCCAGTTAATGTGACTGTAACCATTGCGTTACAGTTACCAGGTGCAGGGGCTACAAGCACAAACAACATACACCATGCAATCATCAACGCTGTCTCTATGTTGTTGACTCTGCTGCTGCTGCTGCTGCTGCTGCTGCTCCGCCGTCCTCTGCCTTATCTGCTACACCTCCCTCTTTCCCTCCGTCCTCCCCCTTTGCTCCTCCCTCCACGGCCCCACCTCCTGCCTCTGCAGCAGCAGCGCCTTCCCCCTCTCCTTTCTTCCCCTCCTTCCCTCCTTCCACCTTCTCCTTCTCCCCCGTCTCCCCTCCCCCCTTCTCCCCACCCGCTTTCTCCCCCTTCGCCTTGGCCTGGGCTTCAGCCAGGGCGCGTTTCTGAGCATCCTTGGCAGCCCTAAAGTCAGCCATGGTTCGGAACTTCTCGGTGAGAATCTTCTCGAGCTCAGGGTGCTTCTTCACCTCCCGCGTGTCCTTGTCCTTGCGGTAAAAGTGGTACGCCCTGTGGTGTGAAGGGGGGGGAGGGGGCGAGGAGGGATGTATGTGGAGGGAGAAAGAGAAAGGCAAGGCTACCCATGCTGAGAACATCTCTCCGGCTCGGGGTGCTCCTTCACCTCCCACGTTTCCTTGTCCGTGCGATAGAAACGGTATGCCCAGTGTTGGGAGAGAGAGATGAGCAGCTTGAAACAATTGAGCGATTTCTTAGATAGAAATACGGTCCCCATTCAATACTAAGTCCCCAAAAGCGTGCAAATCTACTCACCAGTACTTTTCGAGCCCATACAGGTTGCCATCCCACTGGTACATGTCCCGGAGTGAGCAATAAAATTGTATACAACCAACACTAAATCTCCAAGAAACTCACCAGTACTTTTCAAGACAACAAAGGTTCCCGTCCCACTGGTACATGTCCAGTGTGAGCTGCTCGAACGACCCCCGAGTCTTGACCACCCACACAGACAGACCCATCCCATCCCATCCCATCCCATTCCCCCGACCAGCCTTAACTCACCAGTACTTTTCGAGTCCGTACAGGTTGCCATCCCGCTGGTACATGTCCAGAGTGAGCTGCTCACTCCAACACTGGCACTGACACACTTCCTCAGAACCCAACCCAGCTCGTCCCTTGGCTAGTGCAATGCGACTCACCAGTACTTCTCAAGCCCGTACAGGTTCCCGTCCCGCTGGTACATGTCCAGAGTCAGCTGCTCGAACCACCCTCAACAGCCCACCCATCCCATTCCCATCCCTCCCATCCCATCCCACCCCACTCCACTCCATTCAATCGCTACTCACCAGTACTTCTCGAGCCCGTACAGGTTCCCGTCCCGCTGGTACATGTCCAGAGTGAGCTGCTCGAAGTCGACATACATGGGCTCCTCGAACTTGGACTCCAGCCCGTAGCTGGTGGAAGGGAATGAAAAGGTTGCAAGCGGTGGAAGGGAGTGGAAGGGAGTGGAAGGGAGTGGAAGGGAGTGGAAGGGGGCAGAAAGGGGCAGAAGAGGGTGGAAGGTTTGTATGAGGAGGTCAGAGTGAGCTGCTCAAAATCAGCATACACGGACACCACTCCAGGCCATAGCTGGTGGGGGGAGGAAGGGGAGGGTAAGCATCACAAACTATCAATGTGAGCAGCGAATGGTAATGGTATGTGACGAGGGAGCTGCTCGAAGTCAGCATACAAGGGCTCCTCAACTTAATAGGTACATATAGAAACGGAAGAGGAAGAGGAAGAGGCACCCATGCTCTTTGTAAAGAGAGACCTTATTTGAGGCACTTAGCTAAGTGGCAGTACCTGTAGAAGCGGAAGAGGCACTCCATGCCGTAATAGTACTTGGAAGCCGCGTCCTCAGAGGCGAGTGTACTAAAAACTACTAGCAAAGCGAAGCAGGGCACATATCTGTAGAAGCGGAAGAGGCACTCCATGCCGTAATACTACTTGGAAGCACCTCGCGTAAAGCACCCCCACACAATGGTACTTCTACAATAGGCTAAGAGGGTACAATACCTGTAGAAGCGGAAGAGGCACTCCATGCCGTAGTAGTACTTGGAAGCCGCGTCCTCAGAGGCGAGCCTCTTGAAGTCGTCGTACATCTGCTGGTTGAAGTTCTTCCGCAGGAAGTAGCACCAGAAGCGAAACAAAGTATTCATTTCCTGCTTGTCCAGGGGAAGGTCCAGGGGAGGGTAAGGACAGGCAGGCAGAAAGAGCAGGAGGGGATGGGAGTGGGGTGGGGGGTGGGTGGGTTGGAAAGAGGGAGAAAGGGGAAGGGGGTTGAGGTTGAGAGAGCAAGAATCACTGAGTACATGTATGTCCTCAGGGGCGAGCCTCTTGAAGTCGTCGTACATCTGCTGGTTGAAGTTCTTGGGCAGGAAGTAGCACCAGAAGCGGAACAGCTTATTCATCTCCTGCTTGTTTTGAAAGAAAGGAAGGTTGGGGGAGAAGTGGGGGTTGGGGAAGGGAAAAGGGAGGGACGGGGAAACGGAGGGAAGGGAAAAAGGTGGAGGGGGTTGAGAATAGGGAAACGAGGATCCGTGTGTGCACAATCACATGTCCTCAGTGGCGAGCCTCCTAAAGTCATGGTATATCTGCTGGTTGAATTTTTTGCAGAGGGAGGAGGGGAAGGAGGGAGGGTGAGGGGGGGAAGGAGGGAGGGTGAGGGGGGGAAGGAGGGAGGGTGAGGGGGGGAAGGAGGGAGGGTGAGGGGGGGAAGGAGGGAGGGTGAGGGGGGGAAGGAGGGGGGAGAGGGGGGGGGTCGCTGTGTACATCTGTGTACTTGCGGTTGCGGCGGTCGCTGTGTACATCAAGTAACAGCAGAAGCGGATCAACGCATGTATGTCCTGCTTGGTCTAGGTTCTAGAGTAACACGTGCTTCAACCAACAATCAACTACTCACTAGAGTCACACGTGCTTCAACCAACAATCAACTACTCACTAGAGTCACACGTGCTTCAACCAACAATCAACTACTCACTAGAGTCACACGTGCTTCAACCAACAATCAACTACTCACTAGAGTAACACGTGCTTCAACCAACAATCAACTACTCACTAGAGTCACACGTGCTTCAACCAACAATCAACTACTCACTAGAGTCACACGTGCTTCAACCAACAATCAACTACTCACTAGAGTCACCCTAAGCTCCCTTCACAGTTGGATCGCCCAAGTGACTTGTGGGAAATAAGAGTTAGAACAGAAGTTGATACTTTGATTGAGAATGATGGGGGTATACATAGTTGGGGTTTGGATACTAGCCTAGGTTGGCATTATTGGACCCCAATAATGTTGGCCAAGGTGGGGTTGGGCCAACATTATTGGAGGGAGCCAATAATTCTACCCAACCCAACCTTTTGGTGTCCAATAATTGGACCAAGATTGGGTTCCAACCTACAAACTGGGTTACCCCTGTTTGTACACCCAAACTAAGTTTGGGTGCTTATCTCTAGCCTATCCTATAGCATATATGCAGGTTGCAAGAGGAGAGATATTCTAACATGACTCACCTCAGAGCGACCACTGCCGAGCTTCTTGCGCTCCTTGAGACACCTCTTGTAGAAGGAGAAGTACCTGGGGGGGGGGGGTGAAGGGAAGGGGAAGAGGCGAGGCATGAGAGGAGAGGCAAGAGAGAGGCATGAGAGGTGAGAGAGGGCAACGCAGGCATACACTTGAGACACCTCTTGTAGAAGGAGGAGTACCTGGGAGAGGGGGAGAGGGGAGGGAGTGTCAAGAGTGAGGAGAGAGGAGAGAGGAGCATGAGAGGCAAGAGAGGGCAACGCAGGCGATACACAAGAGACACCTCTTGGAGTTTTACAAATGAAACAGCATGCCATGCACTTCACTCCATACACACTCACTTGTGCTGCTTGAATGAATCCATTCTCCTCCAAGAGAGCGTGACTAACGTGCTGGTGCTGCTAGTTTAGTGATGGTACTACCACCCCACTTCCCCTCACGCCATACCATACATGCACCCCATCCCACACTCACTTGTGCTGCTTGAACCCATTCTCCTCCAAGAGAGCGTGGCTGACATGCTGGTGCTGCTGCCCTCCCAATCTCAGACTAGCAGACAGCAGCCCCGCCCCCTCCTTTCTTACCTCACTCCATTGGATACCCTACCATGCACCCCACCCATACTCACTTCACTCACACCGTGCCATCCACCCACTCATACTCACTTCTGCTGCTTGAATCCATTCTCCTCCAGCAACGCGTGGCTGACGTGCTGGTGCTGCTGCCCTCCATACCCCAGACTAGCCGACAGCAGCCCCGCTCCCCCCTTCCCTCCAACCGATCCCACCACTCCCCTCCCCCGGTCCCTGTGCCGCCCTCCCGCTGCCGCCATATGCATCATACTACCCGTAGGGGCAGAGCCAGGGGCGAAGGGGAGGGGAGTGACGCCCTTGGGTGGGCTTAGGAGTCCTCCCCCCTTGCCCCGCTTCTGGTCCTTCTCTTTCACACCCTCCTTCCCTGCATCTGCCTCCTTCTCGCCGTCTTTCTTCTCGCCCTCCTTTGAGTCCCCTGACTGTTTCCCTGCTTCCTCCCCCTTCTCCTTCTCCTTCTCCTTCTTCTCCCCCTGCTGCTGCTGCTGGTGAAGCATGGCCAGCCCAGCAGGCATGCCCCAGGAGCTAGAGAGGGAGGAGGCAGCCGATCCACTGCAGTCCAGAGGGGTGAAAAACGGTGCAAAGAGGTGGAAAAGGGGGACAGAGGGGTACTCTGGGGAGATGAGGGGTAGAACGAGAAGTGGAAGCATGGCCAGCCCAGCAGGCACGCCTCAGGAGGAGCTAGAGAGGGAGGAGGCTGTCAAGCCACTGCGCTGTAGAGCGGTGAAAAGTGGTGCAAAGAGATGGAAATCGGGAGACAGAGCGGCACAGAGGGGTGAATAGGGGTAGAACGAGAGGTGGAAGCATGGCCAGCCCAGCAGGCATGCCTCAGGGGGAGCTAGAGAGGGAGGTGAAGCAGAGGCATTGTCGTGAGAGGAGAGAGGCACACAGGGGTGAAAAGTGATGCAAACAACACTCCAATCCAGTAGCACAACACCATGAGAGCCACGCGGCATGAGGCGGGTGGTATGAACCTCAAGACTCCTGTACAACCAACTAGCAGCACACCAGAACGCACACGGCACGGACACGTGCATACCTGTAGGAGCTGGGGAGGGTAGCTCCGAAGCCCAGCTCCTACAGGTAGCTCCGAAGAAAAACGCCACGAGCTGTGGCTTTCACACATCAACCAGGCACCCCTCCCACACCCTCCCCCCCCAAAACGATCCCTCTCCTCCTCCCTACGCACATACCTGTAGGAGCCAGGGGGGGTGGCTCCGAAATAGAAAGCCATGAGCTGTGGCGATCCAAAGCTGCTGGTGCTCCTCCAACTGCTGCCCCCCAACTCCAGTGCATTCGGAGGCAGCCCCCCCAACCCCCCTGCCCTCCCTGCCCAGACCCCCACCCCTGCCACCCCACACACCTGTAGGAGCCAGGTGGGGTTGCCCCGGAGTAAAACGCCATGAGCTGTGGCGACCCAAAGCTGCTGGTGCTCCTCCAACTGCTGCCGCCCAACTCCACCCACCCCTCTTCTCCCCCCCTACTCACACACAAACACACCTGTAGGAGCCAGGCGGGGTGGCCCCAAAGTAAAACGCCATGAGCTGTGGCGATCCGAAGCTGCTGGTGCTCCTCCAACTGCTGCCCCCCAACTCCACCGCATTCGGAGGCAGCCCCCCCAACCCCGGCCTCCACACAGGCACTGGCTGCGCCCTCCCTGCCCCCACCCCCACCGCTCCTGCTCCTCCTGCTGCTCCTGCTCCTCCTCCTGCTGCGGCGGCAGCAGCAGCGGCTGCTGCAGTCATGTGGGCGATCCCAGGGGTCCAGGACGCGCGCTGCTGCTGGGGGTGGCGTGCCCTGGGGCCGCGGGCAACGTGAGAGCTGAAGTTGTCTGGGCTGCCGGTGCTGCCCTGACTGCCCATGTGGAACCTGGAGGAGGGAGAAAGCGGGAGAGGGGGGATGTGACAAGTGAGTGTGAGTCATGTGGACAATCTCGGGGGTCCGCCTCTGCTGCTGCTGCTAGCAGGCTCTGGGAGGAGAAGTTGTCGGAACTGCCGGTGCTGCCCTGACTGCCCACGTGGAACATGGAGGAGGGAGAAAGCGGGAGAGGGGGGATGTGACAAGTGAGTGTGAGTCATGTGGACAATCTCGGGGGTCCGCCTCTGCTGCTGCTGCTAGCAGGCTCTGGGAGGAGAAGTTGTCGGAACTGCCGGTGCTGCCCTGACTGCCCACGTGGAACCTGGAGGAGGGAGAAAGCGGGAGAGGGGGGACGTGACAAGTGAGTGTGAGTCATGTGGACAATCTCGGGGGTCCGCCTCTGCTGCTGCTGCTAGCAGGCTCTGGGAGGAGAAGTTGTCGGAACTGCCGTTGCTGCCCTGACTGCCCACGTGGAACCTGGAGGAGGGAGAAAGCGGGAGAGGGGGGATGTGACAAGTGAGTGTGAGTCATGTGGACAATCTCGGGGGTCCGCCTCTGCTGCTGCTGCTAGCAGGCTCTGGGAGGAGAAGTTGTCGGAACTGCCGGTGCTGCCCTGACTGCCCACGTGGAACATGGAGGAGGGAGAAAGCGGGAGAGGGGGGATGTGACAAGTGAGTGTGAGTCATGTGGACAATCTCGGGGGTCCGCCTCTGCTGCTGCTGCTAGCAGGCTCTGGGAGGAGAAGTTGTCGGAACTGCCGGTGCTGCCCTGACTGCCCACGTGGAACATGGAGGAGGGAGAAAGCGGGAGAGGGGGGATGTGACAAGTGAGTGTGAGTCATGTGGACAATCTCGGGGGTCCGCCTCTGCTGCTGCTGCTAGCAGGCTCTGGGAGGAGAAGTTGTCGGAACTGCCGGTGCTGCCCTGACTGCCCACGTGGAACCTGGAGGAGGGAAGTGGAGGGGCCCGTGGAGGGGGAGACGAAGGGAGTATGAGAAAAGTGCATGTAACGTCCAAACTAAAGTTGTCCGGACTGCTGGTGCTGCCCTGACTGCCCACGGGGAACCTGGAGGAGAGAAGCGGAAGAGGGACGGGGGGAGAGGAGGAGGAGGACAAGGGAGGGAGGGAAAGGGGGCTGGTGAGAGATTGGAAAGATGACTGGGGAGGGGGGTTGGGGGGTGGTTATGTGCCAAGTGGTTGGGGGGTGGTTATGTGCCAAGTGGTTGGGGGGTGGTTATGTGCCAAGTGGTTGGGGGGTGGTTATGTGCCAAGTGGTTGGGGGGTGGTTATGTGCCAAGTGGTTGGGGGGTGGTTATGTGCCAAGTGGTTGCAGATCATGCCTATCCCTGACCCCTCCCCATTCCCCCTCCCCCACTTCTTGCTCTCCTCTTACCACTTCTTACCTTCTTCCCTCCCCTTACCCATCCCCCTGCCGCTTTAACTCTCCCTTCCCTCTTCCCCTTATCCTCCCTCCCCTCCTCCTCCCCGCTCTCCAGCCAGACCCCTCCCAGTCTGTCCCTGTCTGCTCGCCACTCACATACACACCTCCCCTTCCTTCTCCCCTCCAGGTAAACCCTCCCCTGCGCTCACCTGCCAGGACCCTGTCCATCCGCTCCTGACTTCTCACCCCTCTGATATACCTCCCTGTCCCCATACTCCTGCCCCTCCAGCTCCCCCTTCCCCTTTCCCTTCCCCTTCCCCCCACACCTCCCCCCTCCTCGCTCACCTGCCAGGCCCTTCCCCATCCGTCCCTGATTATTCGCCCCCATCCTCATGCACCTCCGCTTCCCCCTCCCCCCGCTCTTCCCCTTCCCTCCCCATTCCCCTCTCCCTCTCCCCCTCCCCCACGCTCACCTGCCAGGCCCCTCCCCGTCCGTCCCTGACTGCTCGCCCCTCTCATGCACCTCCCCCTTGAACCTTTCCCCCACTCTTTGCCACCCCTTCCCCTTTCTTCCCCTTTCCCACTCCCCGCTTCCCCGCGCTCACCTGCCAGGCCCCTCCCCGTCCGTCCCTGACTGCTCGCCCTTCTCTGCAGACAGCCTGCTGGCTCGGTAGTTGGGACCCTGGGAGGGGGCGGGGGAGGGGGGGGTGGGAGGAGAGCAAGGAGAAAGGGCGTGTGGTAAGGTGTGGTGGGGTGCCAGGCCCCTCCCCGTCCGTCCCTGACTGCTCGCCTTTCTCAGCAGACAGACAGCCTGCTGGCTGGATAGTTGGGACACTGGGAGGGGGAGGGGGAAAGAGATGGGAGGAGGGAAAATGGGTTGAGAGAGGAAGGAAGAGAGGGGGAGGAAGGAAAGAGGGCAGAATGAGTCCAAGACAGCCATTCAGCAGATAGCCTGCTGGCGCGGTAGTTGGGACACTGGGAGGGGGAGGGGGAATAAAAGGGGAGAGGGTAAAAGGGGGGGAAAGGGGGGAGGGGGTTGGAGACCCGCCCAACAAAGCAACAGCCCCGATCAAGCATCTCACGGATCAAGGTTCATGATGGGAGTAGCAGCGAACTTGTGAGCAACAGCCCCGATCAAGCATCTCACGGATCAAGGTTCATGATGGGAGTAGCAGCGAACTTGTGAGCAACAGCCCCGATCAAGCATCTCACGGATCAAGGTTCATGATGGGAGTAGCAGCGAACTTGTGAGCAACAGCCCCGATCAAGCATCTCACGGATCAAGGTTCATGATGGGAGTAGCAGCGAACTTGTGAGCAACAGCCCCGATCAAGCATCTCACGGATCAAGGTTCATGATGGGAGTAGCAGCGAACTTGTGAGCAACAGCCCCGATCAAGCATCTCACGGATCAAGGTTCATGATGGGAGTAGCAGCGAACTTGTGAGCAACAGCCCCGATCAAGCATCTCACGGATCAAGGTTCATGATGGGAGTAGCAGCGAACTTGTGAGCAACAGCCCCGATCAAGCATCTCACGGATCAAGGTTCATGATGGGAGTAGCAGCGAACTTGTGAGCAACAGCCCCGATCAAGCATCTCACGGATCAAGGTTCATGATGGGAGTAGCAGCGAACTTGTGAGCAACAGCCCCGATCAAGCATCTCACGGATCAAGGTTCATGATGGGAGTAGCAGCGAACTTGTGAGCAACAGCCCCGATCAAGCATCTCACGGATCAAGGTTCATGATGGGAGTAGCAGCGAACTTGTGAGCAACAGCCCCGATCAAGCATCTCACGGATCAAGGTTCATGATGGGAGTAGCAGCGAACTTGTGAGCAACAGCCCCGATCAAGCATCTCACCAGGGAAGACCCACCCTCGTAGTTGCTCCCACTCGCCCCGCCCTCCCTGCCCTCGTTGCTCTGGTTGTATCCCACACCCTCTCCCACTCACTAACGCGCCCACACTCTACCTTCCCACACAATCAAGCACCCACACCACACTCTCCCTTCTCACCAGGGAAGACCCGCCCTCGTAGCTGCTGTCACTCGCCCCCTCCTCCCTGCCCTGGCTGCCCTGGTTGCATCCCACAGCCACACGCACCCACTCACTCACACTCTCTCCCTTCTCACCAGGGAAGACCCGCCCTCGTAGCTGCTGCCACTCGCCCCATCCTCCCTGCCCTGGCTGCCCTGGTTGCATCCCACAGCCACACGCACCCACTCACTCACACTCTCTCCCTTCTCACCAGGGAAGACCCGCCCTCGTAGCTGCTGCCACTCGCCCCATCCTCCCTGCCCTGGCTGCCCTGGTTGCATCCCACATCCACACGCACCCACTCACTCACACTCTCTCCCTTCTCACCAGGGAAGACCCGCCCTCGTAGCTGCTGCCACTCGCCCCATCCTCCCTGCCCTGGCTGCCCTGGTTGCATCCCACAGCCACACGCACCCACTCACTCACACTCTCTCCCTTCTCACCAGGGAAGACCCGCCCTCGTAGCTGCTGCCACTCGCCCCCTCCTCCCTGCCCTGGCTGCCCTGGTTGCATCCCACAGCCACACGCACCCACTCACTCACACTCTCTCCCTTCTCACCAGGGAAGACCCGCCCTCGTAGCTGCTGCCACTCGCCCCATCCTCCCTGCCCTGGCTGCCCTGGTTGCATCCCACAGCCACACGCACCCACTCACTCACACTCTCTCCCTTCTCACCAGGGAAGACCCGCCCTCGTAGCTGCTGCCACTCGCCCCCTCCTCCCTGCCCTGGCTGCGCCTCACACTGCCACGCTGCTGCTGCTGAAGCGCACCGCCCTGGCCCGGGCGCCTCTGATACACAGGGAACAAGGAGCGGGGGGGGAGGATGGAACACAAGGGAGCATTGGCGATTGCATCTCGCTGCTGTGCTTGCACCTCACACCGCCTCCTCGCTGCTGCTGCTGCTGAAACGCACTGCCCTAGCCCGGGCGCCTCTAAAAGCACAAGAAAAGGAGTGGGGAACCGGACAGCAGAGATGGTGGGATGAAAAATGAGGAGCGCGCAAGTGACCACAGGCGATTGCATCACGTTCCTATGCTTGCTCTGGTTCCGCCTCCTCCCTCGCTGCTGCGAACCGAGGAGATGGTGAGAGGATAAGTGAGGAGGAACCAGGAACCCAGAGTGCTTCTTGTGTTAAGTCGATTTTTTAGTCGACTCAAAAAACGACTTAACACAGACGGTGAGAGGATAAGTGAGGAGGAACCAGGAAACCAGAGTGCTGCTGCTGCAGCACTGTGCAGCAGGCAGGGTGACTCTTATAGGCGAAGAATGAGAGAGGAGGCAGGAAGACGAATGAATGATGAAGGCAGGGAAACAAGTGAGGACAGACGATTGCATCGTGATGCTCTGCTTCTTCTGCTTCCCCTGCTTCCTCTGCTTGTTCAAACGAGATTCTTAGTGGAGCGACAGTGATGTGATTCTAATCTGCGTGACAAAAACGAGGTTTTACCTTACCTGAGTGACAAAAAGGAGGTTATTACCTGTGTGACAATAACGAGGTTCTTGAGGCTGGGATTCACGTCGTTGAAGTCAGAGTCATCTGTTGTATCCTCTTCTGATCTGTGTGTGAGTAAGTAGTGTGAGAACGAGTAGTGTGTGGATTAAGTAGTGTTTGTGAGTGTGAATGAGTAGAGTATGTGAATGAGAGTGAATGTGTACACATGAACACATAACCATACAAACACAAGTGCGTAACCCATGCATATGTCCTTCCTCCAGCCAACGTGTCTGTATGAGTAGTGTGTGTGAATGAGAGTAAATGAAGGGTCAGCACCACTAACCCCTAACTCCTGGCACGCTGTTTCCTCCTCGGCTTGCCGGCTCTCTTCTTCCTCTCCCCAAACTCGTCTCCAACTCGAACCTAACCCTAGCCTTACCTTACCCCTCAGCCCTAACCCTAACCTACCTGGCACGCTGCTTCCTCCTGGGCTTGCCCGCCCTCTTCTTCCCCTCCCCAAGCTCGTCCCCACTGAACTGAAACGTGTCCTCTGCTTCACTCGCCTCAGTCAACGCCTCACTCTCCTCTGCAGCCCTCTTCCCCTTCTCCCTCTCCCTCTCCTCCTTACTCTTCCCCCCCTCCGACCCCTTCCCAGCCTCCTCAATCGCCGCGGCCACCTTCCCAGCCAGGCCCGGCAGCGAGCCTAGCCCCTCGGTTCGGCCCACCGAACCTGCAGCTTCGGCGGCAAACGCAGCCGAAAGGCCCCCAGACTTGCTTGCGGAGTAGCGTCCCGAAGACACCCGTTTAACACTGCTGCCACGCCGCTTCCCGACGCTCCTAGCAGGAGTGCCCTCGCGATTTGCCCGCTGACCTCCCCCTTCCTCCTCCCCTTCATCATCAGCCTCCCCATCTGCTGCTGAGGGGATGTTTCGAGGGGCGAATAGAAGAGTAGCAGCAGGGGAAGAGGGACCTGCATCGGCACCAGCAGCAGCAGCTGTAGCACCAGCGGTGGCAGCGGCAGCAGTAGCAGCAGCAGCGTCAGGAGTTTCTTTCTTTTCGCCTTCGGAATCTTTTTCCTGCCCGTCCTTGTCACCAGCAGCAGGAGCTTTATCAGAAGTGGTACCATCAGCCTCCTTCTCCCCCTCCCCTTGCTCTCCACCCTTCTTCCCGCCCTCTCCCCCTTCTCCTGCGCCCTCTGAGTGCGGAACGACAGCCTGCATGTGCCCCGTGGGCAGTAGCCAGTTGCTCCAGTCACTGCGCCTCCTCAGCTTCTCGCCCTGAGAGGAGCGGGGGGGACGGGTGATAGAGAGGGGATAGAGGAGGGAGAGGAGAGGAGAAGAAGAGGTGAGATGAAGAGGGCAGCAGTGGGCAGCAGCCAGTTGCTTCTGTCACTGCATCGCCTCAGCTTCTCGCCCTGAGAGGTGGGGAACGGAGGGGAGAGAAGGGGGAACAGAGGGGGGAGTGGAGGAGAAAAGGGAAGATAGAGAGGGTATCAGTGGGCACCAGCCAGTTGCTCCAGTAACTGCGCCGCCTCAGCTTCTCGCCCTGAGGAGAAGGAGAGAGGGTAGAAACAGAGGGGGTACTGGCAAGATAGAGAAGGGTGAGATGGGAGGAGAGAGGGAGTGAGCGTGAGAAACCAGCCAGTTGCTCCAGTCACTGCGCCTCCTCAGCCTCTCGCCCTGAGGAGAGGGGGAAGGTGGTGGGGGCGGGGAGTACACACGGGAGATAGAGAAGAGCGAACACAAACCCTCCCCCCCCCCGACCCCCATGCACGCAGGCAAGAAATGCGTTTGTCCAACCCCCATGCACACGGTATGCACCCTTGGAAATGTCTTGTTTACAATTTGACGAGTTGTTCAACCTGGCTCTTATCAAAACGCGAAGGATTTCACCATACCATGCATTCTTTGTCTTCACCATACCATGCATTCTTTGTCTTCACCATACCATGCATTCTTTTTCTTCACCTGAGACCACCTAAGCCAGGGGGTTAAGACTCTGGGTCTCATAGTCCTAACACGAGTTTCTTAACACACACGCACCCACTGAGTGGATGGAAGTAAGGACTCTGCAGCCTCCTCGCAGTCCCCCTGACTGACTCCCCCAGGCCCCCGGACTGACTCCCCCAAGCACGCGGGCACGAATGAGTTTGTTGAACCCACACACACACGGTATACACCCTTGGTAACGGGTAACGCCATAAGCATACCCTCATTAGAGGCTTCGGACACCTTACCAAGAATGCCCGACCTCGTGCCTTCACTCTCGCTTCGACTGATTAAGACACCTCAAAGCGCTTACCTGCACTTCGAAAGGCAGTCTTGGTAAGAGGTCAGGCAGACACCTTCCGCACTCTCACTGATAAGAATTTGGGTTCTGAGATCGTTTTGAGCACTTAGTTGTACACAGAGCGGAAATCTACTGCTGTTTTTTCCTTTGCATTAAGCCTACTGCACGCACGCAGCTCACTGAGCTATGTCTGGATCTCGCGGGCAGACAGCTTCCGCACTCTCACTCATAAAGACAGCTTCCGCACTCTCACTCATAATGACAGCTTCCGCACTCTCACTCATAAAGACAGCTTCCGCACTCTCACTCATAAAGACAGCTTCCGCACTCTCACTCATAAAGACAGCTTCCGCACTCTCACTCATAAAGACAGCTTCCGCACTCTCACTCATAAAGACAGCTTCCGCACTCTCACTCATAAAGACAGCTTCCGCACTCTCACTCATAAAGACAGCTTCCGCACTCTCACTCATAAAGACAGCTTCCGCACTCTCACTCATAAAGACAGCTTCCGCACTCTCACTCATAAAGACAGCTTCCGCACTCTCACTCATAAAGACAGCTTCCGCACTCTCACTCATAAAGACAGCTTCCGCACTCTCACTCATAAAGACACCTCAAAGCGCTTACCTGCACTTCGACTGACGTGGAGTTGGCAAGGCAGGTGAGAATGAAGGGCTTGTCAAGTGTGAGCATGCGCACCTGCAGATGGGAGGAAACGGGGGGAGGGGGAGGGGGTGGGAGAGGCAAAGGGGAAGCTCATGGGAGTTGGCAAGGCAGGTGAGAATGAAGGGCTTGTCAAGTGTGAGCATGCGCACCTGTGGGGGAGGAAGGAGGGGCAATGGACGAATAGATGGGGGAGGGGGTATAGGGATGAAAGGGGAGGGGGGAGACTGATTGAAGTGGAGTTGGCAAGGCAGGTGAGAATGAAGGGCTTGTCAAGTGTGAGCATGCGCACCTGTGGCACGGGGGGGGAGAGAACGGGGATGCGTATAGGGAAGAAAGGGGAGGAGAGGAGGGGAGACTGAAGTGGAGCGGAGTTGGCAAGGCAGCTGAGAATGAAGGCCTCGTCTAGCGTGAGTGAGCATGCGTACCTGTGGGGAAGGGAGAAGTCACGAGGAAGATAGGGGACCGGAAAGGGGGGTGACGTGGGAAGATATGGGGGGAGATAAGAGGGGAGACGGGGGAGAGGGCGAGGAAAGGTCATAAGCAAGCGTGGAAAGCTCATGCTGGGCGTGGAGGTTTTGTCGAGAGAGAGAGCATGCGGGGCGGACCTACTCAGCCTTACCCTATTGAAAGCCGAAATAACATCACGGATACATGTGGGAATGAACCCCTCAGAGTTCATCTAAGACAGAAGGAAGAGCTTACTGCCTTACCCGACGTTACCACACTCAACCGCAAGCAACTTAGTGTCACCGCACTCAGCCGCCTTACCCTGTTGAAGGGCGCAATAACACCCATGTGAATGAACCCCGTACGAGTCCATCCTACACTGAAAGAAGATATCACCGCCTTGCTCAACCTCACCACACTCAACTGTTCTGCACTCAACCGCTATAAACCAAATATCACCGCACTCAATCTTACCCTGTTGAAGGCCGCAATAACGTCGACGTGAATGAACCCCTCAGAGTCCATTTTAGACCGAAGGAAAAGATCGCGACACAGATTCTCAATGCTGGATCAGGGATGGGGGATGGGGGATGGGGGATGGTGGATGGTTGATAAGTCAGGTTTAGGACGAAACAAAGAGGGGAATTTGAAAGAAGCCCATGCTTAATAAAGCATCACTGCTGGATCTAGGATAACAGAAAGCGATGTTTGGAAGGGCAACGGCTAGCTAGCTACCAACCTCAAGTCGTACTCGACCTGCTTTGTGACTTGTGAGCCGTGCAAAGTGGATTGTGAGTTGAGTGGACTTAGAACGAAAGCGATGACCTCAATCCAAACAAGCGATGACCCCATCCATGCTGTGATTTGAACGGAACAGATTGTTAGTTGACTCGATTTGCTTTGTGAGGGCCGTACGTCGCAAATTGACGCTTGCAAAGCGAGTGGAAGGGCAGCAGCTACCAACCTATGGTGGTACTCGATCTGCTTCGTGAGCGGCCGTGCGGAGGGCCGACATTGGATCAACCGGGACACAGCACTAGTGAGGCACAACACCACTGGCTACAATGGCAACAGCATTGTGACGTTTGAACTGGCAACAGTGAGTGAAAGGGCAACAGCTCTACCCACCTGAAATAGTACTTGATCTGCTTCGTGAGTGCAGTGCGGAGGCCCGACATTGAGTCAACTGGGACACAACACGACTGAAGGGTGACACGACTGGCACCAGCAAGAGATGTTGCAAAGGACAACAGCGACTGATGCTGGGAAGGGCAGCAGCTACCCACCTGAAATAGTACTCGATCTGCTTCGTGAGAGCAGGGCGGAGGCCCGACATGGGGTCAACCGGGACAGGCGGCATGCGGTATTGCATGTAGTAGGGACCGTTGGCTGCATGCGTTGACACATTGGTAAAACGGGAAAGGAGGGGAGGTAGGAGACACAGAAAAGAAGAAAGAAGAAACTGAGCCTGATGTGACCATGAGAAGTGACATGGGGTCAACCGGGACAGGCGGCGCCATGCGGTATTGCATGTAGTAGCGGCCGTTGGCTGCATGCGTTGTTTTAGGGGGAGGGGAGTGAAGGACGGAGACAACAAGGGGTGTGATGTGATGTGACCATGAGAAGTGACATAGGGTCAACCGGGACACGCGACGCCATGCATTAGGACATGTAGTCCATCCATGCATTAGGACATGTAGTCCATCCATGCATTAGGACATGTAGTCCATCCATGCATTGGGAAGACAAGGTGGGAAGTGGAAGCAACTAAAGCTGACGGGCATGCATGTAGTCCTTAGTGAAGCACTGTCCTTAGTAGCATGCATACACGTTGATACAGTGTCTCCTCGCCCCACTTGCATAGGCTAAACAACCCCGAGTTGTTTGTGGGCCTGTGCCATGCCAATCACTCCTCTCTTCCCACCACCATGGGGTATGTAGACATAGCTGTCGCCCATGCCATTGGCCACGGCACTCGCTTGCAGTGTGCCTCAAACCCAACCCCCCCCTCATGCTCCTGTGCTACTGCATCCACTGCTTACCTCCCACCACCATGGGGTTGCCATAGCCATGCCATTAGCCATGCCATTGGCCATGCCATTGGCCATGCCATTAGCCATGCCATTAGCCATGCCATTGGCCATGCCATTATTCGCAGCACTCCTTTGCCTCCCTCACGCCCCTCCCATGCCATGCCATGCTACTCCACCCATGCTTACCTCCCACGACCATGGGGTAGCCGTAGCTCCCGCCCATGCCATTGGCCATGGCAGCCGCGGACCTCCTGGGCCCAGCAGCCACGAATTCCGTCAGGGGGGGATCGTCTGCCACCACCACCACCCGCCCCTGCCCCGCTCACCTTTCACCACCACCACCAGCACCACCACCATCACCACCACCACCACCACCACCACCACCACCACCACCACCACCACCACCACCACCACCACCACCATCCCCTGCCCACCCCCCACCACCACAGTTTGCTCACAGCTCCCTTCCATGCCATACCATGCCATGCCATGCTCATTCGCTGCCTCGGGCTACTGCACCCACTGCTTACCTCCCACGACCATGGGGTAGCCATAGCTGCTGCCCATGCCATTGGCCATGGCAGCCGCGGACCTCCTGGGCCCAGCAGCCACGAACTCCGTCAGGGGGGGATCGTCCGCCACTACCACCACCCTCCCCTGCCCGCGCATGTGCCCCCCGCGCCCGCCCCCACCCATCCCCCCATGCCCCCCCTGCCCGTGCTGCTTCTGCCCCTGCCCCTGCCCCTGCGCCTGCCCCTGCGTCTGCCCCTGCCCCTGCGCCTGTCCCTGCTGCCCCTGCGGCTGCTGCTGCTGCGCCTGTCCCACAGGCTGCTGCTTCCGCTGCTGCGCCTGCCCCTGCTGCCCCCCCTGCCCGCGCCCAGCGCCGCCCTGAGGCTTCCCCTCGCCGTTCCCCCCCTGTGCGGGGCCCACATGCGCGCGCCTCTGGTATCCCCCTCCGCCCACGCCTCCCCCCCTTCTGCCATGGTGCGCCCCCCCGCCCCCCTGATGCCCCCCGCGCTTGTATTGCCCTGCATTCAGCTCACGCACGCTCACAACTGCCACGTCAGCAGCGCCAGCCTTTCTGGCTGCGTCTGCTGCTGTAACCGCCGCTGCGCCGCTCTGCTTGTCTGACGTGGCAGCAGACGATTTGTCGCCTTCGTTTGCGATTATAGCGAGACCAGCAGCAGGCTTGGCCTGCAAGGTTGGAATAGAAGGGTCGGAAACGGAAGACGAATGGGGAAGTGTGGGGGGGGGAGAGGGGAAGAGGAGGAAGGGAAGGGAGAGAAGAGGGGGAAGGGGATTCGCAGCAGGGGTTGGGAGGGGTGCTGTGAGTTAGGAAGGTATGTTTCCATGCTTGTTCTTGTCATGCCCTAACCAGGCAATTGAGTAGAGTGGGAAGAAACGATAGGGCGGGAGGGAGAAGAACTGAGAGGAGGAAAACCAAGAGAGATATAGGAAGATAAAAAGAGAGGCATTCGGAGGAGGATCAAAAGAGGCAATAGGAAGAGGATCAAACGAGGCAATTGGGGGAGGATCAAAGAGGCAATAGGAGGAGGAGAAGGCAGGGCTGCAATGGAATGTATAAATTGCAGGTCAAGGCAATCCCTAATCGTCCGCACAAGCACCACTGCCCTTGCGACACACAATTTCAGAGGCGCCTCAAAAGAAGATCGCAGCTTACGAGAGTGAGTAATCGTCCTCACCTCGCTCGCACTACCAACCTTACACCACACAGATTCTTAAATCCTCGGCTTTTCAAATTCTCGATGCTCCCATAACTGATCTTATCATCCCACTCGCGTTCTCGAGTCAAAACTTAAAGTGCTTCAGAGATTACTCCCTCGCTCGCTCACCTTGTCCTCTCCATTCCTTTCCTACCATCAACACCTCCTTCTATCATCTAATCAAACCGACCAGTCACACAATTCTGGGGAATTTCCAAATTTACCCCCACCCGCGCACCTTATCATCCCCGCCCGTGCCCTTGCCGTTTTCCGCCGCGCGCGCAGCAGCAGCGTCCGCCTCGGAGAGCGCAGGCCACGCCGTCGCGCCTGCGCCCATCACCACGGCCGCGGCAGCCGCCGCCCCGCCCTTCTCGCCGTCCCTGTTGTGCTTGCGCCACGCCTGCTTCGGCGGCTTGTGCTCCTTAGGCTCTTTCCCCTCTTTCTGATCCTTCTGCTCTTTCTGATCCGACTTCCCGTCCTTCTTTCCGTGTCCCCCTCCTTTCGAGCCCTTACCCTCCCCGCCCTCCTTCGCACTGCCACTAGCACTCTCCTTGTCCTCGCTCCCCTTCTCCTTCTCCTTGTTCTTCTCGGTATCCTCCTTCTCGTCTCTCTTCTCCTCCTTCTTCTCCTCCTTTTTGTCCTTATCCTTATGCCATGCCTTGCCGCCCTTGCCTCCCTTCCCTCCCCCTTCCCCCCTCCCTCCACCACCCTTCTGCCCCCTCGAGCCTGCATTCCCGCCCCTCCCCCCACCCTGTTTCGCTGATTCCGATCCCGCTTTGGTATCCGCCCCACCAGCCTTCCCCCCAGCCTGCGTCGCAGGCTCGGCACTCGCCGGCGCGTCTCCAGCTGCGTCCGAACCTCGCACGAGCGAAGCTAACCCCTCATCAGGCCCGGGGTGCGTCCGAGCCTTGCCTGGCTCACTCTTAACCACCTGCGCCCATACCCCTTTTCCAGGCTTCCCCTTAACCTGCCACACCGAGCCCTTGCCGTGCCCATGCCCATGCCCATGCCCATGCCCGTGCGCATGTCCGTGCCCGTGCCCGTGCGCACCCCCTCCTGCGCCCCCTCCGCTTGCGCCTTTCCCCTCGTTGGAATCACTTCCGGCTTTCTGACCCGCTGCGCCAGCCGTCGCGCTTCCGCCATCTCCGCCATCCCCGGCCTTCGCTGCGCCTTCCGTTGCGCCAGAAGCTCCGGCCGCTCCGGCAGCGGCGTTGACGTCCGCCGAAGCAGCTCCAGCAGGGGGAGCTGCCGCAGCAGCAGCACCAGCAGCGCCGCCGGATTTGGCGGCGGCGACCGCGCCGCCTTTGCCGGCAACACCGCCTCTACCTGCACCGCCCGATTTGTCGACGGAGCCTCCGGGTGCGCCGGATCCTCCTCCATGGCCGTGCGAACGTCTGTAACCACCTGCATTGCGATTTCCGCCGTGGTGGTTACCACCTCCGTGATGGTGGTGCGAATCCCTGCCTCCGCGGCCTCGTCCCCTCCAATGCCCCCTGTTGCCATCTCGTCTCTCGCGTGACGTCACCGTCTGCCAGCCGTCGCCCTTGTCCGCATTGTCGGCTGACGAGTCAGCGTCAGGAGTTTTTTTAGGTTCGGAAGCCTTTTCAGCTTCGACGGGCTTTTCAGGCTCGGGTGCTTTTCCAGGTTCGGCAGCGGAAGGTGCAGGGACCTTAGCAGCATCTCCCTCGACGGGAGCGGGTTTGTCAGCTTCGGTAGACATGAGAGGATCTCACTCCTAACCTAAACCAGTCTCGTAATTCCTTTCTCTATCAGCAGGAAAGAATGGGTGAGGAGAAATCGACGAACTCTATCAGTAAACCCCAGACCCCTGAGTTAACTACCTAGCGGTTCCTGTTACAACTATTCTTGTAATTTCCAATATGAATCCGCGTCGATGACTGATCTAAATCCACGTTCCTATACCTGTCGAACTACTGCCAAGAGATGATAGCTTTGAATTGAACAGAGCACACGAGATAAGCATCACTAATGCAAGACTCCGTTGCAGTAGCCACTGCGTGGAAAGAGGTTGAATTATTCCACCTTTCTCCTACTTGAAACACAACCCCAAGGCGTAGCAGAGCAGGAAGCATGGGGAGAGGGAAACCCAAGGCAAGGCAGTGATGATGCTGGCACAAGGGTGGCAGAAAGTGCAGTGACGCGAGATAACCCAAACCGAACCAAACCAATCAAATTTCGAGGTGGAGATGAAATCCCAAGAAAAAGTTTGCGAGCTTCGAAGGCCATCATCCACCAAACAATATCAAAATCGGGTAACCAAGGTTCGTCACGAAGGGAGTTCACGACGAAGGACTCTTCGCTGAGTACTATGTTGGTTTGGCAACCAACGAACCTGTTTTCTTGTTTCTTCTGGAAGGAGGTGAGGCATACCGAGCCTATCCGACACCCTCGAGAACTCATACAAATGGGCTTGGCGTCACCGAGCCGAACTCGAAATTCTATTAAAGTGCGATGCGAGCGTCTGGACGAATGGGATCCCGAGAGTGACTCATCGGAATTTGCTTTTCGCCGATCTGTCAACCTTTGAGACGCTTATTCTGGACGCTGGGCAAGTTGGTCTGGTTAGGTGTTGCTGAGACACCTCACCACCTTGAAGTCTGCCAGGCACAGCATCATCATCGCCTTGGCAGCTTCACTTTGTTCAGAGATATCATACGGTTGAGTACGGTTTTACCCTAACCTGTTGTTGTGCGAAATGACACCTTTACAAGTCTGAGTATTTTACTGAACCACAGAATGTACGATATCAGAAAACGCCTAGTACTAAACAACTGCCACTCTCTAGCCATCTAGACCTTCAAACACCAAAAACCGCATACAGTTTTGGGCACCCAACCATCTCCGTCTTCAATTATTCACCACCACTTATTTTTTGGGGCTTTAAAAGCATCGACATGTGCATCTACCCAGGGCCTGTGCTAGGATTTCGGGCATCCCGAGCCCTCAGGGCAACTTCTAAAAATTCTCAAAAATGCCCTGATTTTTCAACGCAAATTTTTATGGCTATCCTGAACTTTTAGGGCACCAACATGAGTTCATCCTGATCTCTCAGTGCAACAAAATCACAAGACATGAGAGAGGTGGAGGGGAAGGTACGATATGACAAAGAAGCTTGGTGCATGCATGGTACGGTATGTTGGAAACAACTGATTTAGGCGCCTCTGTCGTGTCGAAACACCAAGACAAAAGCGAAGTAGCTCGTATCGAAATATCGGTGAGTCAACCCTCGGAGGTTGAATAACTGTTGGAGGTTACGCGAAAGTCAAAGGTCAGCGACCTTTGACCTGACAAATACAGCGCGACAGCAAGGACAACCAACTGTCTCGATACTGAGTAGTTGCCCGAGCCGACACTGTATCGAACCGCAACAGCAACAGTAAAACAGTTAACTGTATCTCTTCATATTCCTTTGTGTTCTTATAAAAGCTTGTATCTCTTTATGAATTTTTTCGAAAGTGTGTAACACTTTCTAAAAATGCGTATTTTGAAAGCGCAGCTGACTGTCACGAAGCAAAGCAACGGCGAATTACAATTCGCCGAGTACATAACGAGGGTTGGAGGCCATTCGGCCTCCACCCACGACTTCATTTCGGAACTTTGCAGTTCCACTCATTCTCGTCCAACCACCTCGAAAGTTTCCTCTGTCACTAGAACTACTTACTACGACTCACCTACAAGCAATCGATTTTCATGAAGGGCAACACTATCACGCGTGCGACTGTACTTAGCGGGCGCTCAACTGAGAGCGAAGTGCGCCGGACGAAACGCCAACAGACGCGCCAAAGACGAAATCGCCAGTGGCACGCACTAGTGACGAAATTGCCACTGGCGCCAGTGGCTCGCGCTAGGGACGAAAATGCCACTGGCGCCAGTGGCAGGCGATTGGGACGAAATCGCCACTGGCGCAAGTGGCGCGCGCCAGGGACGAAATCGCCACACGCGCGCATGTGGCGAAATTGCCACGTGCGCCAGTGGCGAAATCGCCACTAGCGCGCCATGGACGAAATGGCCGCTGGCGCGGCAGTGACGAAATTGCCACTGCAGCGCCTTAGGCGTTTGACTGGGCGTCATTTGTTGCCTAAGTGCTGCAAGTCATTTTCTTTCAGTTTTATTTTCGTTATGTCCTCTTCGTTTATTTTCTATTAATCTATAAGCTCCTCTTATCCCTTGGTGGCAGAAAATCAGGCCCAACACTACAGTGGTGGAAAGACTTTTATAAAAGGCTCTACTAGTCGCGCGGGGAAATTACATGGACTACAGGATCAAACTGCACGCGCACCCAAGGACGTCTCCCAATAAAAAGAGCGGACAGAGGGTCTCCACGTGTGGCCTGAGAGCCGTCCCCCAGGGGGGGAAGGGGACCGAGGGTCCCCGTGTGGCCTGAGAGCCGTCCCCCAAGGGGGGAAGGGGACCGAGGGTCCCCGTGTGGCCTGAGAGCCGTCCCCCAGGGGGGGAAGGGGACCGAGGGTCCCCGTGTGGCCTGAGAGCCGTCCCCTAGGGGGGGAAGGGGACCGAGGGTCCCCGTGTGGCCTGAGAGCCGTCCCCCAGGGGGGAAAAGGGGACCGAGGGTCCCCGTGTGGCCTGAGAGCCGTCCCTCAGGGGGGGGAAGGGGACCGAGGGTCCCCGTGTGGCCTGAGAGCCGTCCCCCAGGGGGGGAAGGGGACCGAGGGTCCCCGTGTGGCCTGAGAGCCGTCCCCTAGGGGGGGAAGGGGACCGAGGGTCCCCGTGTGGCCTGAGAGCCGTCCCCCAGGGGGGGAAGGGGACCGAGGGTCCCCGTGTGGCCTGAGAGCCGTCCCCCAGGGGGGGGAAGGGGACCGAGGGTCCCCGTGTGGCCTGAGAGCCGTCCCCTAGGGGGGGAAGGGGACCGAGGGTCCCCGTGTGGCCTGAGAGCCGTCCCCCAGGGGGGGAAGGGGACCGAGGGTCCCCATGTTGGGCTTGCCGTAAGATGGGCTGAATTTCGAACAATGTGTGTGTTAGTATGGATCATCCTTGGCTATTGATGTAACCGTATATGATAAGATTTCAAAAAAAAAAAAAAAAAAAAAAAAGGGGGGCTCAAACATTTTTTGACAAACAAAGGTTGGTTGGTGCCCCATCAATTTCCAGGGAAGCAATTGTTTGGAGTGACCTGGTTACAAATGGTTGGTAGAGTGCAACTCAAGACGGATTTTGAATCTGACTTGACTACGGTTGTTCACACACACTCCTACATCGCATTCAATGTTCTCTCCAAATAAGGGCAATGAGAAAGGGATTGGTTTCCATCATGCTCATCCCACTCTCTTAGATCGCACCCGAGATGGAAATAAAAGCACGGGAGTTGCGACTAGCATGCTACCACAAGTTGCGTCTCGTTAAGAACTTGAATGGGCTTTAGGTGTTGGGAGTTAAAGACGGAATTCGTGTGTGAAAAAAAAAAAAAAAAAAAAAAAATACCTATTTAACCAAAATGACGGACACACCCTCCCGCTACTACCAACTCAGCCCATACATCCACGTTGTAGATAGCCCCGAACCTCAAACGGTTGGAAGCGTAGAGTACAGCAGAGCACATGGTAAATCCCAAGATAAAAGTTGTACCGTCCATTGGGTGTGTAGACCTTGGTTGGGAACCACCAATTGCAACCACTATTCTGCTGCATCAACAAACACGCACATCTACACTAACAGAACGCAACCTTCACACACACAACATTTCGAACGCCATCGACATAGAGATCGCGATTACCAACGCCACCTCTCTCGGCACTTCGTCAAGGCCATCAATCACAACTACACTCGCCACGTCTTCAACACCCCACCTGCACATGTCTCAGAAGACCCAATTGTAATGAAGCCCGTTGCCTTTGCAAGAACAGAAAGCAAGCTTTCTCAATATGATTTTTTTCGAAAGTGTGTAACACTTTCTAAAAATGCGTATTTTGAAAGCGCAGCTGACTGTCACGAGGCAAAGCAACGGCGAATTACAATTCGCCGAGTACATAACGAGGGTTGGAGGCCATTCGGCCTCCACCCACGACTTCATTTCGGAACTTTGCAGTTCCACCCCTCACCCACCCACCCTAGTTGTATATCTGTATAATCCATCCATAGTTGGACGAGAATGTTGTATTACTGCAATTGTAATGAAGCCCGTTGCCTTTGCAAGAACAGAAAGCAAGCTTTCTCAATTATTATTATTAACTTACTTTGCCCTCACATACCAGTGCAAGGTGGTTCACAACTCTTTAATTAAACGCTTCCGCTACTACATCAACTCTACCCAGAGTTCACCCCTGCAAAGATCCTAGGGGCTTCTCAGCCCAACATGGTATGAGAGCTATCAGGGGGAATTCAACTTCTATACCGACAACATCAACAAGCATGGCTACACAAAAGGAAAGGAGCAACTCCAACGGCTCCCAGGGCACTACTCCTACTCCACCTCCTGCCTCTGGCCTACAGACAGAGGAGGGCACAGCAACAAGACCCAGAGCAACATCTACCGAGACTCCCGCGAATCAACCTGCAGACTTCGACCAGAGCATGATGGAGAAGTTTTTCTCCTTCATGTCCTTCTACGAGCAACACCAACAATCGGCACCTGCGCAGTCACACAACAGCAACAACAACGGAGCAACACCCATGAGTCTCGACGGCTCATCATATGCACGAGGAAATCAACAACAGCAGCCTACCTTTGCTCCGTACGAGCGCGGG